GCATTGTGGAATATGTCAGAGACCAGGGGTAATGCTGTAAGTTCTTCCCGCAAAATTCACCCTTTCTCTCTAAACTTTCTTCTAACACAACACAGAGCCAAGCTGAATATTGGCGAACACGTTTGGAGGGAATTATCGACGGTGTTGGTGTTTTCTTCAACCCGGAAGGTGCACCAGACGTCATGAGTGAAGTAGCTTGCGAGCGAAACGGACTTTGCGATCACGACCAGCGCTCTTTCAAGGCCTATCTCAGCCGCTGGATGGGATACACAATGTTGACCGCTCCCTGGACAAGAGAAAAGATCATGCCCAAGCTCAGGGCTTCTGCAGCAGCAGCAGCAAAACAGTGCGGGCCAGGAAAAGGCGGATGTGGTCTTCGTTGGTGGAGGAACGGCGTAAACGACGGAGAAGTCGGCGTCGGAGAGCAAATGTCTGCATTGGAGGTGATGCAAAATCTCCTCATTGACCAGGTCGCTGGACCAGTCGGATTGGACACGGGAGGCATCAGTAAAAACGACCCGAATGCTGGAAGTGATGCTGGAAGTTTCGAGGTCAAGCACGATGCGATAACAACTGGGGATAAGGCTGGTGCAGCCATTCTCACTATCATAGTTGTTTCCATACTATTTGGTGGAGCATGGTGGATGATAATGGGCGAATAACTGCCCCTATATTAATTTCATTTAATTCTTGGTTCAAATGTGTCCCTTTTCTGTGCCAATTGTCTAATTCGTCGTAAACATTCACGCGTCTAGTCCTCCGCTTACGCGTATAGTCTTAGATTTACGCATCTTGGCTACTTGACTTTTTTGGGCTTACAATATACTTGCATGATTCAGTCGCAGACTAAATCAACCAAACATTCATTTAGTCTGGAAACCCCTACCACTGGATCTAGCAGCTTCCCTGTCAGTTCCCCGCATCTATCTGGAACTCGATCGGTCACCGTGCTCGGGGCATGCTCGGGTGTCCCAACTTGTTCTGCTATTTTGAGAACTCGCGAACAGCCTGTCCCAGTATCCATTTGAAAATGCGCCTAGAGAAATATTTATACACACATAACGAATTGTCGCGAAATTGTAGTTTCCTTATCTACAGGGATGACATGTATGGTGGGAACTGAGTCATGTGGAATACGTAGCTGTGGGGCATAACAAACGTTATGTGTTGGGGATCCGCCAGTACGAGGACTACTTTCACGCGTGTATGCGATGCTGTTAGATGAAAAAAATGTGTAAAACTAACGCCCAAATCTGAGATGCGCCTCTGACGTGCACTTTCTGCTGTATTAATAATGCATCAGTATGTCTCTTCGATAATCTGGAGAACCGGAAGATGAAGGCTCTACAACCTCGATGCCGAAGCATGAAAGTAGAGCACAACCATAACCTTTCCAATATCTAGAAGCATCAATTGACTCTTGCGCTGCGGGAGCTTTTCTTGCTATACGTGTGACATCTTTAGGGTCGTTGTAGATAAATTCTCGTATTGAGTTAGGGTACAGTAGCTACTTACGTATGTGGTTGCATCGATTTTCCGTGTTTGCCGAATACGGAAGAGGGGCATTTGTAAGCCCAGTTGATTACATACATAACCTCATCACAAACATAAAGACTCTCCAAACACACTTTCTTCAGTTAAACCAAATTCCTTAAAGTTTATTGAAATAGCTTGTGACAACACCTAGTACTTACAGAAACAATGACAACACCTAAGCCTTTCGGCATTGTACCTAACGATGCTCAACAAACAACACCGTTTGAACTGCATGTTGAGGAAGAGAAGCTGCAAGATTTCAAGACTTTGCTCAAACTTAGTCCAATTGCAAAAGAGACGTATGAGAACAAGCAGGATGAAGGTGGACATGGCAGGTTTGGGATAAGTCGAAAGTGGATAGTCGATGCGAAGAAGGAATGGCTCGAGACATTTGACTGGTATGTCTTTTTGTCGGATGCCCAGGTTGCGCTTATAACTTAACTTTCCCAGGCGCAAAGAGGAAAACATTATCAATTCTTTCCCTAACTTCAAAACCACCATCAACGATGATGATGGCAACAAGTACGACATTCACTTTGTCGCTCTCTTCTCCACCAAGCCTGATGCTATTCCCATTGCCTTCTTTCACGGGTGGCCCGGTTCTTTCCTCGAGTTTGTACCAATGATGGACTTGTTGCGCGGAAAGTATACGCAAGACACTCTGCCATATCACATCATTGTGCCCTCTCTCCCCGGTTTTGCTCTTTCTTCCGATCCACCGGTAAACAAGGATTGGAAAGCCATCGATACTTCGCGCATCATGCATAAGCTCATGCTCTCACTGGGATTCGGCAAATCAGGCTATCTCGTACAGGGCGGCGACATTGGCAGTATATTCTCGCGGCAAATTGCTGCAACGTACCCTGAATGCAAGGGCATGCACCTCAACTTCATGCTCACTAAGGATATCAAGGACTACTCTTCGCCAAGCGACGTGATTACTAGTGCAGAGAAAGTGGGTATCGAGAGAGGCGACGCATTCATAGCTGTAGGACACGCGTATGCCAGGGAACATGAGACCAAACCCTCTACTATCGGCCTGGTATTATCCAGTTCACCTATTGCTCAACTAGCTTGGATTGGAGAGAAGTTCCTCGCGTGGACCGACCCTTCGACGAGACCGTCTCTCAATACCATCCTAGCGGATATCACACTATACTGGTTGACTGGCTGTTATCCAACATCCATCTACACATACAGAGACAATAGGAAGACCTTGTATGTCGATAAGCCCACAGGTTACAGCTGGTTTCCGTATGAGATTTCGCCGATTCCACAGGCTTGGGCAGAGAAAACAGCGAAGGTTGTTTTCTTCAGGGCACACGAGAAGGGTGGACACTTTGCAGCATTGGAGAGGCCAGAGGTGCTTTGGGCAGATGTGGAGGAGTGGGCCAAGATTGCATGGCAGTAAAAGGGGGTTTCTAGAGCTAACGCAGAAGCTAAGAGGAAATGCATGCAATAATGAGCAACTGCTGCACTAGATCTCACCACGTAACGATTGTTCAAGAATTACGTTCGCTTTACACCAGTCTGGTACCATCTAGCATATGTCTCAAGAATAAAAATATACAATACTACACACATGAAAAGACGGTGATGATCCAACCCACCATGATCGTCTGGCTCTTATGCTGGTTCTGGAGAGGTGTGCCTGCACAGGTGTGGTAGGCTCAATTGAGGAATATGTTGAGACACACAAGGCCTGTGTGTAAGACGTACAGGTAACAAGAAGAAAAGAACCATTTTGTGTCCGTGTTGAGAAATCAATGAAAAAAAAAGCAAAGACGCGCGTAGCACGTATCATGCGTGCACCGCTCGTCGCCACTTTTCCTAAGAGCTGTGTATAGTACAATATACAAGTACATGTCCGAATCTCCCGACCGTCATGCCGAGTCCGGTTGGATCAACTGCCGGAATCCTTCGCATGGCCAGAATGGGGTCCATAGGATTTGGTACCAGGAGATGGAGTCTGGGACCGGAGTAAGGAGGTCTGTTAAAATGTCTGCAAGTGGCTAGCCGGGTGGCTGTGTCGGCCCCTAATGACGTACCAAGTACCAATGATGATTACCTTGCCAACGCAACCCCCATATGCATGCCTGCGACAACTGTCGCACTGTGAAACGTGCCGTCGCATCAATCGAATTGGCCCAAATGGATACATGACCTAAAGTTTCGCTCGCTTCTAGCAGTTCTCTACCACGTCCGTCGTCGCTCTCTCTGTCGTTACCTGTCGTCGTGGTCGTATTGCCCCCCCTTGCCTTATCAGCACCCCTATCAAACCACAACATTCGCTTTTGCCGAAAACCGGCTGACCCGGGCACTCACTCACTTCCAACTTTGCGGGTTGCGCCCGCCGTCCTCTGAACAATGGGCCACTTTGAATTCCGGGAATTGGGGGCGATTTGCAATTATGTGCGCAGCAAATACGAAGAAAGAGCTGAGACAAAGGGGAAGCGGAGACGATCAATGAGCGATGCGGTCACGGAGCGAAAGCAAAAGTATGGGAAACTGCATAAGCCGCCGACGGTACAGTCACTGCATCAAAGACAGGACAGGCCGCGCAGTCGGCTTCAGAAAAGCAGGCCGCAGTCAATGATGAGCCTGGTGCAGCCCTTGCCCAAACTATTTGTCCTGGAATACGATCCGTACCCGTACAATACACAGCCATGCCAGTTCCTCGGAGTATTTTCAAGCATCGATACAGTCACGGCAGGTGCATTCCAGCACGGCGCGTACTCATTTTCAAGAGAGGGGTTATTAGATGGCTCAGAATACCTGAGTCCAACCGGCCGCATCAAAATTGTTTCGCACTCGCTGCAATCCACCGGCGTGACTGCCGCTGTGCCGGGCGAAACACCCAAGAAAGACGGACAGCACATGCGCCTTGATATCCCGCATCCGCTCAGCCAACCAGTCCCGCGATTTGACAGCCACCAGGACCTTAACATGCCGAAGAGAAGCGAGGTCACTGTCTACCTGGCACTTCATGAAAGCCCCAACGCAGCGTTTTGCATTGGTCTATTTACGAGCAAAAGTCTAGCTTGGGGCGCGTGCTTGAAAGACAAAGCGTGGCTCGAGTGGACGGACAAGGTGGTGGAGCAAAAGAGGGATGTGGGGGAGAACAACCTTCCGAGGGTTGAAGGGAGACTTGTCGGAAGCGGACGGCATGTCTGGTACGTCAAGGAGTCGATTGTTAACGACGTGAGGAAATGAGAAGAAAGGCCCCATTGAAATTCTTCTTCTTCTTCACCTTCACCCACGTAACGAGAGACTCACGCATCACATTCGCTATGCGAATCCACACATTATGCATATACACCGAGAGCATGTGTTTACATGCCCCCCTCCTCGATTACGCGCCTATCGTGCATATGCTCACCGCCCGTTGGACCCAGACCCGCTATTGAAACCCGCTTTCGGTCCCAAGATTCTCACTACAAAGCTGAAAAAAAAGAACATCATGTGCTGCACGTGTCCGCCCGTCCGACGTCCCCGCCAACGGCCATCGGCACTTGGCTCGGCACACTGCATTTTGGAACCAACGGGGGGGGGGGGTTTGCCTAGATTGGGGACTAGGTATCCTTCTAGGCCTACCACAGACCGGGATATGCAAGCTATTATACGTCTCCCTTTCTCTCTGTCCCATTCTCACCGAATTTCCTTTTTTTTGTTGCATTTTGCAAAATGGGACGGTGCTAAGCTTATGGGAAAACTTCGGGAAACTGCTGTGTATATACAGAAAAATGAACAGATGTGGGGGGCGGGCCGGTGGAGAAAGCAAATTCAGAGGAGCAAGCGAGACTATGTATATCTTCTGGTCAGGAGATGTCATGCGTCAAGATGAGATAATGACTTGGATGTTCCTCTTCTTCTTCTTCTTCTTCTTTTTTTTCGAGTCGAAAACTGGGCAATGAAGCACACACGATGTAGAGTTTTCTTTGAGTATATCTCTTAGTGGTAGTTGGGAGTTTTGGGGGAGGGAGGGGGGTTGATGCATTGTGGTATATTGTGCTGTGCTATGAGCATTTCTCAAGGAACGATGATTGGGGAAAAAAAAAGATTAGATGTGCATGTTGGAGTTTGTCTCGCGACATGCAATGAATTTGATTTTTTTTTTTTACTTTCATACACATGTATGTGCTTAGTGAGATTATAGTTCTGTAAATCGAAAAGGATATAACTAGCGGTATTGTCGAAACCTATTGTCCTATCTAAGTCCTTCTTTGGGAGTGCGGGAAACCCGGAACTTGTAGTGGTGAAACACTGCCTGGTTTGTTTCGTGGTCGAGAGTGTTAAACCAGTGGGGATATCGTCACAGCAGTTCCGCCATGTGAGCAGCTGTTACATGCCATCAAACGGGCGCGAGTCCTTTCATAGCGATGCTGCGCCAGTATGCTCATGCACACCTCCTTAGTGATTGAAAATTCCAGCATACGGATATGTCTTGCCTCGTCGTATTGCTTTAGGAAGGTTGATAACTGGGTATGGAAGGAAGCAGTATGAACGGAATTACGACGGATTACTCGAATGCTGTCATGGTTCCGGATAGAAGAGCTTATGGTTCAGCACGTGGATTAGAATTAGCCTAGTACTAGTCCGGTGCAGCTCTAGCGCCGGTGTATTCTTGACTAAGCTTAACTTCGAAGCATCGTGACTGTGCTTGCGACGTGCGAAACTCTTGATAGAGAGACGGTTTCGCAAGACGTTGTTCTTTCTGGAATGAAAAGGACATCAATGCTGGGGATACATTGTCTTTTTCTCTCTTTGTTTGGTATCGAGCCTTTTCAAGAAACGTCGCGCAAGAAGCTAAGAAAGTATTCCAAGGGACTGAGCAAGATACTTTGATTCGTCACTTTCTTTCGTTTTCATACCATTCTGAGATAGCCTCCTTGTGGCTGTGAGGCCCAGTGTGTAATGCTCTTTCAAGAAAAGACTTTGTTGAAGCTTCGGTGATCACTATTGCAAGGGCTACCTTCCCGCTCGATATCCGCTTTGTTACTATATTTATTTTCTTGTTCTTTAGCAGAAGCTTGTGATGAAAGTTCTGAGCCGCCCCTGGAAAACCAAGGAACGAAAAACAAGGCTCGGTTAGAAGGTTAAGGTTTCAATGATAGCGCAGTTCGCGATCGGTAAGCGGTTTTGATGGGCGAATTACGGAAGATGTGGAGTAGAGTATATCCATTTCATAACGTAATTGGAAAAACAGGTATATGACATGGGCTTGTGCTACAGATGTGCTCTTCTTTGAAGTACCGGGTACCATATCAGCTGCGTGTGGGGCTGGCTGATGGCTGCCGCGCTCATGTGCCAGCCACTACACCGCTTACGCGTGCAATGCGTGCTGATATCTAAGCCATCCTTGGTTACGCGTCGATGGCACAATGTGTACAATACTGCAAGCTACTTGAAATGCTCGCGGTATTTTCCAGCCAACGGTAATCTGGCACGTTGCGTTGGAGTACTTGTGTGGCGACAAAAATGAGGCATACACCAAAAGGTAGAACCATGTAATTTAGACGAGGCTACGGGCGTTCTCGCATCGTTCTCGCAGCGTAAAGCAAGACTGCCGACTGGATACCGATATCCTGGTTCGGTGTGACGTGGTAGCTGTGAATGGGTAGTCGCAGTGACATGTCGGGCTGAGATTGTGCAAGGGCCCACAGTTCATGGTGGGCGTCCGTCCTATCACGTCAGTGGGCAAGGTAGCAGTTTGAGCAGACGTGTACCGAGCCAATCGCCGGGCGGGCCGTACACACAGGAGTTTAGATGTTCCCCGGCGTTGATCTATTCCGGAGGAGCTGGAGTTCAGGCGAACCGAGTTGCTTGGTGGAGAGAGATGGAATGTGGAAATGACGCTAGCCTCTTGTATCGCGGTGTAGGGGTGTCATTTCCCATCCATCTGTCCGCTGTCCTGTCGGGACTGGTGCGCAATTGAGGGCTGAGGGGATGAGCACCCAGGACGGAGGAGACGAGCCGATCGTCTCCTGCCAACAGGGTCTGCAATCGATTGGTGGCGGCGACCGGGCTGCTGCATGAGGAAGGATGCCGGCAATCAAAGAGAGCAAGTCATGACTTCAGCCCACAATACGAGGCTGACGGGGCCCTGGTACATGGCAGATCTGAGGGGCCCTGGAGCATTGGAGTTGCCAGGGTTAGAGTATTGAAGGAAGCGGGGCAGGGCAGAAGTATGACCGGATGAGTGCCGACAGTCACAGCCACGGGTGTGCTTCACCAAGGCCCGTACCTACGTGGAGTCGACACGAAGGATTCTTCCGGGTGGACATTAGTGGTGGAACCGACACAGGTACTGGACGCCGCGGTGGTCCCAGCAAGCTATTGGCGATACTGCGCCCATGATCCGATCTTGTATGATCGCCGGCCGGGTCCAATAGCATCCAACATGGGCCTTGGGGATGTGCTGCAAGGGGCGGGGCCTCGACCGTCTTATGCGAACAACGACAGCTGCTTCTTCTTCTTCTCATCATGATTGTGGCGCTTGTCGATCCGGCTTTCTGTTCATGTGGCTCACTGCCAACTCCTACTCCAAGCCCGAGTCGTGACCGTGCCGTGTCGCCAAGTCGCAGCACAGACTGAACACGATCCTGTCGTGGTGTAGGGCATAGATAGACGATCACGCTGGCTGCACCTGTCAATACACAAGGCTGCAATCCAGTCTGCATGGCGGGTTGGCTTTGGTAACCCCGCGGAGCGCACCAATGCAACCCCAGAAGAGGAGAGTGGCAAAAAAAAATGGGCTGATGCCATTTTACTACTACACACATGCACATGGCACTACAACTTGATCGTCCCCACATGATTGCATCCTTCGGCAGCCTCACAACTTTGACTTGCACTCACAGCAGGCAGGCTTGCAATGTAGCTGTATCGTTCTAAGTATTACCAAAGCAAATCTAAAGTACAGTTGGTGCCCAACCACATCGTTGGCAGTACATCGCCCTTTGGGTTCGTCGTGACGAGGTGTCGTTTGCTGCGCTAGCATCTCTCAGGCCCAAGATAGAGGAGTCTATTGTCGCCCAACATCCAGAACAGGATTTGTCTGGCGGCGTCCGACTATTCCAAATCCTTGGCCGTCCCTTTGCTGCATCTTGTTTTCAGGTAAGCGCGGTCCGGTGGGATCCACATGGACTCGTCACTCCGGCGCTTCACTTCGTCCACCTCATCAACCCATGCGTCGTCGCGTTCCCTATCAAGACCTTCCAGCGCCTGCGCCGGACCATGCGTACCCAGCATTACGATGCCAGCCCAAAAGCAACCATGTTCCAAAACATCTGTGCATCCAACACATGTCGTCAACATGAACCGTGCGTTACAATTGCGTTCGTACCCTGACTCCCCCCGCTTTCCCCAAAAAATGCACGACCCAAAAAAAATAGTGAAAAAGCCAAAAAGACCTGGCAACAAAAGAAAATGCAGTAATGTCTGACACAAAGTCAAGAAAATAGAGAGAGAGAGAAACGCTACAAAAAACATGGCCGCACATGGCGCTATTTTTGACCAAAGGAAAATGGATGCAGACCGCCTTCTGCCCTGAACACCTCATGCCCATTGCCTTTTATAGACTTTGTGAAAAGAAAAACAATCCCATGGACTGCGCCATGACCGGTATATGTACAGGTAAGAAAAAAGCAGGCCACGTCATTTGCGTATTGTGATCAAAGGTCGCGCGCTCAGTGCGAGTTCGAGAGGGGGGTGTTACTGGCGGCATGTGCGCCAACGCACTGCTGGAAACGGTCGGCGGATGCCGCACAATAGCAAGCCGCCAGCACTATTGTCGTTACCAGAGCTTTGCTGCTATCATCGCCGGCGTGCTGTAGATGTGGGTCGTTGTGCTGAAGGGCCTGCGCCAACTTCCTCAAGGAGGTCCATGCAAGATGTCAACACTGCGCAAAGGTTAGCAACAGGCGCCATGATCAACAATGGCACTTGTACTCACTTGCTACAATCTCCTCCTCCCATACACCCATCTGGTAGTCGACCAGACCATGCTTCTCCATACTATCACAGTTCTTGACGAGCTGCGTGCCCATCTTCTCCAGAAAGTCATAGTCAATAAGCGATTTTGGGGCCTGCGGGCGCTGGCCTGTGTTGATCATTTCCTGAGTCATGGCCTTTTGCTTCTGGAGGGTCGAGAGCCAGCACGTGTTAAACTCTTCCCACAGCTGCAAGCGCTGTTGGTAGTAGGTTTCATCGTCGCGCACAAGGCCTGCTACAGTCAATTCAGCTGCTCGCTCTAATCGGCCCCACAGGTGGAGGAACTTACCCAAAGTCTCGGCAAAGTGCAAAAGCCAGTCCGACATTCTAAACAGCATGATGCCTGCCTCACTGAGGCGGCTGTCACGCACATGCTCAAATGTCTTCTTGAGCTCACTCTGATACGTCCTGTAAAAGTCGTCGTAGTCGTTGCCGCTGGCAGATTGCGACTCGCTATAGTTTGCCTGCGGATAGCCCGGTTGCGAGGTTGCTTGGTTGGGGTCCGTCATGCCGGCAGCAGAGTAAGCAGGAGCAAGGGCTTCTCGTCCGACCTGTGTTTGGGATGCTGTATACGCGAGAGAGGGATACTGTGAGGGGACGCTCTGAGAGGCAATGGTAGCAGCAGGTGCGCTCGTGGGCCCGCCTTCATAGTATTGCTGTTGTGCAACGCCAAAGCCGGTGCTGAGGACCTGTATAGCCGAGTCCCTATTTTGCTGGTATTGTTCCACAGGCTCATACTGCGACGAGCCCGTGGCGGAGGCCTGGGCGCCGTACATGATGTTCTGGCCGTAGGGCGAGTATTGTTGGGGAGTACGCTGGGCTTGCTGTTGCTGGTCGGTGCCATAGTCTTGGGCACTATATGACACGTTGGAGGGCTGGACTGATGAGCCAAACTGTGCGCTTTCACCGTAAGCGTAACCGTAACCCTGAGGACTGGCGCGGGATCCGGAAGAGGGGAGGGAGGTAGGCGGGGCAGGCGCTGTCAGAGGCGGCTGCCTGAAGCGATCGGGTGCGCTTACCACTGGATAGGAGGCCTGTGGTGGAAGGAGCGTGCCTTGCTGGCTTGCGTAACCTGAGGGAGTATGCCGTGGCCGGCGGTCATTGTCCATCCCAACCAGCCCGCCTTTCATTTGCAGACCGAAGGGCGATTCGAGAGCCCGGTACGCCGAGGGCGAGACTGGCGGCGTCGCGTAATTGGCCAGCTTGCAGGCTTGAACAAGATTAGACGAAGATGATGGGCGCAACAAGTGGGGACGAGGCGGGGGGGACGAGGCGCAGGTGATGGTGACAGTGACAGAGGAGGACGAGTGCGCAAGTCAGAGGAAAAGAGGCGCGTCGTTTAGGAAAGTGTGCGCGTGCGAATGGACCGGAAAGAGAGAGAGAGGAGGGAGGATGCGGGTCAGATGTTGGTAAATGTATGACGTCCAAAATTGGTAGACCAGGTGGGTTGAAGGACCAGATGGTATGGATATAAACACGGCCTTGACACGTCGACTACTGGGCCAATGGAGCCCAATGATGCAGCTGAGGAGGCTCGCGCAAGAGCCTCGGCGGTAACCAGGATATCCTCGCTATGGGGGGAGTGGGACGAGGATGAGGGCAAATGCAATGCTCCAGGGACTGGACCCGAAGTGGAAATGCTGGAGAAAATATGTGCGTCGAGTGGACCGACTAGAGACTTAGCCCGTAGCCGACAGCGAAATTGTCCGGTGGAGTCGAGCGTGGAGGACCCTGTCTCAAGCGGGCTGGTGGTGAGGCGAGGCTTATGCGTGAGAAGTTTGGAGGGTAGTCCTTGCAATGCGATGAGTGTTCCAACGAGTCGGACTTCGCAGCAGCGGGTCCAAGGAGATCGTCTCAAACAATTAAACGTCTGCGTTACGGTAGCTTAACGGCCTAAACGCACACTGACGTTGTTCAGCGTGGGTAGTGTCTTGGGGGGCGCGCACTGGGCAAGAAGGAGTACATGCAGAGGGACGAACGAAGCCGTCGGTCCGAGGCCAGACTGGAAGTGCGACAGACGGACAGTTTACAGTCGAGAAGAGTACCAGGGCGGTGCGGGCAGAGACAGACCGGACGGGCTTTATTAGAAGAGAGGAGGGAGAGAGAGAGAGAGAGAGTCGAGGATCACTGGCGCCCGTGCGGGCGTGGAGCGTCACGTCGACGGGCAGAAGCTTGAGGCAGGTTCACGGGAGCCCTAGAGTGGCTACCGGAAGAGGTCCTTGCGAGGGCGTAGTGGGTGGGGAGGAGGGTGGGAGGGGTGTGTGTGGGAGTAGGAGTGGGAGTGGGAGTGTTGTTTTGGTCGGCGATGCTAGTCTCTGGCTGTAGCACGCACGCACGCACACACAGACAGAGAGAGTTGTCGACCTGGTTGGGGAGGGAGATTGACGGGAGGGGATTGGGATGGTGCAAGAGGACTAGGGCTACATTGGGAGGGCATTAGGGCGGGTGAGGGCCAAAAGGAAGAGTTGCCCAAGCCACGCCGGCGCAGGCTGTCGATGGGCTCAGTCCAGGGTGTTGAAACTAGAGGGCAAAACAATGGTGGGTGCCTGAGCAGTGGGTGTGGCTGCTGCAGGCCGGACGAGGGCGAGGGCGTGCTGACGAGTAGCAGACATGTGTGGGCGGTGGGCTGGCAGTGTCAGCGACCATGTGCATGCGAAGTATCCGATTTCCGATCTGGTCAGGGTGGGGCTGCAAATACCCTGTCCGCCATAGTTACGGATCGCCCATGGTGGATCTGCAGGCGCCTGTGCAGCCATGCTGCAGGGCATTGTCGTGTTTCTGGCTGCGCTGCACCGCCGGGCGACGTCTGCACGAGCCCAGGGCCGCCAGCAGCAGTAATAGCAGTTGTCTTGATGCCGTCTGGTCTGCTGCTGCTGCTGCTGCTCCCCCGTCGGCAGCATGGCGAGCCAGAAGACGCCAACCCGTCGGGCGGGCCCACGGCGGCCAAATGTCGCAGGCTTGCATGTCGAGCAACTTTTCCCCTTCACCAGGCTGGGCTTGGCGCGCAACAGTGACAACGCGCCGCACAGTAGTATTTGCCCGCGCAGCATTTGCCCGCCGTGCGCGCCGTGGGAGCGACCGCTAACCTCCAACAGCGCTTTTCCGAGCCCCGTCGCGCTCTTGTTTCATACGTCCAGAAGAGCATGGAGCATGCGAGCATGGAGCTCTCTCGCCTGCTGAAGCACGCCTGCATGCCCGCCGACTGCTGCCAAATCATCAAACAAACATCGAACTTTGCCGGCCTCAAGCATGTCGTCATGACGGCGTGCATGGCCGTATTAGCAGCAGCATATTGTGCGTGCTCGACTGCTGCTGGAGCGAGGGCGCGGGCGCGGGCGCATCAGAGAGAGAGTGAGGGTGACAGAAGGTTTAGGGGCTATCTCGGACTCGACTCTCGATCCGCCAACCTCTCATCTCTGCCATGCTGCAAGTTCCCGCCGAGGCGCAGGGATGTGCTCGCCTGTGGTCGATCCTGTCTTGTGATGCTCGTCGTCCCAAGTCCCAGTCCCAGTCCCAGTCAGTCGTCTGCGCCCTAGCCTCACTCGTCGATCCTGTCCTGCCCTCGTCAACCACCTGCGCCCCGTCGAAACATGTTCCTCCCTCTCCCTCTCCCTCTCCCTCTTGCGCTGCATATGTACGCGCCATCCTCCTCCTCAAATCTTAACCTCCAACGCCTGGGCCTGGCCCCGAGCCTGCCTAGCGCCATTTCGGACTATGCTGCCGAGTTACCTCAGTGGCTGTTGCCGCGAACTCTCCGTCGTGTTCCCAACCCGGCAGAGCTGCCCACACTAGCACTAATAATAAGTAAGCTGCACCGTTTATTTGGAGCTAAAAAAGCCCGCCTCGCCCTGCAAATGACACCAGGAATCCACCGCTTGTCGCGCCACACGCCTCTGCGCACGGTGCCTAGCAGGTCACGGTACATTGTCTAGCATCCTCAATCTCCCTCCACGTGAGCCCCGTCAGCCGCCAGTGGCCTTGTACTTACAAGCAGGCCTGCAGTGCACACCATGCCTCTGCAGCTCCGGTGTCGCCTACCGAAACCAAAGTGGTCCAATTGACGCCTTGCCTGTCCTCACAGGCCATGCGAGTGCGTCATTTCGGTACGGCTGGCGATCATCAAGTGGCCCCAGCTGCCGCCTCAACCTACACCAATGCTCGTCCTAACATGGCAAAGCACTACAGCCCTTGAACATGCTTCGAGAACCTTTTTGCTCCCCTTCCAAATACAGCACCCCCGCCCCCCTTCCGCCACCTGATTCATGTCACCGCTACCTATCACCAAGACAATGCGCAATTGACAAGTCCGCCATTATTTACCTCTCTGCTTACATACCTACATACTTATTACATCTTTCTTCCATACGCGCTCCCCTAGCGGCGGCCAAACCGCTGACCAGGAAGCCCCCGCCGTCAACCACCAGCCTGTCCCCCACCCCCTTCTACATCCCAGTGTTCATCTCGGAATGCACATCTTACCATCCGCCATCACCACCTTCTCACTCCCCATCTTCCGCCCACCAAGTACGTACGTAAGTACATACGTTCCGGACCAACCGAGACGTCCATGCAGGCGCATGCTTGGCACCGCCGTTTGAGACACTGCCTAATTGGTCGCCCTGCTGCTGAGTTCAAAACAGACGAGTCAGCAACGTTACCATCTCGCATCAACTTACCAAAACACTACACCGTTGCGCTGTTTATAAATACCACCGGCAATAGAGTGACTTCTCGCCAACACTGCCCTGCTTATGTGCTTCGCCCTCATAGGGCGCTCTCTTTTTTTGGTCAATCCTTCATTTTATTTTTCAAAGTCGATCACTGTCTCAGGGACGCGAACCCGACGTTTGCGCCGCCCTTGTCATCAACAAAGCCGTGTGCTTACAGTAACGTTGCCCATCTATGCGACAATGTAGTCCCACTCAAGGATTATAGCTGAAAAGACGGTTGTCAAAGACTGTCAGGGACGGACCGACAGGCCAATAACATGCAGCCACTACCACGTTGACAGGGTTCATCCCACATGCCTGCACAAGCTGATACTCCGTCTGTAAGTAAAACGAGGCATTAAGTTCGGGATTAACCACACGTCAAACCCCAAAGCGTTACAACCCCAGCACTCAAAAAGTTTACTGAGCGGGAAAGGAGGGATGGCCCGGCAGGTGTACCGTGACGAGATAAACGGCGCATTAGCCACAAAAGCGCTTGCTCTTGCTTATGCCCTATTCGTTACACCTCCAGACATACTAGTCTGACTTGTACGCGACGCCGTTGAAGCCATTATATTTTCCATCGAGCCCAATGCGTTTAACAAACAGTATCGTCAATGCGCACAGTGGGAAAGGATACACGTAATTCTTGGCCATCGTCGCTACCCATGCATTGAAAAAAAAAATGCGACCATCACACGTGGCCGTGCTCGAGACTGATATATTCGACAATGCTACCAAGCCCGCACCCAGTGACACAGAGATGGTGTGTGCAAGATATATTCTTCATCGCTTGACCCAGGTAGGCATCTTGCGTGCTTTGACATGACCAGGCTTCTTCCTCTCCACCTTCCTTGGGTCGCGTGTTATGGTACCAGCTAGAAAAGCAATCAGCCATCATGTCTGGAAAGCGCATAGACAACAAACGGGACGTGTTCAGGGGCTTCTTTCGAGACTGTAGGGCATAACCACAACCGTGCGCCAGGCACAGTGTCTGCATTGGCCATATCCGTAGAGCCACTGGAAAAGCATGGCCGCCATGAAGACACTTGGGCTTTGACCAGGAAAAGAAAGAACAACTTACCTCTTCGAAGTGCTGGCTTCAATGCGGGCTCATGGACCAACAATGATTTTGCTACTGCAAGAGTCATTGCCTCCGCCTGGCCAGTCAGACCGCCACCTTGTACTAGTGCAAACACATTGTACTTGTCCAGGCGCTGGGTAGCCTTGAGCGCCCACACCGCGCTCTCTCGATGATGTAGCCGTCCAAAGAATTGAGAGAGGGATTTGCCATTGACCAGTACCTCACCTTCACCCTCCACAAGCCATGCAACTGCAGACGATGTCTTCCTCCGCCCTACGCCTTTGGCACGTCCAAGCTCGTCAATGACACCAGGCTTCGGCTTGATATCTCCAGGCTGGACTGGCTTTTTGTACCGCTGCATAGCCTGTAGAACCTCCTCTGGCATGAGCGAGGGGTGAATGCAGTTCAACCTCCTCAGAATCTGCAGCATCCTATGATATCGCGCCGTTTTCACTGGCTCGTTGGTCATGATGCGATATTGCTCAATTGTCTTCCACGCCACCTTTGGGGCCTCTGCAGGTGGTATAATAGGAAGAGTAGCGACCTTGCGAAGGAGAGCAGATAGTGAGAGAAAGTCATCGGTGAATGTGGGCTTCGCGCTGAAGTATGATGGCGATGCAGGGACAACACGCAGCGTCCGTAATATATTTTTCTTTTCTCCTTCTTCGCCACTGCCCTTGATTCCTTCAAAGTCGAATTCAGGCGCTGCCTTGAATGGTTCCCGTAGCTCGTCTTCTGTAACCTCTGCGTGCTTTGCAGCTGTTGTCGAGATGCATCGCCGTATCTGAGGGTGGAGGCTCCGTTGAGCTGGTCGAATCGCCCGCTGGCATTGGGGTAGCGGACGGCTTCCTAGGACGTCGAATGCCCTCCACATGCTCCGTGAAAGCTCTCTGCTTGCCATTGCGTGTCTGGCGTATGCGCACGCACCGCGGTACTCTTGTTAGAAAAAACTGCCAGTGGTTGAACGTCGACCGAACCGCGTGCAAAAACGCCAAGACGGGCGAACTAAAATTACCGTCTGTGCACAGACACAGATTTCTGCGAGGGCCATAGCCCCGCGCTCATTTCAACCAGCCTTTTTTTTCTTCCACATCCGCTTCTTCACACTGATTGTTTTGCTCAACTACGGTCAAGTCTGCAATCATGTCTTTCGGAAAGCTCTACAGCTACTCGGTACGTGTTTTATCAGCTGCGAGACCAGAATGCGTCGCAACGAGTGCTAACACGACTTCGACAGGGCAACCCACGCACGACCTCTCTCCTGGCCGTCGCGAAGGAGAATGGCCTCGACATTGAGTTTGTCGACACCGAGCCTGCAAAGGGTGTCTCTACCGACTACCTGAAGATCAACAAGCTCGGCAAGGTCCCTACCTTCGAGGGCGCTGACGGCTTCGTCCTCACTGAGTGCATGGCCATCGCTGTCTACCGTAAGTGCTACCCCGCTTGTTTGCCCCCTATCTGCACAAAATGATGTGGAATGTTTATCATTCAGTTATCCCTGTCTGAAAACTATTGTTGAGAACTTTACTATTCTGATTTACGCTTGCAACTCTGTTTCTGTTTAACTGCTTCTTGTCTTGGTGGTGACTCAGAGCTGACGTCCTGCAGTTGCTTCGCAAAACGAGAAGACCAGCCTTCTTGGTAAGACCAAGCAGGACTACGCCACCATCCTGCGATGGATGTCCTTTGCCAACACTGAGGTCCTCCCTCCTCTCGGCGGCTGGTTCCGCCCTATCCTCGGTCGCGACCCTTACAACAAGAAGAACGTCGAGGACTCCCAGAAGGCCGCCCTCAGGGCCATCCACGTCATCGAGGAGCACCTTCTCACACACACCTACCTTGTCGGTGAGCGTCTGACTCTTGCCGATATCTTTGCCACCAGCATCATTGCCCGTGGCTTCCAGTACTTCTTCGACAAGCAGTGGCGTGACTCCAACCCCAACGTTACCCGTTGGTACGAGACCGTCTACAACCAGGCCAGCTACTCAGCTGTTGCCCCCAAGCTCGAGTTCATTACCGAGGCCTTGAAGAACGTCGCACCCAAGAAGGAGGGTGGCGAGAAGAAGAAGGAGCAGCCCAAGGCCGCCCCCAAGCCCAAGGCTGAGGAGCCTGAGGAGGAGGAGGAGGCCCCTAAGCCCAAGGCTAAGCACCCTCTCGAGGCTCTGCCAAGGGCCACCTTCGTTCTTGACGACTGGAAGCGCAAGTACTCCAACGAGGAGACCCGCGAGGTTGCCCTCCCCTGGTTCTGGGAGAACGCCAACTTCGAGGAGTACTCCCTATACAAGGTCGACTACAAGTACAACGATGAGCTGACCCTCACCTTCATGACCTCCAACTTGATTGGTAAGTGTATCCGTGCATTTCATCTTTGCACCAATGCTAACGCTGCATAGGTGGTTTCTTCGCTCGCCTTGAGGCCAGCCGCAAGTACCTCTTCGGAGCTTGCTCTGTATACGGCCAGTCCAACGACTCCGTTGTCACCGGAGCCTTCCTTGTCCGCGGTCAGGAGGCTCTCCCTGCTTTCGATGTCGCTCCCGACTTCGAGAGCTACGAGTTCACCAAGCTCGACCCCACCAAGGAGGAAGACCGTGAGTTCGTCAACGACCAGTGGGCATGGGACAAGCCCATCACCGTCAACGGCAAGACCATGGAGTGGGCCGACGGTAAGGTCTTCAAGTAAATGCTTCGCTATGTTTGTGAGGTTTTGCTTTGATTTATGATGCGGATGATTTACGAACCTGGCATGGGTATAGATGGGATGACGGATGAGGATTCATGAGATCACGCTGGGCAGCCCTTGGTAGATCAGCACTACTGCCACGGCCCGGAAGAGGCTGAAGAAAAAATGCTGCATAAAGAAAGTTCATGATACCCAACACAAACATTGACCCTTCATCACGTGATGTGCATTGTGAAAGTGGTTCCCTAGTCACTGCTGCTGTCGACATCCTGGCTGGACCTGGGGAATTCCCCACTTAAATTCCTTGACATGTCTCACTTTGCATCGAGACGGCAATCGCTAAACATGATGTGTATCTTACATTCCGTCACCACGCCTAGATCTTTCAGGCGTTCACATCCCCAGATCTGGGCTCGACAAGGGCGGGGCCAGCTTCTGTGGCTTGGCTTGGGACCGCGAGCGATTGGTTGAGGGCGAACAAGGAGCGAATAACCCGGGCCAACCGCCAAAGGAAGGCTGGAAAGAACGGCGCAGGCGCATAGACACATGCATGTCTTTGTGCCTTCGAGTCCGCTCTCAAGTCCGAGGACCATGACACCTGCTTTGTACTGCCGATAATCGCTGCGTACACATCTCGCGCTATCGACATTCTTACACGACGGCTAATCTTGAGGGCGACGCGTTGTCGTTACCCCAGTCCTCTATAGCTACCCTGCGGTCCTTTTCGCGGCGATAAACACGGCTTGGTCGGTGATCACCAAACCACATCGCAGGGCATCCCAAGACTGTCGTGGTTTTTGTCCTTCCCACTCCCTGTTGCGCTTGAGCTGGCAATCTTCACCCGGCCAGTCGTTCTTCGACTTGTTCATTTTTACTCGCAGGACCCCCCTTGAGAAAAGAGCTGGGCGTGTTTGACAGTAGCTACTAAAACTACAGGGACAAGGGTTAAAGGTACCATCCGGCTGTTGAGAAGATAGGCTGTGTAAGAGCTGTTGTCAGACTTCCCCTCCCGGCACCAGTTACTAGCGACTTGTGCGGCCGGTCATCACGCAGTGCAACAATTGTCACACAATTGCGCGATAAAGCGCCGCGATCAGGACCCAGACTCCGGCCTTCAAGGATTGCTGCTGCGCCTCAATAAGTCACCCACAATCGCAACGAGAAGAAAGGAAAAAACGAAATTATTTGCATCCGCATGCTCCAACAGAACCACCAGAAACTCATCGATAACACGTCACGGGAATCTGAAGCAACTCCAACAAAATCTTCGGTTGGCATCTTGTTTCTTGGTTGAAACGCTACCGTTCACCTATCGGAGCTAGAGCATTAAGAGGAAGTTCGACCGTGTGGGCATCTTGAAGCCGAGGTTTGGGATTAATAGCCGTGTAAGAGCTACGAAATCCAGACGGCACAATCTTTTTTACTGAAAAGGGGAGCGGAAGAAGGTTGCGAGAGACGCGTCATCACTGTGGGTATGAGAGAAGATGATGGAAGGGTGGTTCGGAGGTCTTCCGGGCACTCTAATGAACCTGCGATTCAGGTAATCTGTTTGGTGAGTCAGTTCAGGAAACATCCGTGGTTCCTCGTGTATCGGCACCGTGCTTCTGGTTCGGGATTTGGGTTCACGAAAAGACGGCACTCACGATAGAAGCGTTTCGTCCAGATCAAGACTGACATCAACAGGGCTCAGGCGGTGGACCAAGCGAAGACAATGTCACTGGTTTTCTTGTACGTTCAACAGCCACAAATTGGGCGAAAAACTCGGTCATTGCTGTAGACGCAGGATCTCATCTTGCATCCATCACCAACATTCTGGCGAAAGACTTTCCGCTCGTCTCTGACCCAGACCCGCCTCTACAAAATCCTCGAAACAGTAATGGTGCCGCTACTGCTGACCAGACCGATTCCCCATCCCCGGGCACGACGCATGTTACCCCTTCGGATGATGAATCCGACGTCCATACACCCATGTCGGAGAGTGAGATGTCGGTTACCATAACGACACTAGAGAAGGGTTCTTTTGCTGGACTACCGTTTCCTTGCCAGAGTGCTAGGGCGAATGCGCTGCACATTATGAGAGAGCATGTGTCGACGTACCTCATCACGCATCCACATTTAGACCATCTCTCGGGCTTTGTGATAAACACAGCAGCTTTCCACAATACGTCGCGACCAAAGCGTTTAGCTGCATTGCCCTTTACAGTCAACGCTATCAAAACCCATATCTTCAACAACATCATTTGGCCCAATCTCACAGATGAAGATGGCGGGGTTGGCCTTGTGACTTTCCAGAGGCTTGCAGAGGGTGGGAATATTGCACTAGGCGAAGGAAGCTCAAGAGGTTATATCGAAGTTTGCGATGGTCTTGGTGTCAAAGGGTTTAAAGTAAGCCATGGACACTGCATGCAAGGAGCGGGCCACGTGCATCGCGGTTCAACTATTAACCTCCTGGAGACACCAGGTGCTCAACAAGTAGATGGGCATGACGGCCGTTCTATGAGCATACCTGGTGGAATGCACAGTACTCCAGGCACACCAAGTCTTAACGGAGGTACCGAACTAAGCCGACGAGCCAGTGGCATGACGGTCGCGCAACCACAACAGTCAATCAGAGACGAGTGTGTCATTGATTCAACAGCCTACTTCATCCGTGCAGAATCTACACTTACAACGCCCAAACGTGAGATTCTCATCTTTGGCGACGTAGAGCCAGACTCTTTATCTCTCACCCCACGTAATGCTCAGATATGGAGCGAAGCCGCTCCTAAAATAGCCGCAGGCATCCTGAGGGGAATATTCATCGAAGTGTCATATACCAACGCACGAGGCGACGCAGTCCTCTTCGGGCATTTGGCGCCTCGCCACTTGCTAGAAGAGCTCATTGTCCTCGCCGAGATGGTACGAGAGAAGAAAAGAGCACACGAACGAGGCAAAGAAGAGCTACGCATGAAAAAGAAGCGAAAACGAGCAAGCGGTCCGTTGCAACTCGACAGCCTCGCATCTCCAGACGCACGCAAACCCAGAATCAACTACATGGGCGTCGGCAAAGGTATCGATTCCCCCATCTCAGCAGTCAATCCCCAGACGGACGACGAAGCGCTATCAGACTTCCCCGCCTCAAGAGGCGACACGGGAACGCACACTCCGAACCCCGCAGCATTCGCACCAGACCCCAACGGCAATAGTAGTAACGAACCCAACGCTGCTGCCACTGGCCCTCACGCCTCCTCCCACCCTTCCGCCCCCGCAGCCATGAACCTCACAAGCGTCTCAGCAGAACACAGCCGCGCCATGCTCTCCGCGGCCTTTGACTCACCGCTCAAGGGCCTCAAAGTCGTCATTATACACGTCAAAGATACGTTTGCAGATGGGCCGCTCGTCGGCGACACGATTCTGAGTGAGTTGCGCCAAGGCGAGGTGGCGTTGCAGGAACAGGGCAAGGGCTTGGGGTGTTTGTTTGAAGTTAGTCGGTCCGGGGAGAGTTATTGGTTTTGAGGGGATTGAGGCGGATTGGTTTAGGTAGGTGGGTAGGTAAAGGGTGGGGGAGGTTAAAATGGGGTTTAGATGGGGTTTAGCATGGTTGGAATGGGCGTTGTATAGATGGTATGGGTTGGTGGGAGGGGGTTTTTTGACAATTTTTTTTGCATTCGAGACTGATGGCTTTTCCTTTTTTTTGTTGTCCTTGAACTTGGGGTTTCGCATTGGTTTTGGCACGTGGGTTGTTGTACTGTAGATACGTTTGTGTCATGAGGGATGGGGGGAAAGGTTTTCCAGTCTGAGGAATTTGGCTGTCATGGTTGGTTTACGAATGGCCATGTTGTTGATGTCATTTTTTTTCTATTACTTTTGTCAATGCTATTGCACTTCAGAGGTCACAATTGCATGTTTTTTTTGAGAGAGAGAGAGAGATGAAAGAGACAAAGAAAATGCATCGTGTTTAGCAACGTATGTTGAAGATTTTCATAGGAAATCAACCAAAGAAATCGTTATTTGCGTGCAAAGCTACAAGGCAGTTATACGTAAGGTGTCGTAATCATAAAAAAATCCAGGTATCATCGTGATATCTTTTACCGTCTTTAGTAAGAGAAAAGACAGTAGGACTGAGTATAGTTCAGTCAACTCAGGCATAAGCTCCCTTGTGAGGAACATATCTAGGCTGCTCTCCAATCCCCACTTGTTTATTCAGCGCCGCCTTTCTGGACAATGCACTCCTTCTCTCCCCATAGATGGCCGAGACAACCCACAGCACCCACATAATGCCCGCAGCAACGCCATACGCAATCATCTGGCCACGGCTAGCAGGTATACCCGTGAAGGCAGGTGCACCCGATGCAAGCAAGAGGCCAAGACCACCATTGATCATGCCGAGGGTGATGAGTATGCGTCCTAGCCAAAGATGGCAATGCGACCATACTGTGCGTCGAGTATACTTTTTGTACTGGAGGTGGTGGATGAAGCCGAGGATGGGCTGGAAGAAGAGCATGACGAAGACAATGATGCCGATGATGGGGTGGTAATTGTCCAATAGGCTCACGGGCATGTCGTTGATCATCCACACGCCGATGCCAAAGGCGGCGAGGTAGACGGTGTAGGCGAAGAGCTGGAACAGGCCGTGTACGATCCAGAGGCCACGGAAAGTGCCTAGGCGGATAACGATCGAGCCTAGGGGGAAGAAGAGGACAAAGGCCAGGGCGGCGAGGACACCGTGTGCTGCGATGATTTTGCGACGCGATTCTGAATCTGCGTCTGCGAAACCGCCATTTGCACCATCACTGCCATATTGTGTAGTAGCGTAGTCGCTGTTGGCGTCATCACCCCCGCTTCCATATGACCCAGAGCTCCATTCATTATTCGATCCAGGGCTCCATCTATCGCCAGGGCCAGGTCCGAATTGGGCAGACACGATGGTGGTGGCTATTGCTAGTATCAAAATCAGCCCAGGGATTGAAGATCGATCTACCTATTGCACACACACACACACACCTAAGCTGAGCAGAACGGTTCTTGTTGAGGAAGTCATGATGGGAGGCGCCACGTTGAATTGAGTAGCATGAATATGACCAAATAGTCTTACGCGGCTGATAGAAGGAAACATGGGCTACTTAATATTCACCCACCCCAACGCTTACAGCTGAGCTGATGGTGCAGCAACTATCGGCGATGCAGGCCAAGTCCGCCCAAACCGTCGCAGCAGACCCGAAACAAGACAAAAGTGACATAAGTGGAAGCGAATCAAGACTAAGATTACGCGTTTCTGGAACCTTTGATTGTTTCGAGTGGTGGACATTTGTCTAGCTAGTGCTGTGTTGGGATCGGGGTGTCCATGGAGAGCCGTAGGTCAGACGGCATGTCGGCAAAAAGAGATGCAGAGAACTCCGACATGAACTTACATGAACAGGGCGACTACTTAGACTAGGAATATGCCTGACGTTGACTATTGCTGATTTCATCTTTACAAAAAATCCAAGTCCTAGTGGGTATACTTGCAACGAGCACGTGACTGTGAGCGCATCTGAATCTACAATTGCCTTGGGCGGGCCGACGCGCCCTCGACTGGACCAAAAGGGCTAGCATGATCTGCCTTTTGCATGATACTGCTGGCAGCGACAGGGCAGCGACTAGGCAGCGTAGCTTCAACCTGATACCTACTAACTTTTTTTCTTTCTGGCGCATGAGGTGCACTCTGTCAGGAGCCCAAGGCTGGCTGACTTGGAAAATGGATCCATGACGTAGTGATGGCTCAGGACAAAAGTGAGCACCCCGGACGTTTGTGTTGAAGACTGGGTGTCAAGATCCTTGGAACGGTTCCTGTGTTCTAGCATGGGCGGCAGCGTGACATGGCGGTCGACATCGTGATGTGGCAGCCCACGCAGGCCGCCTACCCGTCGGGGGTCGACCCCATGGCGGCCAGAGCGCGGATGTTGAGATTTTCTACCGCCTTCTATCCGGGGGTGGTCATGGCCAGGGCTGGCCAGGCACATGGCGGTGTTGAAGAGATGCTATTCCTGTCATGTGGTGCTTTGTTGCAGTCATGAGTTCGCCGTTGGATTATGTGACTGCGCAGCCGCAAGCGAAACCGGTTTTTTTTGGGGAGGGGGGGCAGTGTCTCGGAGGCGCAAGGCAGGCAGACAGAGAGTATTGCCCTACTGCCACGGCGGCCTGAGGCGAAGAAGCAAAAACGGAGACCAAATTGGGAAGATTGGTGATGAGTTGTTTGGGCAAGAAGGAGGTGAAGAGCCTTACAGCGCTGAGTTGTGCAGGCCCAGGACCAGGCATGACTCCTGCAACGCCCGATCTTCGGCTGCGGCAGCTGACCAATGACGCGATGGCCCGTCAGTGACAGCGGCCCGCCATTCGCTGGCTGGTAACCATCTTCCTGATCCCCGTCACACCACTGCGCGGCTCTGAGTCACCCTGCAGCCTACTACTCCCGGCCATGGCTGACTGGGTAGGGTACCTGCATGAATGAGGTGATCATGGCCGGTGTATATAAGTCTTGCACACCATCCTGCTTCTATGCCGGTCTCTACTGAGATTATTAGCCGCCTTTGCGGCTTTTCGCCCCGCCTCTCTCTCCCCTTACTGCTACTACAACTACTACAACAACAACAACTACTCTACTCTACACAATCTCAGCATCATCTACTACACCTACCATATTCTACTACTACCACCGCCAACAAAAGACTCGAAAAAAAGGAGAAGAAATGGGCAAACGTCACAACAGAAAGCGAACCAGAAGCCGTCCCAGGAACCGCAATAACAACAACAATAATCCTAATGCCAACAACAACCTGAACATTAATACGACACCAATCCACATCCGGAGCGAGTCTGTCAGCACCGCCTCTTCAACTCTCTCGCCAACAAGCTCTTGCTTCCAGCCCTCTGGCTGCCCGCTTGCCAACGTGCCAGCAAACCACTGGCAGCAAACCTACACAGCATGGCAGATGCGTCTGCGAATCCAGCGGGAGCAGGAGCAAGAGTTGGAGCTAGAGACGCAGCGACTCCGCATCTTTGGTGGCTTACCGGAGGATGAGCGGTGTCTAATGGAACCCATGCTCAAGGTCGTCACGGATCTCTTCGACGGCTTCTACGACTACGAGGACCCTTGAACAAAAACAGCAAGACAAGGACCATAGAAGCCCCCGGGGAGGTATGAACCTGCATTCCACGACCTATTTTGCTCCACTCTCGTGCATCGCATGGCCATGGCCACTTCCCCGACCCCACTTTTTTTATGGGCTGGTCGCAGGGGGTGGGGGTGGTAGAGGCGGTGAGAGCACCACCTCGTTGTTACCACGCCTGTACACATACATACACGTCGTCCCTTTTGTGTATGTGTCTAGACCCTCGTGGCACGACCCGCATATCCCCCTTAATGCGTGGTCCCAATAATCCACTCCCCCTCGTCGACAACAACGACTCCACTGCTTTTTTACTATCCGCTTTAGGGATCTAAGCGCTAAGGAATTCTTTGTCCCCTGAGTCGACCGGCTCTTATTTTTTTTCTTCCTCTCTGATTCGCTTCGCTGTTTGGCACAAAGCACTACACAACATATACTTTGAACGACATCCCAAGTTTTCAACAACTCAGAAACTTTAATTTCTTTTTCTGCCCAATCAGAAATTACAACACCCATGATTCGGGAACTTTTTTTTTTTAGCCAGGGCGGAGGCGTGGGATACCATCTGGGTACGGACTCGTAGCAGATCCTAAGACAAGAGTACTAATGGGATTCGAAACTCTTTTCATCAAGAGTGCGATTTCTCGGGTGCCAAGGAAAGTCGGGATTGGTTCAACTATTGCTCAGCCCTAGGACTCCGTCTATTTGCGCATGCGCGGTGGACATGAAGGAAGGATTGAATGGAAGGAAGGGAAGGAAGGAAAGGAAGAAAAGCAGCTCGATGCACGCTCTGGTGTCTGGACATCCTGCTCGAGTCTACCAGCTCGCGGGTTGTACATGCATAGAGCTTGAGCGTCGCTGCTTCGAAGGGGGGAAGGAGGAGGAGGAAAACATGAGAAGGAAAAAGGGGGGAAAGAAGCCATGCGTTTATTTCTGGTCAACGAATCATGAGGGGAATTTGGATAATGGGGGGGGGGTTTGTCGTTTTGTGTGCTCTTCTCTTTTTTTTTGCTCAATCTATATCTCTCCTAGTAATCACCTAAGCATTTATTTTCTCACATCGTAATGACTAGGAAGGGGGGGGGGGGGTTTCAACGGTAATGATTAAAGGTAAGCATGTGGTAGATTGATGAATTGTAACGGCCGCTCTTTTCATATATATATATAGCATCTAGCTTTAAAATAAATCTTTAACCCTCATTTCTACTTCTTACTGCTTGTGCTGTGTATTGTGTGATGATGGGTAGAGCACTGGTTGCTTCTTCTTCCTTACTCGCACCAAAAGCGTCACTACCGACCCATCCGTGTACTACCCCTTTGCTGATTAAAACACTCCCTCAACACGTCCTCGGCGTAGGTCCGAGACTCCCCCTGTAAACCCACAAGCGGACTGTGACTGTGCCCAGGAAGAAACAATATCCGCATATCCCCATGCTGAGCAATAGTAGTGTGTACATGGCTAGTAAATCGGGGCCGTGGTCGTAGTGGTGGTTGTAGTCATGGTTGTTTGTCATAGTTTACGCGTAGTAGTATCTAGACAATGCCAAAGTGTGGAAAAGATGAAGGTTCACATCGTGTGGGTATGAGATAAAGAAAGGAAGAAGAAAGTGGTAGTAGTGCTGATGGATGCGACACAGATGTATGTTGATTCAATGCACTACACACGTTACATAGCTAGATATATAATATTGAAGAGACGTAGAAGCCAAACGTGTGAAGAAAAAAAAACCTTTTCAGATGTGCGTGTGTGAATGATGTGAATGTTGAAAGAATACATGCGAAGTGAAGTATTGTAGTAGCCAGCTGTATTATCACAGAAGGAAATAAAAAGAGAAGAAGCATTTAATACCGCAACGCCATCCTTTACCCCCAAAGCAACACATTAAACCTCCCAATTCCAAAAGTGGTATCATATGAAATGAAGACTGGAACGAACATGACTTCCTCCTCCATCCTCGTCTTTCTTGAATTGTAAAAGACTCGAGACAATGCAATTCAGATCCACACACCGCCTACTTAATAGCAGGCAGGGCATCAATCTTGGCATACAACTCCTGCGGATTCTCAAAAACATACCAAAGATCCTTGGGCACTCCCTTGAACGCCTTCTCGAACCGCTCGGGGCTATTCTTAGAGCCCTCATCCATCTCCGCAACACCAGTCACCTTGCGAATGTAGATAGCGCCAATCCACTTGCTGCCAAACTTGCGGTAGGCCTCGCCGTACGACTCCGGGTCAGTTTGTGTCGAATCGCCAATGAGGATGAATCTGCGCTTAGGGAACCATCCGTAGACTTTCTCGATGCGATCGACTTTGTAGGCTTCGGTACCTTGGGTCAGGTTTGCGAGGAAGCCCGCGAGGTTCATCCAGCTGGCGTCGCGCAGGATCATGGTGCCGTTGGGGTAGTACTGGTCGCGGAATTTGCGGAGGAAGGGGTAGAGGTTGTAGGGTGAGGCGGAGAGATACCAGAAGGGCGGGTTGTCGAGCTTTTGTACAATGTGCTTGTATAGCTCGGGCATTCCCTTGATGGGCTCTGGTTCCTCTGCGAAGGTGGTAGTCAGGATACCAGTGGGCGAGGGTGTGAGCGTCTTCTTGATGGTGTCGTCGATGTCAGAGAGGACTGCCCAGCCCTTGGACTTGGCAAAGGTAATGTTGAATGGAGTTGCAGTTGCGTCGACGGCCTTGAAGCTGGTGACTTGGCCGTCTTTGTAGTCATTACCGGGGATGGCCAGCTCGTCGACACTGATGCCATCACGACCACTAGGACCCAGCCTGGCGTTCAAACCCAAGAGATCAATCTCGACCGAGTGGGCGGGAAGGATCTGGTCGGCAAAGGGCTGGAGCCTGGTGGCGACAGTCCGTCTGGCTTGCTCATCGTCTGCAAGGCCAATCTTCTCGCTGACCCAAGCGACTATCTGGGAGAGGTCCTTGCCGCTGTCCTTGACGAAGTAGCAGGCGACAAACTCGGCCTTCCACCTTCCGAGGCGATTCTGGTAGGCGGTGTTGTCGAGGATCCAGACATAGTCGGTTTTTGAATTGACTGGGGAGTAGAAGGGGTTCTTACGGCCAAGGTAGGAGGAGAGGTTGTCCTTGAGGGAGAAGCTGAAACGGTTGGCGAGCTTAGGCATGTCTGCTTCAAAGGCGGCGAAGTTTGATTTTTCTCTGGTGATTCGCTCTTGTTCGGTTTCTTCAGCGCGCATGCGGGCACGGCCGGCCACTGCAGCAGCGGATTCAGGCGCCATTTTGTAGGGTGGTGGGGTTGTACGAGGGGCGGCGGATCGCTATGGTGGTTCAAAGGTCAGGAGGAGAGGGTGTTGCACGGGACAAAGGGGTGCAATGGCCATGGTAGCGGTCATATACTTTGGGCTAGCACTTGACCAGAGGGTTGTGAGTGGCTGTCAACAGGTGTCTCGCAGCTGGAGCGAATGCGCATGAGGAATGACGTCTAGCCAAGCCATGGCCGCCGCATAGGCTGGGGCATGATCGCCTGCCGAGGAAGCGGGTCTCAGATGCCTGTGCCTGCTTTGTGCGGCGATGCCCTCTGTAGAGTAGTACTGCATATATAGAGAGTAGCGTGCACCTTTGTACTGTATCCAGGCACCAGAGTCTTCCAAGATAAATTTGCAGAATACGGGGAGTCGAGGGAGCTGCAAACGTGGATGAGGCAATGGTTGTCTATCGATAGTGGGTACCTTTGGCAGGGTTGGGTGCCTGGCTGTGTGTCATGGAGCAGAGAGTGACGCAGGTGCAGTCATAGTTAGGCTACAGATGGTGGAGGGGTCGATCGGCAGGCAGGCAGCATACTACATACTTGGTACTCAGCCGTGTGCCTCATGGTGTGTGTAAGTAGGTGTAGTACAAACATCATACAAGACTATGTAGACACACGGGACTGCATCTTGGCTGACTCATGCGTGGCCAAAGTGGTGGCTACAGCAGACTCCGGCTGCCACTCCAAATGCTGGGCAGAAGAGAGGACTCGGTCAAGTTGGCAGTACACGTGTACACGTCCGTCTAGCGCTGCTTGTCAGTATGCCCGCCATGATGTCGTCTCGAGTAGTGCCCGAGGGTCCACTCTTCTTGCAGCCATCGTTGCCGCTGTTTGTGTGGTTTGTGTGTGGGAGAGGGAGCATGCGCGCACCCGTGTAAAGGAACAAAGCTGGGCAGAGTATGGAATATGTATCGTGACCCACGTCAAGGGTGTCGAGTCGAAGCGCTTACTGTACTGCTCTACACTAACTACCAGCTACTCTACTCGCAGGGTCCAATGAAGCCGACAATCGGACCGTGGGCGTGCATGTCCACGAAGAGCGGTATTGCTTGGCAACACCCTCCGCCTTCTGGGACGCGTACTACCACCGTGTAAGGCGGTGATGGTGGCTGTCAGACGTGGATAAGGACGCTGCACAGCCATCAACGGCTCATTGCCACACGTTATACGCGGCCGTTTACGTCGCCCACCCTCACCCGTCTGCGCCGCTGCCATGGCTCGGGGCCAAGTCATATCTTACCTAGGGACATGCGCCCGCGCGGAGCAAAGCGCGCGTGTCCTGGAGGCCTCATCATCTCTTTCTTACTGCCCACAGAACCACCATAGATCCTGTATTCCTTGCATCCATACATATTGCCTAGGCCCTCAGCCCTCCAGCTTCTCAGCCACTCTGCGCTGCTAGTTTGCGCCTTGCCTTGACATCATTTCACCTATCGCCTTTACCCCCCCCCCACATCGACCCTTGCTGGAGACCGCCGCCATGGAGCTCAAGAAGCGCCTCAACTTGGGCAGCTTGATGCGCAAACGCCCATGTTAGTCGCGCGACGACACTCTGAGTACTGCGTTAACACAGACAGCGGCGCCCCAGGACACCGTCCCTATAGACCCTAACGCCGATACGCCAGAAGCAAATGCTGCCAGGGGCGTGGTAAGCCACCTCGACTCGCCAACGCTTGTCCGCCCAAGCTAACAGCAACCAGAGACTTTTCTGCGAGTCTGGCGCTGCTAACTCGGTATGTCTTGTCTGCAAATGGCTGTCTCCTTCCTCCACTGACCATGCCGCGACGAATAGGGCGAAGAAGTGCTCCACCTGCCGACCATTGTCGAGTCCGCCGTCGCAAGCCCAGCTGCTGCGTCCGCCGCCGCCAGACAAATCCGCACCTTCCTCTCCAAAGAAAACTTCACCCGCCCTCATGTCCAGTACAATGCTATTATGCTCATCCGCATCCTGTCCGACAACCCGGGCCCCTCCTTTACCAAGAACCTCGACAAGCCATTTGCCGACACGGTGAAGCACCTCTTGCGCCATGGACAGGACCCTAGCGTTGCGCAAATCACAAAAGAGACGCTGGATGCCATGGAGCGGGAGAAGTCCTACGACAGCAATCTAAGCACGCTCTTCGCCATGTATAAAAAAGAAAAGGGGCTCATGGCCAATGCCGCAAAGCAATTCAGTCCTCGAACGCTCAATGCGCCAGGATGGACCGGGTCGCAGAACATACAGGGCGGCTTCAGTTCGGGAAGCAGCAGATCCAATCCCAAGACTTTGCCCCCGCCCACAGAGCTGGCAGGCCGCATCGAAGAAGCGCGCACATCAGCGAAGCTTCTCCTGCAATTCGTGCAATCGACCCCCGCCAACGAGCTGCTAAGCAATGAACTGGTCAAGGAGTTTGCCGAACGCTGCACCACCGCTCAACGGAGCATACACGGCTACATTGCCTGCGACAATCCGCCGCCTGACGATGACACCATGCTCACACTCATTGAAACAAACGAACAACTCTCTCTCGCTGCCTCCAAGCACCAGCGCGCAGTGCTCCAGGCGCGCCGCTTCATGGGCGCCTCGCCCTCACCCCCAGCTCCAAACGGCAATGCCCCAGCTGGTGTACCTCCTCCTCCTCAGTCATACACGCCGCCACAGACCAGCGCGCCCACATTACCTCCTGTAAACGTGACAAACACCCAGCCGCTCACCTCTCCCTCTGGTAGTTACAGAAACGAAGAGACTTCGCAACCAAGGCCGAGCGCGCCAGAGGAGAATCCGTTTGCCGATCACTACACATCTCCATACACATCTCCACCGGCACCCCCAAACCCACGAGGAACAAGTGATTACGGTGGTTCGCCCGACTCGTATCATCCTGGCTACCACTCGACTCCATCTTACCTGGGCCGACAAGAGAGTTCTGCGAACAACCTAACCATGCATGGTGCTCAGCCACCGATCGCTGAAGAGGATGAGCATACGCGATTACGGACCGACCGCCCACGAACCCCCGAGGGCAACGTGCCGCAGCAGCGAGCCCATGACGTGTCGCCGATTGCAGAGCGTAACACAATAACGTACAGATACTAGGAGTGCCGTGAGGGATGTGATCATGGATTGGTTAGCGGCCAAAGTCCGGACGTGCTCATGTGGGGTACTAGCGTACCGCCCGAGTACCCACACATCTGACCGGAGACGTCCGTCGCTTTGAAATCACAGCGCGTACATTTTTTTCTTACCCATTTGGAGCACGTTTTGATAACTTCATTTAACCGCATAGTCGGCCTCGTAGTTGTTTGGAAAGATACCATAGTTTGTTTTTGATCTAGTTCCGGTACATATCCATATATCCTAGGTGTGCACTTGGTTTGCCCTGTCCTGCCCCGCATGCTGCATGCTGCAAGCCCATAGGGCGCGCAGGCCGGTGACCTAATGCCAGACGCCATGGTAGCTAGATTCCTAAGCATCTCGTGCACCTCACGCGTTCCTGTGCTGCGTCAATCACGCAATGCGCACCGCGCCGCTCTCAGTTCGCCTAACCAGCTCAGATGCGATACTTGCCTCAATCCTGCCTGCGCAGGGCGACGAGCCGGGGGAGCCTCGCAAACAACCCCTCCAATCTGGAAGGCAAGACCCGACACACCCCCCACTGCGGCGGAACAAGGACCGCGCCTAGCGCAAAAAGATTTAGAGCAGCCGTCATGTTGAAGAGATAATAATACACTACCGAACTGCCTTGCCGTCCCCTTCACTCGAATCTCACCCAGTCCGTCTCTCCTCCTTCTCTCTCTCTTCCTCATGGCATACTGCTACAACAGTCCATGGCTCGTTCGTTCCCAAAATGCGTCGACACGGTGATCATCGGTATGCGCCCGAGTCGACTACATTTGCGGACCAGACACTGATTACAAATACAGGCAATGGCCCATCTGCCCTCATCCTCTCCTACATCCTGCATGGCCACATTCCCTACTACGTCGGCGGCCATCATGACGCCATACTCGACGCAAAACTCCAGAACGCGCCTAATCTTCTCCACCTAACCCCAGATCTCTACGCGCATTTCCTCTCCTCACTTCGCTACTCGACCCAGGCGCTACCCGTCAATACGCTTCTCGATACCCTCATTCGCCCAAATGCCGACACTGAGTTGAATCCCAAATCATGCATCGAATGGCGGTACGAGCCTGACAAGGCCATCTCACATCTTGCCATTGGAGAGACTGTACATGCAGGGGGACAATGGGCCGAAGATTTGCCCTCTGCGAGCGCCGACATAGGCACGCTAAGTTATGCCGAACAGCTTAGCCTACCAGGTTATTCATATACAGACCATCTGGCTAGAACCGGCAAGACAGATGAAGCGGAATTTATACGTCCGTCAAGGACTGAAGTCGCTGACTACCTCAAGGTCTATCCAGATGCAGTAGGTATATCCGACTGCGTGCTTACGGGGCTCAAGGTCGACAATGTTTACCGCACCGTCAAGGGCTTCTCAATCGGCAGTCTCGGAATCCGATGCAGGCACCTTGTATTAGCATCTGGCATCTTTACGGTCAACATTCCACCTCCTCCACTGCTCGCACCCATCTCACAACTAAATTTGCCCGAAGCGCCATTACTCGTTATTGGATCAGGATTTTCCGCTGCAGACGTCATCATTTCGGCGCCGCCAAGACGTAGGATCATACACGTCTACCAGTGGAATCCTGAAAAGCGCCCGTCTCCACTCCGAGGGTGTCATCATACTGCTTATCCCGAGTATGCCACTGTGTATCGCCAGATGAAGCTTTCGGCAATCGCATCTTCGAAAAAGACCAAATCTGGACGACCCGCCTATGCAAGGAGAAGATCGAGCGCCTTCCAGCAGCGAGACTGGACGCTTTACGAAGGCTTACCTGGCGCAGAAGTTGTTGGTGCATACAGGTCTGGGGATGTGGCCAAAGTAGAACTACGGTTATCTTCGGGTGACATTGTTACACGTGAAGTAGGTGGCTTGGCTTATGTCGTGGGAAGGCGCGGCACACTCGACTTTCTGTCTCCAGAGTTACAATCTGAGGTGCTGAGTGCACCTGACAATGTACCGGTCGAATCATTGTCAGACAACCTAATCTCGGGGCGCACACTTCGCGCAAAAGCTGAAGCAACCTCGCTCGAAGTCGCTAGGGACGTTTTTATCACCGGAAGCCTCACAGGCGACTCTCTGATTAGACACGCAGTCGGTGGTTGTGTTTTCGCAGCTGGCCGCATCCTTGGGGCTATACCAAGCATGTACCCATCTGACAATACCCTCTCACCAGCTTTATCAACACCCCGGTCTGCATCACCAGTCTCCAACTCTGACGCCGAAGCTGCCGCGTCGGAAATTAGTCCTAGTCCACCAAGACCACGGACTGGGCAACGAACACCTTCTGAGCTGACAAATGGCCATGAAGACTTGCATCTTGACCGACGGAAACTTTTCCGTGCTGTAGAGACGGCGCATGCGGAGAATAGGTCTTGGGTTGATTCTGGATGGTGGGCTGGTGGGCTAGGGCCTGGACGGCATTGAGTTTTAGACGTTTGGTTTTGAAACTGCTGCTTGCATTACATACCCAATATAGTTGAATATATACGTTTACAACCGTAAGCTTGAATTGATACTCGAATAACAGGGAATTGTAAATATGTGACAAGAGTATTTGCATTTAAAAATCAGTCTCTTATAAACGTAGTAGCCCAGTTTTTTAGTTTAGTAAAATCTACATCCGCCCTTATATAAAGATACAACACATGCTGCCCAAAGTACTCAATATTCTAGGCGACATGGGCATGTATAATCTGCTCGTATTCGTTAACCAGTATTAGCACCTGCAACTATTCATCGTGAGTTTTGCATTCAACAACTCACTGAATTAAATCACAAAAATAATGGCTGTGGCAAATCAAAACGAACAAAAAACTTGAAAAGTTAGGATGATAACCCTCCTCAATAAATCTTTATATACACAATTTTTTCAGACATATATATATCTAGAAACAAGCGAATTACTCAAGAATAGTAAAAACCCATCCCTCAACCTCCCCTTCAACGCAACCCTCCCCCCTTCATACACAAGAAAAACCTCACTAGAAGACCTTGAACTCAACCAACCTAACCCTCTCCCCAACCGTAGGCGTAAAAACCAGCCTAACCTTCTGACTCTGCACAGCCGTCCATGCAACCTGCGTAACCCCATTCGCCACCACACCTCCATACGTCGCCCCCTGCACATCCCCCCAACTACCTCCTTGTCCTTGGACCTGAACCTTATATTTACTCGGTGCCGCAAAGCCCTGATTTTTACTTGCGAAAAACGCGATTTCAGCACTACTCGTAGTAACCTGTTTACCGAAGTCGATTTCGAACCACATGTCACCACCAGTGGAGGAGGTAGTAGCGACAGGAGACTCCCATCCATTCGCCGCATCCTCTGTATCAAAGAACCACACACGTCCATCAATCGCAGCGTAGGTATTTGAATTCGCCACGGACGCGGTGCCGCGGGGATAAGGAGTCGACGCATTAAGCTGGATAGATTTCGCAATGCGACTTGTAAACGGTGTGGGCGCGGGTGCGGGCTGCAGCGGAATACTAATTTTGGAGACGTCAAGTTGCTGCGCTGCGACTTTGCCGTCGATTTCAATCACAAGCCCGCGAGTGCCGTAGCGCGAACCGTCGCTGTCCCATTGCACGGCGATGTCGTGGCCGTGGTACGTGATGCGTTCTGCACGGAAGTAGGCAATGGATGAAGAATCGAAGAGCGGGTTTACGACGAGGACGTCTGAAGCAGAAGGACGGAGACCGACTAGACCGCTTAGCACGAGATCGTTGAAGCCCGAGTGGAAGTAGTGGTGGGAGCGCTTGAGGCCGACAATGGGGAGACCGGTGTCCGGGTGGTAATCTTCTTCCAAATCCAAGATTCCCGTTGAAGGGTTTCGATGGAGTTTTGCGTATTTGCGGAGCATGGCCGTGTAGTCTTTTGGTGTGATGACGCCGGTTTGAGCACCCGTGGGGTAGTGGTCGAGGAAGTTTGCGAGGCCGGAGAGCACTTGGGTGTATTGGAAGGGCCAGACGGGGCCGTTCCATTGGCACTCTGGGTTTTTGCCTTCGTACCGGTATTGTCGCATGTAGTATTGGTAGCTGGGCTCTCCTGTACGGAGCCCGGCGGGGCCGGACAGCTGACTGCTGTTGAGCACGTGGCTCCAGGCTTGGGCGTACTCGACTTTGTCGTCGGGGAGGTCGTGCGTCCAGGGGACCATGCCGGCGAGTTCGCGTCCGCGGATGAAGTTCCAGTAGGTAACGTGCTGGTTGTTGACTTTGAAGCGGTCGATGAAGTGCTCGAATGTAGAGTTCCAGAGTGCGTCTTGTACGCGCTGCTTGAGCGCGTCCGCTCGTCCGTTGTACGTCGAAACTGTACTGGCCAAACCGCCTTTGAGCGCTGCAATGTTGGCGATTGCCCGGGCGTTGGCGTATTGGTAGCTGTTGATTGTTGGTCGGAATGATTCTCCTCCAGTGAAACCATCGAGGCCACCAGATGCGTCAATACTAGAGATGGTATACTCTGTAGCATCACGAAGTGGCTCAACCCAGTACAGACCCTTTGAAGTGTCGTACGAGTCCTTCCACGCCTCATAGACGACTTGCATAGCATCCAGTCGTTTGATGACATCAGGCACCGACCCGTCGACCAGATATCCATCCCAAACAGCTGACGCCATACTCTCCGAGAATTGGCGCCTGCTGCTGTCTTTGCTGTACATGAAGGTTGCGTAATCCTCCTTGAATCTTCGGTCACGGCACCATCTAGCCTCTAGGAGATGGAAGCCTGTTGCATCGTTCAGCGAAGCCCATGGCTTGGTTTGCCAGGAGACATCGTTGAGAAACTCGGTTGAGATGAATCCATAGGCGCCTAGATCACGTTGGTGGGCGCGGAAGATGGACCAGCGGTAGTAGTATGTATCGGTGAGGTCGGCGTCGCTGGATTCAAAGAGAGGAATGCGGTCCTGATACCACGGTGCATCATTGCCGAAATATTTGGACAGTATCGCCTTTGAATCAAGAGCCGCAAGCCCTTGATGGACAAATGAGCTTAGCACCAAAGAGGTAGCAAGCTTCATGATGGACAGTGAAGATGGAATTGCGGCAGGAAGATGTCGACATTGTCCAGCAGCATGACTATATCTTTTTACACTGCCCGGGTGGTACTTTACCCGAAGCTAATCTTGTTTGCATCGATATCGCTGCAAGTAATTCACCGTCAGTGTATATTGTTTCTCGAAAAGTAGACTTGCATCGTATTCGCTTTCGTAGATGCAGTTGGTGCGCAACCATCACGAGTCGCCCCACTTCTTCTCCGCAGATTGGATGATCTGCATGGGAGCAATTCCTCCGTGAAATCATCAATAGGTCCATAAACGTCACGATCGGGGTTCAGACGTCTGCCGCGGCATTTATCAGGGTGCAATCTGAGCGTGTCTGCTGGGAAGATCGTGGCTGCAAATGACTGCATCTCAACATTTTGAGTACCTTCGTTGCCAAAAGGTCATTTATTCCATAGTACTTACTCTTCATGTTCCTCTCAACGATATGCACGCATTTGCGCAATTCGTACTAAGAAGCTTAACCACTCGCGAAGCACTTCCAAGCGTTGATCCGCAGGTTTAAGCCTTTTCATAGATTAGCCTCGGGTGAAACTAACCCGGTCAGCTTCTATAGCACGGTTCTGCAATCGAGCTCATTTCAGCGACTCATATTCATCCACAATAAACTCTGGTAAATGTAAAATCCAATATAGGTGAAATGCTGCACCTCAGCTGTTATCTAGCTAATGAGACACGGGAGGTTGCTGAAGCATGATTGCTGGAAATTTGAATGTGTGAGATTAAAAATATTTGCTAGTCGTAATAATCGTCTCAAGTAACTACATGACTCTCCAATCCCGTGCTGCCTCAAATACACATTATCTCTCTCATGCACTGCATGGTCGCATTCTCGTCTTACTCATACCTAATAAGGCGTATTGGCCTTTCGGACAGCCTCCCAGTTGGTGACACTCTGGCCTGGCATAGCGCCCGAATGTTCATGCTGACCATGAATGGTACGATTACCGTCAGTGCCTCCAGCTCCAGTGCCATACTGTTGAGTGTTCATGGGTAAGCCGGTGTGCGGTTCAGGTACAGTAGAGTTGTGAGTAAAATCACTGGTGGGGTGGGCGCCATATACACCGTGACGCGTTTCACTGTGGCTGTAGTTAGGTTTGACTCGGAAACACGCCTTGGGATGAAACATCAACTTACCGGTCGCCGCTTATCGAGTAGGGATCACCAATCGGTCCGTCAGTACCTACGTGCTGTCTCTTTCCTACAGCATATGGGTCGTTATGATGGGATTGTTCAAGAACCTCACGTGCAGGATGACCTTTTGGTGGGTCCTTGTGCAGAAGGTGTTTGCCTTTCCAGCGGGGTGAGTCTGGGTCCTCGCTCTCCTCCTTGGAATGTCTCGGACTGTAGTCCTTTGATTGGCGAGGCGAAGACTCCGGGCTTGCCGACGATTTCTCCTTCCTGGACTTATCACGGTGCAAGAAGCCCAACAGTCTGTGCTTTTTCTTTTCTTCCGTCTCGTTTTCCTTATCAAAGTCCCTTTCACGATGGTGTTGTCCCTTCTCGTGGTCAAGAGATGTCTTCTTGAGATAATCATTGGATTCGCGACGGTCTTGATCTTGATGACGATCATTGGCGTACGCTGCACTGCCAAGTCCTGCTGCACCCACAGCACCACCCAGAAGGGCGGCATTGCGAGTGTTGTGTCCTTCTTGTGCCGGGTCTTGAACAGCACCATATGATTGAACATTAGGATCTTGAACGTGTGTGTTATGCGGCGCAATGGTGCCTTGAGTGGGATCCGATACATGAGTAGGGCTGTCGTCACGTAGCGGCCAGGAAGTCTGTAAAGTATCTTGGGTGGGATAATTAGGCTGCGAAACTGGTCCGCCCTGTGTGTGTGAAACATAATCTTCCTTTTGGTGGAGTGGCAAGTCTTGAGTGTCATGAGCATGCGGCTCACGAGTGTAAGCTCCAGCACCCAAGGCGACACCAGCCAAGCCAGCACCAGTGAAGGCGGCATTCCTGTTGACATGGTCATTTGGATCTGTTCGGTTGACGTTGCCCAGGACAGTAGGGCTGTTGTAGTCATATTGACTCCGAGACGCAATAGGGTTGGAGGCCCGAGCACTGGAAGCAGTAGGGTCGTAACGCTGCTCAGGCATGGACGCACCAAGCTGCGTCATCTTATGGCTACTATAGGCATCCACAGCATCCTGAGCCCCATAACGAGTAGCACCAACAGCAGCTGGAGCAGAGTCGTGAGAAAGGTCATGTGATACTGGAGGGCCAGATATGGTTGGATCACTGCCATGGTGGGCCTTGGCTTGGGGGTTGAAACGTTGCTCCTCCATCTTGAGTTTGTCTCCCAAAACACGTGGGTCGAGTCCCTTGCCACTGTACGGTTGAGAGTCTTCATATAGTAGTGAGCTGCTTTCGGTGCCCCGAGCTTCGTGATCTTTAGATGCTGCATGAGCTCCCAAGCCTGCGGTTCCACCAAGAAGAGTACCGGCGATTGCAGCATCACGGGCGTGGTGATTGTCACCAGCGGACTTTGGTCTTGGCTCTTCAAGTGTTCCGGTGTGCCTCAGCTCGTGGGTTCCAGTGGTAGAAACAGGATCCACAGGGGGCTCGTGCGAATTTGAGACTGCAGCCACAGAGGGAGCTTGAACGGGTTCATTCACATCCGCGTGGTTGGGTGTTGATTCGATTACAGGATCATAGTTCAGAAACAGGTTAGACTCATCACTTGGCGTAGCAATGTATTCGCCAGGAATATGCCTGTGTCGCGACTCAAGCCGTGGGATGATTGGACGTTCACAGTTGCCAATTGGTTCAGTCGTAGGAAGAATAGTTCCATTGTTGTCAGTCTCAAGTCTCTTCTCTTGAGTGGATGATGGAAGCATGGAAGAACCAGAGGCGACCGCAGTAGCCGTGGAAATTCCTGTAGGATGATGGCTAGATTCTGGCTGGCTCGACACATCCGAGGCCGTGTGAGTCTACTTGATTGTTAGATTTTTGCCTAGCCAGATTGAACGAATACATTGGTAGTGTACGTACAGTGGTTGGCGGGACAGTTGTAGACGGGACAGTAGTCGACGGGGCGTCTCCGTATGTAGCTTGACGAGTTTCAGCGCCTTGATTTTTGACATCTTCTTCTTCGGACTTGGAGATGGCGTGGGAGGCTCCGAGAACAGTTGCGGCAGNCGCCGCTCCAGTAAGTCCCTCGCGTCCATGGCTTCCATGGCTTGGGCTTTCCTGTGGGTTAGATGTCACACCGCCAGCAAGCGGAAATGATCGATCAGTATCAGTAATGTAGCTCTCCTGACGCAGAGTCTTCTCGAAGGGTTGCTGTTCGCTCGTATAGCTGGAAACAGCAGTACCAGTTGGCGGATTATTAACTACACTCGTCTCTAAAACCTTTTGTCAGAACTCGTGGTTGGAATTGGTATATTGAAGTCAAAGAAGCATCTACGTACGAGGATGTGTTTCAGCACCTGCACTTGGCTGTACACTTTTGCCTTGAGTCATTCCGGCAGTGCCAGGACTTCCGCCTCCGACTACTTGGTCCTCGGCCATGTTACTTTTAGTGGGATTGTGCATTGACATGGCGGCATGTCCCTGGGATTCTGTCGGACCAAAACCAATGACTCCGCTCTTGATGCTGGCGATACTAGCCTCTTGAGTGTGGCCATGTGGGTGAGGATCGGGACGAAGAGCTCCCGCAGGAGATGCGCCATTGTTGGCTGGAGATTGTGTCTTATCAGCGTTGAGTGGTTCATCTGTGTCGATTTGCTCTGGTTTCCCATGAGGTTTGTGAGCTTGAAGCCGTTCCAAAGTACCTGGCTTGGCTAACTCGGTATAGGGAGCACCAGAGGTAGTTTTGATATCGTAGAGCGGCTGACCAGGAGGAGCATGTTTGCCTTGACGGCTGCTGGAGGTTTCATTGTGGGTGTGGTATTGCTGACTGTGTTGTGTATTAGCGACAGTGTGTCGGTGGAGTGATGGGAATACAGACGCCTCGTTGGTGGATGCAGGCTGATGAGGGTCATGAGTGACGTCCTGACCCTGGTCCTTTTTGTGTCCGTGACTGACGACGGGTTAGCTATAGGAGATGATGGCTGCTTTGTCTATGATACGCACAGGACGCTCTTGATCTTGTCCATATCGACAGCTGTGGGCCGTGTGTTGGGCCAGGGTCTGAAGGATGGTGGGCTTGAATGCTCGGAGGGATTCAAGGGTCAGCACAAGCGAGGAAAGCAAATTACCGGAATAGTGGTATTAATTGTTATGAGTAGAAGTTGGGAGAAACAGGGCACAGCTGGTGAGGTCAAGTCATGACGATGTTTGGTGTTTGGTGTCGAGCAAGCCGACGCCTATGAGGTCATTGTTGGGGTAGGTGGGTAGGTGCAGCGGCTAGAGGCGCGCCTGCCAATCACGACGGCCGCTCCGACGGCTGTGGTGATGCAGCGATGGGAAGGCCGGGGCGCCTACTGTACTGACTTGGCATTTGCAGCGATTGTTGCGCCGGTTGGGCGATGCTGCGCCCAAAGGGTGACTACTGACTGTCCAGCGCTGGGCCGCACCCTATTACTGGGTATGGGCGTGCGTGTGTTACCACACATGGGGTAAAGAAAAGGAGACCATGGGATTTGAGGGATGCGGGGCGGCGTCATGTTAGTGAGCCATCCGTCCGGTGCAGTTCGAGGACGGTCCAGCTCAGTCGAGTGCCCATCCCAGCACGGGCTTGTCCGGCGCGACGTGGACGAGCAACCGTGGGAACATATGGCGTAGGCGTGTCAGGGTGGCACTGATGTCTCGTAGAGGTTACATTTGGCTGTTACTGCCACCACAAAGGGGCGTAGGTGTACATGCACTCTCAGCCGTACTATGTTATATCTGTAGATAGAGTAGGTACTCTGGATATTTATGGCCATACCGTACCGTACCGTATATCCAGCAGGCCCATCCATGATCTTCAGGCAACGTGCGCGCGCAAAGTCGATCTTGACAGCGGCTGCAGGTGGAGTCGAGGACAGCAGCAGCAGAAGCAGACACAGACAGGACGGAGCATCGACTCGACACGAGGCGCGGCTCGGAGGGTGGTAGGTTTGGAGAGGACGAAAGCAAAAGCAATGCGCGAATTACGGGCAACAGTGGCAAAGCATGGCTGCATTTGCAACGGCAGTTCACCCCCCAGCGGCCTAGCGCTCACGCTTCAGCCAGTCTGGCCCACAGTCGAACGATGGGAACAGTGGAATTGCTGTCGGCCGACGGCTTCCGACAGCCTGCGCTTTTCGCGCCTGCCTGCCTTTCTAGAAAACTTCTACCGCCAGCCCCTCGCTTGCACCATCACCCTGGACCGCCCTCCCACGCAAACCCCCCCTTCCCCTTCGCTTCTCCCTGGCTGGCCCAGAGGTGCTGTCGGCCCTGGTCACTAACCCTCCCCCCCCTAGCACTGTCGCGTCAGTAACCCATCCATACACCACCTACTCTGCATCCATCCATACGTTAGAGTGCAGCCGGCCAAGCGCGGCGCCCCTCCGCGTTTTCTTCTAGCTTCGCCCTGCCGCCCACCCGCTGCCCGTCATACACGGGCTTGGGTGCCATCTGCTCTGCTATAACCCCCTCCGCTTCCCCAGTCTGCACACTGCAACCGCCTGACGAGGCACTCGTCCCAGTCCCAGTCTCAGCCCAGTTTCCCTCTCTCCATCTGTGCTCCGCCCTCCAATCAGGCTTAGGGCTCCCTCAGCGTCTGTGTCACGCCCCCACACCGAATCAGCCTCACTGCGCTCGACATCATATCGCTTCGCCCTTCCGACTGCCTTCTTCTTCTGCGCACATCCCCTCCCTCCACACCCTCCCACACACCACAGACACCACCACCACTACCACCACTACTACCACACACTAATCTAATCACTCCACCCACCCACAATGCCCGGCCACCTACGCACAAGATTAAAGCGTGTCCTCACGGCTGGCTCCCACAGGAGCGCAAAGCCAGAAGAGCCAGAGTCCGACTTTTACAAGCCTGGAGAGAAGATGCCTCCGCTCAAGTACCGCCGTGCCGTCGACCCAGAGCACAAGAAGAAACTCGAGGCCTTTAACTTTTCCACTGCATGGCGCCGACACAGCAACGCCTCGCTGTACTCACCTATGGGAAGCAGGCTTCCTAGCCGTCGGAGCAGCTTTAGGCGACGCAGCCGCAGCCGCAGCATGCACCGCAGCAGAAGGGGCAGCTGTGCCTCAGACTACGACCCTGAGTCTGAGTGGGTAGACAGCGGCATTGGTGCCAGCATTGCTGGCGACGACAGGCCCGCCAATATTAAGGAGGCATCCGACGACGAAGGTGACGTTCTGAATGGTATGTGCAACGCCTCGTGGCCATGGTAGATGGCATACTAACCTGCCCAGTCGGCCTCTCTCGCAATCCCACCGAGGATCCTCGCGATGCCCATCGCAAGCAGTCACAAGGCGCTATTCGAACTAGCGACGGCCGCCAATCATCGAGGCCTGCTACTGGATCAGATCGCACCCGTCAAGCTTCACAGCCATTTTCGGCCGAAGAGCTCGAAATGGCGCTACAGAGATCGCACCTCGAGGCCACCAAGGAAGAATCAGACAAGAGTGCAGGAGAGAGTCCATTCGAAGACTTTGACGACCCGAGCCCATTCCTGAGACCGCGTGGTGGATCCATCTACGTGCCATACAACGGCCAAGGAACTCCGCCAAAGCTGCCTTTTTGGGGCACCGCGTACCCTTCGTGCGACGACGAGCTATCGAGCGGCCACTTTTCGAGACGTGCCTCAGTATTCCTCTCCAACGAAGGATCGAGTACGCCACAATACGAACGTAGCGGGTCCTACTTTGTGCCAAAAGACGCCTCGGGCCTCTCCCAAGCCCGCCGGGCCTCAGCCTCCAGCTCCGACGAGGACGAGTGCGTATGCCCGCCTCCTGCTCCTGCTCCTGAGGAGCCGAAACGCAAAATCCAGCCCTGCGCCCCTTGTGACGCTGTGGCTGCCATTCTCGCCAGGCCCGATTAATACCCGCATCCGCATCCGCATCCACCTTTTACCTCTTCTTCACTGTCAATATTTGATGCGTCTGAACTATTCTTGTCATTGCATTTCCCTGGCGTTATTTCCATGTAAGAACCCCCGGATTGGTTCCATGTCTTGGTGCCGGGATTTGGCATTATTTCTTTTGGTCTACTACATGCATTGGGTGGGACTTGTCCTATAGAATCCATTGACAATGATATCGGCATTTCGTCATGTCGATGGAACGTCCGACATTGCTTTTCCTCATCGTCATGAGATGGTATGGTTTTTTTTGTTTGTGTGTTAATTGGCCGCCCCCAAAAATGCACTTTTGAACTACAGGCGCATGCATACGCAATAGTCGAGAATGATCAAAACTACATCTACATATCAAGGATTATTAATGGCACGTCTAATGATCGCCCCGTGTTGTTTTTGTTCCGAAAGTTAAATTTGTTTTGCAGCAGCGGCAGGAGGCGTGCGATCAGGGACCTTGGGGTCTCGGGAGCTATTACCCACGGGCGTTGGTACGGGTGCGGGCACCGAGCCTCACTCGCATTCGTTGATTGGCCGCCCGTCTTTTACACTGCCTGCACGCACCATCACCCCCAATGACCGTCAAACACGCGCTTTGTACCCCCATGCCACACACACGCGTCGCATTGCGTTATGCCCTCTCTCTCTCTCACCGCGATTGCTCTCTGCCCAGCCCGTCACCACTCGTTTGCGTATTCGTTTGTTTTTCGAGGCGGTAAAAAACTGAACAGCAACAAGTGACAACAAACGACGTAATTGATGATGCTGTCCGCCGCGCCCGCTCTTTCGCTCACCGAATCGTTGCATCATCGCCCTTCGGGGTTAATCGACTGGGCATTACGTCTTTTCCAGCTCAAGCAGCCTTCGGCCCTTCTTTCTCCACTGCCTTAGTCCCACACGTGCGTGGGGTAACAAGACCCAGTCGTCGGCACAAGGATGGGAGGGAAGAAAAAAAAAACTCGGACTCGGCGCTATTCCCTTTTATGCCCTTGTGTCCTGATAGCAAAGCCCGTTCCGACTACTTTTTTACATCTTACCAGGGACATTCGTGTTCAGAAGCCGATGGGTAACTGGGGTTTTGTGAACTAAGACGCCCTCAACAAGAAATGATCGTACCCGCTAACACTCCCGCAAGCATGCAGAGTAAGGAATACTCTCCATACATGCTAGAAGGCCTGATGCACATAAACGCCCTCGGCTAGATGCCATGTACCTCGTCTTAGTGTATGAATCTCGTAAAAAAAAAGATACAGAAAGAAGAAGCGAGAGCTCAAGAAGGAAGCGAAATATGCCTTTCTCGGCTATCCTACATAATCTGGCCTTTGTTGCTTGCCACAAAACGGCCCAAAAATGGCCACCACAGGTACGGGCCGGGCATGCTCGGCGTATCAGCATCGGCACCGCACCAAGACAAACACTAGATGCATGCAACATGTCTTTTCTCCGCATTACGCTCCAAGACATCAGAAATTTCACGTCTCGTCGACGATGTGGTGTGGTTGGCTCTTTCTTTCCTCCTTCCTCCCTTATTGGAATGCCACGGGCCATGGCGGCGCATGGCGTTGGGGGGCATGGCATGACATGACATAACAACCCCCTCCTCCTCCTCCTTACTAGGTGTATACACTTACGCAGTAGGTGTACGCTGCTGCGTCCTATGTGTGCATGCGGCGTGCAGCCTCATACATTTTTTCTGCTTTTGCACCCGCGTGCGGAATTGCCAGGGCCGAAGGGCGGGAAGCGAGTCGCGCTTTCTTCTCTCATTCCTTGCCCGCAGCCCGTCATGTTGTACAAACGGACGGTATGCCCCACTGAGTAATGGGGGCGCCCATCCTCCCCCTCCCCGCCCCAACGGCTTACCGCTTTTGGACATCACACTCACATACAACTGGGGTCACGAGGGGTGGAAACTTGCTCGCCGCTTTGTAGGTATCCGTACAAGTTCAACATGTTGGTTTCCCGATCGGTTGGGACGGCCAGCCTTGTTTTGAGTTTATGTGCATGTGCGTGTTCGTCCGCTTTGGCCGCGCGAGGTTTCTCGGTATGCGGTGCGGTGCGGGGGGGGGGGGGAGCGTGAGTGTGGAGAGGGAAGAGGGGAGATCCTTGTGGAAAGAAAAGGTTATCGTGTTGGGATAGAGTATGTGTAGTGAGTGAGGCTTTTGTTGATCTTTTTTTTTGTGCCGAGAATTGAGTTGAGTGTTCGTTCTCTTGGTCGTTACTCAACTCTCTTCTTTTTTTGCTCCAGAGGAAAAGAAGAAAGTGGGTGATACTGCTGCTATATTTATCTCAAACCGTAGACACACAACTACTTATTATTATTTTTTGCATATCGAAATTTCGACTTTTGTTGTTTTCTTGCTATGCGAAATGAGGAGTTGTCTCGATTGGCTTATGGCGCTGATGTGTGTTTTTTTAAAACTTAGTTCAGCGAATCAAGTTGTAGTATCGTGACATGTTCGCCCACATTACTGTCATGTACTTTGCCAAGTATATGATCTTCTCCCCCACAAAATGTAGTTCTATCGTTTAGTTGGTGTTGATGTTCACGTGATTGGTCAAAGTTGTAAGTGCGAGCGTAGTTTGCAGTGGTGAGTTGAGTATTTGTGGACTGGCCCATGCCTTGTTCTCGTATTGGGCTTCCCAAAGCCATAAGACAGCAAAATGCAAAATACGATATATGAGACTATAGGAAAGTAAGATATGGCATACTTTGTCTGACCCGCCCGTTCGTCGTGTATCCGTTTGAAGTGTCAAGGTCGCTAAGCTCCATGTCACACGTGGTCTCGGGTGTACTTCCCTGTCTCGGTCTAGGTTAGGGCGAGATGGTTACAAGGTATACCGTGAGGTAATGCCACGAGACTCTAGTCTAAAAGGGTTGACTACAACAGGTGTAATAATAAAATCCATAAATCCATCCTTACTTGCTATCGCTTCCAGTTCTACCAAACCCTCCATCATTGTTATCATGGAGATAGTACTTCTCAGCGGTATACCAATCACGTAATCCTCGGCGCTTACAGATCACGACTTTCCTTCCAACGTGAACGTTGGCTGGCCTTTGGCGCTCTCATCTCCGTTAAGGAGAGAATACTTCTTATCATTTCCAACAACGAAGTCGTACATAAGGAGATGGGGCATTTAGCTCCTTTGAGGATCCAATATACTGGCGGTCTATCACATACAACACGGAAAATGCAGGGTTGATCAATTAGGTGTATCAGGTCTATTTTGTAGCTAGCGCATAAAGTATCAATCTAAATGTCCTACTATTTGTTTGCTAAATATAGTTATCCTCTTCTGATCTAGTACAGGCAAGCTGACTTCGCTTATATCCTTGATGAATGTTCACTAAACAGTTCCAAAAACACCCAAAAGATATCTTTCATAGATTATAGCTCTTTCATAGAGAATCACAAACACAGAAAGAATAAGCTTCGTAAGGGAGGGTGAGAATGAATATTGGATAGTAATATGGCGGGCAGGTGCGTTTGGTATAGGAAACTGACAAATCCAAGATTCAATACTTCGACACGGACCCCTGCACGTTTCGTCGTAGTTAGGGCTAGGTCTTACATGCGCACAACCTCATCTCATATTAAAGACAGTTACCTCTGAGTCTAGAAATTAACCCTTGTCTTGTAAGCGTTTCTCCCACTTCGACACCTGCGCTGGCGTTATGTCTATATGATAGTAGCAAGAAAGAATGCTTGACCAACCATCATGGGAATCTCTACGTATTTGCTTCCTTGTTATTCTGTTTCACCTTAGCTATACTCCACAGATTCATTAACAATCAAGCTATGTCAAGTGTACGGATCGATCTGGGTAGATACAGTGGCTGTCAAGGGCGAAGTCAGTAATGGTCCGTGGGGGTATCGCCAAAATCGATCTGATGAAGCCGACACTCTCTGGATCGAGAGTATCGTGGGTACATCTAACTATCGTCATGTCATGTGTTAGAAATCAAACCGCCGTGACCTTACCTAATTCTGCTCCTATAGCCAAACTGGGCGAAGCTAGGTCTCCCATAGTTATTGACAACACTGATACCTCGTATCGGTGCGGCCCTTCTTCTCTCAATTTATGCGAAGGATGATGTGAGTAAAGGCATATACATGCTACCAAGTATCATACCTAATATCATTAACAATCACGACCTCAATCCCATCACACTTCCTCCACTACTACACTCACCTTCCTCTATCTACCTCACCGACCTGATTAACCGTCAAAATGCAACTCCATTTCGTCTCTATCGTCGCCACCGGGATGCTCTTATTTTCTGGCTTAGCAACAGCTCAGAGCCAGCTCATATGCCATGGATCTGACATTATCGCTGGCGGTCCATGCACTGGTGGCTCCGGCGCATCATGTCAATGTAACTCTGGTGGTTCAACATTTGCCGGGAATTTCGATGGCAAAGGTGTACGTTTATATCGGTGTAGAATTTCAATAATGCAAAAGAGAATACTAATATGACTTATAGGGCTGTATTACTAATATCAGGAAAAAGTCGCCCAACGGCCGTCGCAGGTATTAGAGTATGTGGAATTGTTTGAATCCATGAAAATTTACGCTACAAGGCTTTAAGATGAAGGGCTATGAAACATGGAAAGCTAGTCTATTTTACTCGTTAGTTGGATTTGCGCCACCGTAGTGGCTTGCAACTTCTATGCACAATTATGGGTTTGTATCTCATCGCTAGACTATGAGCATATATGGACTTTGTTTTCGGAGCAGATAGGCATCTTTGTCACTCAATACAACATCAAATTTTCATGCTACCGGTTGGGTATGCTTCAATAAAATCTGAAATCACAGTCATGTTCTATTCAATTGCCCGAATCGAAGTATTATTTTGTGGACCTTACTATAGCCTTCTTTCAATTAATAAATACAGGCATACTGATAAACTAGAGAAGATTATCTGGTATATCAAGTCCTCTGAAACTACCATGCAATGCGTGCAATGGGCCCGTTTGGCCACATCCTGACAGCCAACTTCCTCATCTCATCCATGACTATAATACCAAGCGCCAATGGGATGGGAATGAGCCAGAACTCCATTGGTACCGAAGCAGTACCAAATAGGTTCTGTATGCCTTCAACCTCCGTTACAAAGATAGCAATGCACAGGCTGACAAGGATACCCGCAGCCAGCCAAGGATTACGCCGGTCTTTGCGGAACGGGTCGGCCTGTAGGATGCTGAGGCGCTTGTTGCGGATAGACAGGATATTGCCCCATTGTAAAATGACAAGAGTGACAAAGTAGACGCATTGTCCGACGGTGTTGAAGTGGTTGAGTTCGTCCATGCTGTACCCATAGAAACCGTCGGTGTACTTTTCGTAGGCAAAGAAGAGGGCGGAAGCAGGTATCTTTGCATGGCGCCACATGTAAAGGAAGAACATTGAATGCGCGCAGACAGTCTGCATCACTCCAATGAAGAGATATGACTGGATATAGATCTTGACGTTGATGAGATGATCGCGTTTGGTGTCTCGGGGAGGTAGTGAGAGAAGATCAAACTCCTCACGTTCCATGATAAGGGAGAGCGAGCAGAAGAGATCCGTGAAAACACAGATGATAATCATGAGAAAAGAGCTCAACGGAAGGGGCACTCCAAAGAAGACATTCAGGAGAACGGGCCATATTTCAGACCAGGACCCTGCGGGCAAGAGGTAACTGTATTAACGAGTCAGTCACGCATTGCCTCGTTAGAGTCGATGATAGACTTACCCAATAACTTTCTGAAGGTTCTGAAACACAAGTCGCCCAAGGCGAATACCATCGATGATTGAAGAGAACTTATCCATCAGGACCAAGTCGGAGGCTTCCAGGGCAACGTCAGAACCGGATACGATAGCGATACCTACATCGCTAGCACGAAGGGCAGGGGCATCGTTAACCCCGTCTCCAGTCACAGCGACTACATTTTGACGTCCCTTGAGCTCGTTGACAATGCGCAGTTTCTGTTCAGGTGTTGTGCGCCCGAACACAATTTCCTCGTATTGACAAACCACGTCCCAATCAGCGTCGCTCAGATCGCCAAGTTGCGTGCCTTCAAGAAGTAGAGATTGGTTTCCGGAGCTGCTAGAAATGGTTTTTGCAGTCGCCACGTCTCCCGAAGCATTGCGATCTACAATGTCCGTTATTGTGTCCGGTTCTCTATCGCTAGAGAAGATGCCAATTCGCCGGGCGATTGCAGCTCCCGTGAGACCAAAGTCACCTGTAACCATGAAGAATCTGATACCAGCTCTACGACACGTTGCAACAGTTTCAGCTGATTCCGGACGTGGGGGGTCGAGGATGCCCAAAATGCCGATGATGGTGAGATCAGTGAGAGCATGTTCAGTGAGTTCGTCCGAAAAGGCGTTGGAGCGTAGGGATGCAACTGGCTTGTATTGCCGCTGGCAGAGCATGATGACACGTTCTGCATTGCGCGAGAGTTTCTCTTGCGCCTGGGATAGAAGGTGTCGTGCTTCACTGTCCAGTGGTTGGACAGTGTTTGTACGGAATGACAGCCAAGAGGAGCATTTTGGGAGTAGTACATCGGGCGCGCCTTTAACGAGAACCAAAAATTCCGGCTTTTCCGATTCTTCGCTTTTCTTTCTTTGTTCATGTAACGAGAGCATCCATTTATTCTTTGAGTTGAACGGGATCGAAAAGACGCGAGGGAGAGTCTCGTGGAGAGAACGCCCCAGCTTCGCTCCTTCAGCAAAGCGTAACACAGCCCCATCGGTCGCATTGCCTTGAATAGCTCTTTCGCTTACGGGAAGTTGAATGGTTGTAGGATCAAACATGGCGTCGTTGCATAAGATAGCGGCCTTGTGGAGCTCTTGCAAAGCCCCTGGACAGCTTTCAGAAGCGAGCATAGGCGCAAGGTCCTCCGCAGACTTCAGCTCATCCACAAATCCTATTGAAGTGACTGTCATTTTGTTCTCAGTGAGGGTGCCCGTCTTGTCGGAGCATATGACGTTGACACATCCGAGAGTCTCAACTGTAGATAGTCCTTTGGGCAAGACGTTGGCACTCTTCATGCGTCGCGCTACCATCATGAGCGTCAGCGCTACGCCAACCGGCATACCCTCGGGAATGAATGCGACCACACAACCCATAACATTGTTGAGCATAGCGATGACGGAGAGGAAGCCCTTGTGGTCTTTTCGTAGCCACCCGACCCAGACGAATAATAATCTTTATACGGTCAGCTTTCTCCATAGACAGCCTAGTCTCCAAACTTACAAGAGCGCAAGGCATACTGTCAAGCATACGATGATATAGACGAATCGACTGATCTCGCGTTGGATAAGAGTAGGTTCTTCCTTGACCCCAGACGTTGCCTGCGCGATACGACCCATGACGGAGTTCTGTCCTGTCAACACAACAATGCCAACAGCGCTGCCGTTGACCACCATAGTTCCCATGAAAGAGATGTTGCGCGACTCAAGGAAGTTTTCATCCGTAGAATCAAGCGCACCATCTACTTCCTCGGCTTCTCCTGTTATCATGGAACGATCGAATCGTACATCGCCCGAAGAGGTCAACAAACGCATGTCTGCAGGTACTTTGTCGCCGATGGAGATACGAACGATGTCACCGACGACGATATCGGTAGAAGGAACCTTTACAAACGAGCCGTCACGGAGGACCATCGCATCCGAGGGAAGCAGGTCCAAAATCGATTGCATCGTTCGCTTCGTCGACCAATCTTGGAAGGCTGAGAAGCAAGCCTGAAGGAGGATGACGATGAGCACTAAGATGGCCAGGCCCAGGTTATACGCCGCAGGGTGAGGGTCTCCCAAAGGCCTCCAGCATATGAAGAAGATGATGACTCCAATCCATAGAACTGAGCAGAAGCCTCCGAACACATACCAAAAGATCTTCCGCCACATGTGTTCGGGTGGGCTAGGGATCGCATTTTTGCCATCGCGTTGAAGGCGTGTAGCAGCTGCCTCTTTGCTGAGACCCTGCTTCTGAAAGACGTTGAAGCGGTCGCAGACGCTCTTCGCACTCAGTGTGTGGTAGTCGAGTTGCCCAAAGTAGTCGCTATTCGCGTTTTTGGTATCGTCGGTATCTTTCGATGGCGGATCTCTTGCTTTGGCTTTGCTCTCGCTCACTTGGATGGAAAGTGTGCGGAACTCGATAGGGATGCCAGATACAGAGTGAGTACGACTTCGAACACTCGAAATAGAACCTTGGCTTCTACTGCGCGATTGGCGGCGAGCAGTTCTGCCATCTGAACGGCCCCTCCCGGGATGATTCACATCCTCCCAAACAATATGGGTTGTTCTCTCTTGCTTCTCAATGTCGTTTATATCTCCAGTTGGTTCGGTTTCTTCGTGATCGTCAGGCACATTGCCCTTACTGGAGGTCATTGCTGAGGATGCTCTGCGGGCTAGGCTGACGGTACAGTATGGCAGTGCACCTCAGAAAGAGCCTCCTCGGAATTGAAAGGAAAAAGATGCAAGTCAGTTTGTGTGATTCTGTCATCGCGACTAAGGGCGATCAAATAAGCCAAGCATGCCATCGTACACTAAGAACTTCTATGGCCTAGACCGACAGCAATCGTGAATGAAGCTTTTGCTGTCATAGCGGCCCGTGGCGCAAGTCACAAGCTACACCAAATAGTTTTATCATCAACGGCCCGAGTCGTCTGCAACCAACCAACTTCATGCGCTTCCTCCCGTACCCTGGCCAAGAAAATGCCTCATAGTAAAACACCACAATCAGCCCGTGTTGTTTAAGCCAATTGGAAATTAGGCGCCTCCAAATCTGTGGCTGAATTCGGAGATTTATCAGATCTGGTGTAAGCTACCACTGCCTCCTGGCAGTTTCCGCGTGCTAGCTTGAGGGATATAAAAATGAGGGATTTAACGCTCGCAAACCACGTGTGGAGCCTACACCGTCCATTCGTCCCGTGTCTTTACATAACACAAACTGCTGAAGGATTTGAATAGAAAATTACGAGCTGGCAGCCTTTTATATCGCTATAATAGCGCGGTGATTGTACGTATTCCACCTGTAGGGGTACTAAGGGTCATCGCACTGAGTGTTATGACCATCAGGAACTTTCTATGGTGCCTCGAGGTGATGCTTACAGTGCGAATGGAGGAATCCAGCAGCGTAACAGATAGGCGCGTCATCAAACTTGGAATATTACTGCAAGTTCCTTATGAGCTGAGTTGACGTTGAGTACAGCGTAGTAAGATGGGCGGAACTACCTACAAGTGGTTATGTACTTCTATCTTTGCGTCGCTTTCTTTGAATGATAATGGAACCAATTTTGAGTGAAAGATAATTTGTAAAGCCATGAGAATCCCCGTCATTTCCAAAAGTTCAGCGTGGGCACTCGTCGTAAATCTTTGGGTTACGACGGGTAAAGAAAAGCTGACGTTATCATCTGCCACTTCGTCATATGAGGGAATAAAAGCAACGTATTGCATGTTTAGGCCGAATCCTCTTTAGTAAGGCTGTTGTTCCGTTTCTGTGTGATAGAATGCTTCCTTTTAATATGCAAAGCCGACCATTCTATCTATTTCAGAGAATTATAAGCTTGCAGAGAAGATAGAAGCACAGTAGTAGTCACAATTATTAAACAGTCAATTGTCTTTCTTCTATAACCATGCATGTGGCCGAGAACTGCTTTCCCAAATCTCGTCTTATTTTCCTAGGCAGGTTTGGACTATACTGCTTTGCAGCCTTCGAAACATCTTCAACATATCAACCGATGATTCTTCCAGCTAACAAGTCTTCCTTACTCCCTCTGTAAAAGAGAGGGATTCTGGCTATCGAAACGCTCAGTGTAACAAATCTCCCGCCATAGTGAATTTCATCTGACCACCAATCTCTCCACACTGTGGTCTTGGGGCTGCCGTTGTTTTGCTCCTTGTGGATTGTGTCAACAGGCAAGTATACTCTCCACTCCGAAGGACCTGGGACGGTTATAGGAGCAACCAGCAAGTTCGGCCCGAACATGAATTGATTTTTGAGCTCTTCAGCGTACATGATCGTATACAAATCGACTGTGGCAAAATCAAAGAAAAGAGGCCTTTGGAGCGGCGTTCCAAAGCTGCTAGCTTCTTCGAACAAGGCTTTGATATAGAGGTCCATAGTATAGCGTAGGTGGATGAATCGTTTGATGTGAGGAAAGACGGCTTCTCCAAACGACCAAGGCTCATTGGGGCAAGAGTCGAATCTGTCTTGATCTTTCGGAAGGCACTTGCGTCGCCCATGTGCTCTCATCACTGGGCTAAATCTGTGAATTTGATTCAGCAAAGGCCTTCAGTTTGAATCCATTTAAAATCTTACGTTCCGTACTGCAACCATCGAACATAGAGCTCTTGATATTGTGGATCGGATATGTTACCATGGTATTCTGTTTGAGCATAGTAGCCGCCAATGTCAGAAGCCCACCATGGGATTCCAGCAAGCTGAGGGTAGGCCGTCAACGTCAAATTTGCCTTGAATGTTTTTGTTCCACTTACTTGGACATTGAGGCCTGCTGTTATCTGGGCGCGGAACGCCTCCCAGCTTCCATCAACATCACCATTCCAAAGGACACTGGAAAACCGTTGAGATCCTAGCCATGCACTTCTAGAAAATGATATTCCCTTGTCTTCCTCGTGATGTCCAGGTTGGATATCCAAAGTTGCTAGACCATCGTAGACCATTTTTTGAGCATAGAATGGAAAAATTGCTCCAATCTCAGACTGAGTGCCGAGCGAGTAAATAAAATTTGGACGTGGATAAGGTACCACCTGGAGAGGATACATCGTGATGGTTTTGAATGAAAACCCCTATCAAAGTCAGAATAGGGTTCAGATGATAGATCGCTTAGACATACTTCTCCGACACCACCTCCTTCTGTACAATCCAGTAAGAAGTCTCGTATTCCGATATTGTAATAATTATCAATTATCTTACTCCAAGTCTTATTTCTGGTCATAGGATTCGTGTAGTCAAGGAGATGCATAGCTGTACCGTTGAAGAATTCTACTACCCCAGTGCCTTGTGTCGATCCAGCAACAAGACCGGAAGATAGATAATCAAGCCAGTTCTCGGATGAGGGTTCCATAAGGGGCCATATACTTGCAATAATGCGTGCTCCATTCGTCAACTTGCGAACCGTTTCGACAAGCAGCGCTAGGTCAGGAAATTTCAATCGATCAAATGCGAAGTCGCCAAAAGCACGCCAGTGAGGTGCATCTCCAAGTTCCCTGTTAGCTTTGGAAAGTAAAACAGAGTTCAAGGTTTCCATAGTTACCAATCTGGATCATTGACACTGGAATTTTATGTTTCTTGAATCCTTCCGCTACACGTAATACTTCATTTTGGTTTATGTATGTAGTCTTAGATTGAATATAACCACGACCATACTTTGGGAAGGAAGGAGCCCGTCCCGTTAGTGAGCTATGAGTTTTCATCAGTGTTCTAAAGTCGCCCTTTTCAGCCACGGATACCACTAGATTTTTTAGTCTTAGCTAGAAATTCAGGCACATACATACCGTAATCAATTACCATCGCTGATTCCGTAAACCATTGGATTCTGTTGTCATCAAGGGTTACGTGACCCATACTGGGGACGTTCCATAAAAAGCCGTAAGTCTTTGACGAGATGAAAAATGGAATTGTTGTTTCGGATTGGTAATGCCGGAAATTATATGTTCTGCCTGTATCAGTATGTAGAAAGTCCCTGGGAATTGAAGTGCTCACCCTGGCTTCTTATTCAGATTCCCAGTCTGGTGCTGACCCAGACCAAAAATCTGCTCATCTTTTTCCATAGTAAAAGAGAATGTTGCACAAGGCCTTGATGTAACTCCCGCAGTATCAAATGACCAGTCGCGTGCAATTCTACCATGCTTATCAATTGAATAAGTACTCGAAATCTCTCACTGGATTGCAACATTCTATTACCTGAGGCCATAGCTCTTCAAAAAGAAGCTCACGACTGATGCCATTCATTCGCCAAAATCTCAACTTGTTCTTTGAAACGCTTACTTCGATTAGACCATTTTGTACAGCGGAGTTGTTGTGATAGGATATCTTTAATGGGCTTTCCAAACACTCCGTACCGCATTCGTTTAACGGAGTTTCTAGCAAAGCACCCAATTCATTTCCTGTCCCATCTCGATATAAAGATGCTCGTACACGAATTGAGTTGTGACCCCATGGCTCTATGCGAAGGCGCTCGTGGCCATTGATGATGTGTAGCGGACTAGTTCTTTTTCCAGGTTGCTGATGTGGTGGTTTATCCATTAACTCAATGGAAAATTCAGCCATGATTGAGCACAAAAGAAGAAGAAAATGTAACAAGCCCATGATTACCCTGACCTGTAAATGGAGATTCTGAGATGTATCTCTAAGAAAGGAAGACTGAGAAAGTCTCATATCACAGATTCTCGGGCCTATAGTATGCCAAGTAGCCGCAATCCAGTATTAGGTTTCCACAGCTTCTCGGCGTCAGAATTAAAACCTAGTAGTGACATCCTCCATAATCTTGCTAGTAAGCACTAGGAATGCGTACAATACACGGTAAGCTGTGTCAGCCCCTAGGCTTGTGTTCGATCTGGGATGCTTGCGCTTTCTTTGCTTCACAACACCCAGTGTCTGACTGTATTTGGCAACTAGATTAGTCTCCTCGTCCTGTAATTCGTTGCGTTCGATATTCTCGGAAATTTTCATTCGTGTTTCAGGATCTTATTCTCTTCCTCCCCCACATGGGTTGTTTCCTGGTGGAATATTCAATGCCGTTCAGTTTACCTAGCTGGTGCTTGTTTCCCGGCTACTGTAGACATGTTCACACTTACCCCGTTCGATACTGGATCAAATGCGGGATTCGGGATTTCTGAGTTGTCGGGAAGATGTTTTTGGTCTCAATTGTAGTCTTACTTGATTATCAACATCAGAAATTTTAGTACTTCTATGATCGATTCTAAGTTAACAAAGGGAGTAAAAGGTAAGTCTATATATAAACACGACGCAAACACTCTCGGACTGTAGAGCTTAAACAGTTGATTTTATAGAGAATATCACGTGCTTTGGTCTTGGCAATAGTCACCCAATACGAATCACTAACCATCAACTACACTGCATCGGCTCAAGTGTACATAATTCCCTACAAATTAGTTTGCGACATATGCTAAGGCTTTAACTTGGTTGTTTTCTTAGGAGGAGAGCCACGGGGAGATAGTGTAGCCTCAGAACATTACTCTAAGAAGCGGGCTAGTTGTTGCGCACACTGTTCGACCGAAGGAAGACAATATATTCGAGACCACCTTTACGCTGGCTGCGCAACTAGAAAATTCACAATACGCTACGTTCAATTCACCCAAGCCTGCAGCATGAGGAGAATTTTCATTATGCAGGGAGGGTATCAGCCTTGTCCCTGGTTTTTTTGGATCTTTAGCTGCATATCAATTATGTACGATCCCTCTAAAAGGGTTCTTAATGCACGAAGAAACGCAATCTGACTGGCTCTAAGTAAGAAGCTCTGCTGATACTCGACCGATCAAAGGTATGCCAAGATGCATCTCCTTCCTCGGCTAGCTACAGCTCACGTGACGACAACAACACCAACATTAACAACAGTTCATTAACACTCAGCCCTACTCAGCCGCCATATTGTCACTTTGGCTAGGATAAGGGTGCCTGTCTTGAGATGACTACTGAATATCCTCGGCAGACATCCATACATCGACGGTGGACAGTAGCGCATCGCGGAGCGCGGCTGATTCGGAGATAGACAATCTACCAAACGAGCGCTCGCCAATAGAAAATTGCCCGATGACTTTCACGGTCCGCGCTCTCCCCAAAGTCTGGATCACGATTGCGGCTGGCAATCGTAGCTGAACATGGCAGCCATGGCAAGCTACGGACTGTGCCAGTGAAAAGAAAAGCTCGTCTCCGCACCCACATCCATCAACAAACCTAAGCCCACTTGTGGGCAAACCTTGCGCCAGGTTTCCCCCATCTGGACAACGTTCGCGGAGGTCCCCCACACAGGCGCCTGGAAGCGGATTATGCTGCCCACTCTCCGTTAAGTCCTCCGGCGCTTTACTGCTTCGCTACAAGCCGCCCCATACTTACACGTATGGCGCCATTGACGACACAGGGGCCAGAAGCTCAGCTCCTCGCCCCACTGTGGCAGCCGCAACCAAAAGTAAGCTCGAAACGCCAGAACAAAGTCGATCATCACACCAGAGACGCGCCTCTAGGCCACGACTATGATATATCGTCCTTAGCCCTGGTTTTTGTTCCTTTCCCTTTTACTTCTGGCGGCAGCGCCGTATACACAATGGACCCTTCCGAGGCCCGCCGATTCTCCACGAGCACCGCTGAGCGCGTCGGCCTGCTAAAGGCCCACGACAATGCGGCAAAGCAGCATCAGTATGGAGCTATTGCTGACACGACCGATATCGAAAGCCTACTAGGAAGAGATGGCACGGTGGAAGAGCTGGGGACGACGGCGCGCCAGGAGGCAAAGTTGTTGTTCAAGTACAGTGTTCCGCTCATGGGAACGTATCTACTCCAGTACTCATTTAGCTTGGTGACTATCTTCGTCGTTGGACATAGTAAGTGCTTAGTATGAAAGCCTCTGAGGCATCAACTGACTCGCATCTAATACAGTTGGGACGGATGAGCTTGGTGCTGTCTCTCTCGCTACTATGACCGCCAACATCACCGGACTAGCCGTCTATGAAGGCTTAGCCACATCCCTGGATACTCTCTGTGCGCAGGCCTACGGATCCGGCAAGAAAACCATGGTCGGTCTCCACCTTCAACGCATGATCTTGTTCATGCTTGCTGTCACCCTTCCCATTGGCGCCATCTGGCTATGTTCGGGCCGGATACTCGCAGCTCTCGTTCCAGAAAAGGAATTAGCTCACCTTGCTGGCTATTATCTCTCATTGCTGCTGGCTGGTGCACCAGGATATGCAATCTTTGAAGCTGGCAAGCGATTTACACAGGCCCAGGGACTCTTCAATGCTTCCCTCTTCGTGCTGCTCATTGCAACGCCAGTCAACGTTGCCCTAAACTATGTCTTTGTCTTCATCTTGGACTGGAATCTTACTGGCGCCGCACTTGCAACCGTTGTTTCTAACAACCTTTTGCCATTACTCCTCTTCATCTATGTCTACTTGGTGAACCCCGCATCGCTCGAGTGTTGGGGCGGCTTCACGAAAGCTGCGTTCACGAATTGGGGACCGATGGCCAAGTTGGCAGTACCGGGTATTATCATGGTGGAAACAGAGTGGCTTGCATTCGTATGTCACTCGTTTACAAAACTTTATATCCAATTTACTAATCTCCTTAGGACATTCTCACCTTCTCAACGAGCTATCTTTCCACGGCCCACCTAGCCGCCCAATCAATGTAAGCTGTCACGCCCTTTTCAAATCCTCCTATTCGATACTAATTTAATATTTGCAGCGTCATGACTCTCGCTGTAGCCATCTACCACGTACCCTTTAGCGTTGGCGTCGCAGTCTCAACCCGCTTGGGCAATCTCATTGGTGCAGGTTCCCTCTCTGCAGCCCGGACTGCCACCAAAACCTACGTTGCAACCTTTCTCGCAATCGGGCTTATCGACTTTACTTTCCTTACAGCATTCCGCAATATCTTGCCTCGCGCCTTTAGTAGCGATCCTGAAGTCGTGAGCATTGTTGCTACTGTGCTGCCTCTGCTCGCTACCTTCCAGTTTGCAGACTCGACTACTGCAATGGTCAATGCGCTGCTACGTGGATTGGGAAAGCAGAGTATTGGTGGCGTTTGCAATCTGTTCGTTTACTACGTCATTGCTGTACCACTGGCCCTGTTCCTTTGCTTCCCACGCGATTTGAAGCTGGTAGGGCTCTGGACTGGATGCGCTGTGGGTAGTTCATGCATTACTATCTCAGAGGGCATTTATATGAAGTTCTATGATTGGAGGAAGGCGGTTGAGGATGCAAAGGAGCGACAGGAGTAGACGAAGAACTCCTTTTGACACGGTGGAGTCTTGGTAGGTAAAAAAAACAGGAATGAAGAGACATAATGGTGGGTAGAACGCGTGATATCAATCAAGAGCAATAAATTCTTGAGCGTACATTTCTTTTTCTAGCCCTTTCTTGTTCAAAATCAAAATGTCTAGATGCGAGTGTGTGCGTCTACAATTGGCTCTCACCCTTTGGCAGCGCCAACTTCTTCCCCTCGGGATCCTTGGTAATTTCGTCATAATCCGGTCTAGGCAGCTCAAACGCCTGTGTAGTGCGCCCATACGTAATACCGCCCAATCGAGAAATGGGCTTGAGAACCTGAACAAAGCAATAAATTAGTGGATGTCAGACACAACAGGTAAGCCCACACGGGCGTTACTCAAGCATAAACTTACAGCAGGATCGATAAGCACGCCCTGCTCATCAATCGCATCTTCTCTCGCCCAAAAATTGACACCCTCGATAAATACCGTAACTCCCGTCTTCTTGCCTGGCGTATCAGGGTTCTTACTCGTCCACTCCACCTTATCCACCAGCTTGGCCTCGATACTAAACACAGCCTCCTTGACGCGATCCGGTCTCACAATCTTACTCTTTTCAGGATGCAGTCCGCTAAAAGCCCACTCGCTAATTCCCGGCGGCGCATTGATGCTGCAAAAATTTGCAGCCTCGACGTAATGCTCGGAGATGATGTTAACGGTAGCTTCCTTGGTGTCGAGCAGATTCTTGAGCGTGTCCTTGGCCTTGTCCATGCCGCCTGCGAAGCCGAGGACGAACATGGGGGGATCGTGGTTGACGAGGTTGAAGTAACTGAAGGGGGCGAGGTTGGTTGATTGGCCGTCTGCACTGATGGTTGAGACGAAGCCGATGGGGCGGGGGACGATGGCTGAAATCAGGAGCTTGTAGTTGTGGACTACGGGGCGGCCTTGCTCGTAGGGTGCGATGGAGCGGTGCGATTTTCCTTGGTCAGAGGCATCGTTGGGGCCGCTGCCTAGTGGCCAGTTTGGCTTGGGTGTTTGCGTGTAGTGGAAAGAGGATGTCTTGTCAAAGGGGGGACGCGAGGCCTCGACTGCTTTGAAGTCACCGTGTGGGTTCCGTTTTATCTCCTTTTCGGCATCTGCGCGTCCAGTAGCCATGGCGGGGGATTGGTGAGTTACTTCGTTGTATGCTCTTTTCGGAAAGCAGAGGTAAGGTTGTTGGTGCTCAATGCGCGTTGTCAAGGTCAAGGCGGGTTGCCGTCGGGTGGCCAAGATTGCCCTTTTCATCGATGTAGTGTATGACGCCAATGAGACAAAAACAATGTTTACTAAGTGATGATCAAGCGGCTACAGCGTGTTGGAGACACGGCAAATAGCGGATGAATATTTAGCCCGGAAGGATGCAGAAAAATCAAAGACAGCCGCGGAATGCCGCCCGAGAAAAGCCACTGCATCGCTTCTTCAGACGGCTATCCAAGCATGGCTACTTCGTGAGGATATCTTTCAACATCACTACCGCTTCTTGGAGCGTTTGGTACAATAATTCTGTCTGAACGGCTATACGCGGGACATGTTCTCCAAAGACGGCGCCGAAGGGTTATCAACGTCATGTACTACCCCGCTATGCATCTGAGCTACCCCGCTACCAATGATAAGAGCACCAATGCTTAGTGGAAGGTCAGCTTACCCAAGGTTTCTCGTTGAAAGTGCTATGATAGATGACCAATTTCATTTCCTGCAGCCCATTGAACATCTGATACTCCAAATGCTCTCTCCATTATTTCTCTCCGCGATTTGTGAAGTTTGAAATCGAATTCAACATGTCCTCGGATAAAGACTACCAAACCTACAATCTAGGCAACTTCAAGCTCAAATCTGGAAGTGAAATACCAGATGCTTTCATCGCATACAAGACACTAGGTGACCCTTCGTTGCCAGCCGTAATCTATCCAACATGGTATTCTGGAAGTAAGCACTGCGCACCAGACCGTGATGCCGCAACTGCTAATCGATCCACACAGCGATATCCGACAATGTCTGGCTCACTGGCGCAGGTAAAACCCTCGATCCTTCCAAGTACTACATTATCATGCCTGCTCTGTTTGGCAATGGCCAATCCTCCTCACCATCAAACATGCCAGCTCTACGTCCCTTCCCAGAAGTACTATTCTATGACAACGTGCGCGCGCAACATGAGCTTGTGACGAAGCACTTGGGCATCAAGCATGCTCGTGCAGTACTCGGATGGTCCATGGGTGCTGGGCAGACGTATCAATGGGCCACACAGTTTCCCGACTTCATGGACCTCGCCGTGCCGTTTTGTGGAAGCGCAAAGACCAGCCTGCACAACCAGGTCTTCCTGGAGGGTGTCAAAAGCAGTCTTTACGCTGCACTAGGTACGAGCTCAGCAGGCGTTGCGAAACCAGATCTATACACAGCCCAAGGAAAGAAAGTGACTTTTTCGTCTGAGACACGAGAAGCCGGCCTCAAGGCCCTTGGGCGCGTTTACGCTGGTTGGGGTTTCTCCCAAAGCTTCTATCGCGAGAAGTTGTATCAGAGTGCCCCGACACTTGGATACAAGGACTTGGATGACTTCCTTGTCAACTTTTGGGAGTCATGGGCGCTGTCGAAAGATCCAGGAAATATGCTCACAATGGCGCACACATGGCAAGCTGGAGATTGCTCACAACAAGATCCGTATAACGGTGACTTCAAGAAGGCCATGCAGGCTATCAAGGCGAAAACGTTGGTTCTCCCAGCGAAAACAGATCTCTACTTCCCACCGGAGGATTCTGAGATTGAAGTTCAGAACATGAAGCCTGGCGTAGGAACACTGAAGGTTTTTCCATCCATTTGGGGCCATTGGTGAGTGTATTCATTAAAAGGTAACCACGTTGTCATCATTAACGGACAAAACAGGGCTGGTGGACCTGGGCAGTCAACAGAGGACGTCAAATGGCTGGATGAGCAATTGAAGGCTTTCTTTGCTGAGAACTGAGATGAGGCGTATATGCTGCTTCGCCCAAGTCGCTGTAGTCGGATCGTGATTGAATCAGCCGACTGAAGTTGTCGCCTGCTCTACCCTTGTGCTAGGTTCCCCTAATGATATAGTGCCAACAATCTTGAAGCGATCTTTTTCATCTTTGCGTTCAAGGACATGAACCCTATCGACATACCACTCCAGGGTAGTGGGCTTGTCATCTTTTTCTGCGTTGTGTGAGAGGAACTCGGAGATGCTCTTGGTGATCTCTACGCTAATCTCGTCTACACCACCCTGGCTTTGTGCTTTTCCTACAGAAATATGGGGCATGAAAGGTCGGCGGTCTCGGTCAACTCCATTTACAGAGAATTCGGAGTATAAAGCCGCCTGAAGCTTTCGGATATTACTGTAAGTGGTGGGGCCAAGCCAGACGGTCTTGTTCTTGAGGTTATGGTGAAAGACTCCAGGTTGATCCGACTCGAGTGACATATGGAAAGGGGGTATGGCGCGGGCTACTTGTTCAATTCGGATGCGAATGTCGTGCTTGAGTTTGCAAGACTCAGACGGGGATGCTAGGAAAGGGTACAGCAAGTTGATGTGCGGGGGCCATCGTAGAAACTGCTTATCGTAGACGCTTCGTATTGCTTCTATTGGCGCAGTGATGCGTGACGGAGGCAGCAGTACCAAGGCGCTTTTGTGAGATAGTTTTACCGGCAGCTGTTTCGCCATGGTGATGTTGGAGGAGCCGACGCACTGGACCGTTCCTGGAACCAACTGCAGTGGCGCCCTAGCGGGCTTGGCAACGACTCGTCCCAAAGACGGGTGCATCCTAGGCTTCTGTTGTCGCATTCATTTCCTTTGCCAGACCCAGGATCAAACAAAGTCGCGTCGCCATGTGGGAGCGCTCATAACATCACCAGACCTCCTTCAGTCCAGCCGCCTCTCACGACAATCCGCTCCGACACGCGCTTCATTGCCTAGTGGGATCCGCCAAACATCAGCGTACCAAAGCACCTCCGAAGTTGCGCGACTCCCCACACACATCCCATCACGTCGACCATGGACGGCCAGAAGAAACCATCCCGCCAATTTGGTGTCACTAGCGCCATCTCAGAGGCCGCGCCTACCGAGCATGATATCAAGCTGAATGACAAGCTCATCGAGACGCTCAAGGCGGAAAACGTCTTTGAAACCCCAGAAGGCAACCGAAGGAGGTACGTCACGCTGTCTCCTAGGGAAGCGGGAGCGCTTGTCTAACATGATACAGGGAGGAAGTCATCGAACACATCCAGAAAGTCGTCGAAGAATTTATCCGTCGCGTGGGAAAGCAAAAGGGTGTGCAGCAGTCCGTCATCGATGCTGCAGGCGGCAAGATCTTCACATTCGGCAGTTATGCTCTCGGTGTTCATGGACCGTCGTCCGATATTGACACGCTCGTTGTCGCGCCTAAATTCGTGGCCATCCACGAGTTTTTCGAATTCTTCCCTCCAACATTTCGAGAAATGTCCAACGTCGACGACATCAACGAGTTCGTACCCGTCGAAGACGCCTTCGTACCAATTATCAAGATGGAATACCGTGAAGTGAGCATAGATTTGCTATTTGCATCGTTGCCAAAGCGGTCTTCGATACCCAGGAACATGGATACCATCGAGAAGAAGGATCTGGAGGGCCTATCGGAGTCGGCAACCCGAAGCGTCAACGGCACACGAGTTACCAATGAGCTCCTGGATGCGGTACCGCAGAAAGTCAGCTTCAGGCATGCTCTGAGGGCCATCAAGCTGTGGTCCAACCGTCGAGGCATCTACGGAGCTGTCTTCGGATACCCTGGTGGTGTCGCGTGGGCTATTATGGTTGCTCGCATTTGCCAACTCTACCCCATGGCAAATGGTGCTACCATTGTTTCCAAGTTCTTCAGTCTGATGTACAAGTGGACTTGGCCGAGACCGGTCATGCTGAAACATATCGAAGAAGGCGATTTGGGTCTGCGGGTATGGAACCCACAGGTATATGGTGGTGACAGAGCACACCTCATGCCCATAATCACGCCTGCGTTCCCCTCCATGTGTGCCACACATACTGTCATGCCATCTACCCTGCGTATTATGAAGGACGAATTTGGAAGAGCGGACAAGATCCTACAGCACATCTTTGCAGGAACAAAAGATTGGAATGCATTGTTCGAACGACACTCATTTTTTACCAAAGACCACAAATACTACTTGAGCGTGGTTGCTGCAAGTCGGACCAAGGAGGCAAACTCGACATTCTCTGGACTGGTGCAGTCCAAAATCCGTCACATTGTCAAGGGCATTGATGATGGACAGACTGGTATCGATACTGCACGTCCATATATCAACTACTTTGAGCGGTATCATCGTTGTAAAGATGATCAGTTCCACGAAGTTACTCAGGGTTCCCTCGAGTACATGATTCCAGCTTCTGAAGTGCCTGCAGACGGCACTACGCCAGCCGACAACGATACCCACATCATCTACACCACAACCTTCTACATTGGTCTCACTTTACCTCCGGGTACGTCTAACCAATCTGCATATTTATGGTTCACCATGCTGACCATTCCCGTAGATGCTACCAAGTCGCTCGATATCTCTTATCCTGTCAGCCAGTTTAGGAGCTATATCACAGATTCGGATCTTTACGACGAAAAACTTATGTCCGTCAAGGTGGTTCACACTCGCAAGTAAGTTTTTCAAACATCCTTGCTTTACCACTTTACTGACCAAGTAGCACTGCACTTCCTGACGACGTATTCCTGCCGGGAGAAACGCGGCCGAAGAAGTCTAGCAAAGATAAAAAGAAGAAGGACGCGAAAAGTGCTAAGCGCCACTTCGCCGATACTGGCCTTGACGTGCGTGAAGAACGCCTCACCAAATCCTCCCAGCGCTCACTCGTGTCTCGGGGGTAGTGTTACACCAAAATGCTGACGATTGTGCTAATGTAGGACAGCGAACATTCTGCAGCAAAGCGCCAACAGTCCAAGCTTGCTGCCAATGGAGTCCCTACTCCAACGGCAGCATAGGCTTTGTTTCAGCTAAGCTTGCGCATGTTCGCACTATTTCCACCCTTTCATTTTGCTTACAACCTTGGGGTTTCTGACGTTTCCTTATTGTTCAGTTCCGGCTGCATTTTGATGCACAACCAAAGATCCACCTTGTTAGCAACTCACCCTCCGAGACAGGGTTCATTTATACGCCGAGCACACACACTTACCTCCGCACCAGCCATCCGACGCCGCTCCAGGTGCGTATCAGTGCTACCGAAGGCCTCTAACAAGAAAACCAGAAAAAAAAGTAGGAAAAGAGCGCATTCTTGCGCATCAAAACACAACACTACAAATAGGTTTGGTCACGTCCACTTTATAATAATTTTTCCTCGATCCACACTCTACTTGGCGTTTTAACCTGGCGTTTAAAAAGCATCGGATGGCGTTTGCGACAAGAGCGGGATAGGCACCCATAGCTCGCACGCACGCACGCGACGGTGTTTGGGTTTCTTTTTCGGCTCGACGGAAGGAGGGCAGTCATATCTGCTTTCAATACTTCGCATAATGGCAGGTGACCGGTTAGATGCGAAGGCGTTGTTTTTCGTAGCGGCAGTAAGCCCAGGTATAGGGTTTCTGTACGTAATTTTGCAAGTCTGTACAACCAAAATTTACAAACATATGAGCCTTGGGGCTCCGACAAAGTCGTAAAGGGTGGATTCTTGATTGTCAAACGTGAAGCGATTATGTGTGCTGCTTGACTTCTGGGACAGTGTTATACTGTCATCCTTCGAGAGAGATATCTGGCGCTCAAGCAATGGCATAGGTCTCACGAATGATGGGACTGATGTTATGATGATGGAGATCGTTGCAAATCGAACGCACTTTTTCGTAGATTGAACTGGCGCAGTCGCAGTTGCCTCACTAGTCCATGGGGCATATGCTCACGTGAAAACGCGTGTGCTCCGTCCTTTGCATCCACCAATCACGACCTGCTGGCGCCTAAACGCCCCGCAGCTACTAACAAGTAGTCAACAGACGCCATCTCCAGTTCTGCTTCTGTTCCTTCTTCCCAATTCACTATTCAGATCATTAGACAATAATCATGGTTGTGCGGTCGCGTCAGTACGGTGTTCTTCCCATTAATTGTCTCTTTTGTGTTGCGATCACAGCTGATTGACTTCTCCATAGTGAACTTAATTCCGGACTTGATCATAGGCTCTGGGGCCTCGATCATGATCAGTCTGTGCGGTTACTTGGCTTGTATGATGAAGGGAGAGCGTAAGGAGCTTTGGAGGCATGGATCACAATTTACTAATATTCGAACTAGCATCATGACCCGCTACCTTAGGATACAACAAGAGTTTGTGAAAATCGTGACTTTACATCAATACACGCCGCTAATATTATCAGCATTGAAGTACGCAAGAAAAGAATCTTTGGTGATTCATGGGAAGAAATCGATGAAGAGAGATTGACCACGGCTCTCCTAACACCGTTTTACGATGAATTTGGAGAACTGGAAGCTCAAGCTGAAGAAGATCAGCAAAGGATGGATAATGATCCCACGCTTCAGCGGCTCAAAGCACAGCTGATCATTGCTGACGAGTATATTTATACACGAATCATGTATGGGTTGATAGCTGATCATCTATAGAAAACTAAATTCTGTTGCCACGGCGTGTTCCGAACTGGAATTATGTCTCCCTTTGACATCGCTTATCCTTTCAAGACTACCGCGCGAGCTTCGCGATCAGATGTGCGTTATTAACTCTCGTAACCGCAGATTGACCATTACAAGGTCTTTTATGAGAATTAGCAAAGTGGAATTATCAAGGAAACTCTGCTGACCGTTTTGTGCTCATAGCTACGATCTTCTTTGGGGTGACGAGCATGCCGAACGTCTCGACGAGGCTCTTTCAATAACCCCTGATGCACTCAAGATATCTGAACAACCCATCCTTGATTTGCCACATCTTTCTGTACCACCATTCGCTAATTCCAGATTCGTGGGCATCGAGTTTGCATCTGAGGCTGCAACGAGGTACTTTAGGGCCATAACAGTCGCTGAAATCGATTATCGGTGTGTTCGAGCTCACATCAATCGTAACCGCTTCGGACCCATGTGCTTTCCCATCAAAGAGATTATCAGCAGGCTTACCATAAGTGTTTACGAAAACTCACTCTACGGGTTGGGGATGTCAGGATTCGCGAAAACGGCTCTGGAAGACAGTCTCGATAGCCTTCTCATGCTCAAGAGCAATCGACATTTAAAGGTTAAAATCTATTTACCCTGGCGCATACAATACAAAAAGAGCCTGTTCCAGGTTCTCGAAACCATCAGACCATTTTCTGCTACTTTCAGAAACGCCAACATGGACGTCAGGGTACTAGGCTACGATTTCTTCAATCCAATCGAAGATGACAGTGAATGGATCTTCTCAGAGCAGCTGAATTATTACTTCGATGGTACACCGGAAGAGTGGCTGGAGATGAAAATCAAAGAGGTCAAAGAGATAGCAGATGCAAGGCAAAGGAAAGCTTGCAAAGGCGTTCGTAACTCATGCTCGATTGGGAAATGGCGCTAATCACGAAGGCAGATATTGCGGGCCATGCGGGTGAACCTTGAGTTCTTCAATAAAGAGAGTCGGCATAATGAAGCCACCGAGGCCACCTGATACTATCACGATCCCTACTAGCCTGCGTTATATGTATGTCGATCGTGGGATTTTGTTCGGTGGCTGACTCGTGCAATACCTGTGTTGCGGGAATTGGGTGCCATTAGGAGGGGAGCACTGTCGCATGTTCAGGCTTTTGACACTTGGCAGGATTCCGAATTGATACTTAGTTGGGCCTCTTTTATAGATATATTTTTATATTTTTATCGTTTCAAACTCTTGAATGTGCTTGCATAAGCTTGCACAGTGTACTTCTCAGAGATATACTTTGGCCTTGAGAGGGTATAATATATATTAATGACCAGGAACAGTTTTCTGCTCCACGGTATCACGGGCCCAAATAAATATCCCGGCACCTGTAAGCCCTGGCTATGCACGGAAGAAAAATGCGGTAAGGCTTAGCCCTTAACAAAGATTGGCTATTTCTGTGGTGTTGACGACGGCCCTTAGCGGCACTGCTAAACCCGAGGCGGACGCATGTCTCCAGTTACGTCATAGGCAAGTCGGAGGACGCGCGCACGCCTCCACTAAACCCCGTCTCCAACACAGTACAACAGGGTTTGGTGTGTATCCGAGCCGAAAATGCGCCATAAGATAAGTCGTGCTTCGCGTGCTGTCGTACGCTGAATACATCTTCAACTTTTGTTTCTGCCTCGGAAAGCGTCCTTGGCCATCCTGCAGCGGAAACCGGACGTGACCAATGCAGAACTGGGCAAGCCTCACGAATATTAGTGGAGCTGCAATAATCCTGGCCTGACCGGAGCGCCTGATGCGAACGCTTTTTCAAGCAACACCAACCACGACGATATGGCGCAGCAATTCCTTGCCGATCGCAATGGCTGGCTGTCCTTTAGGAGCAGCACGCCGCTGCTCTACATTACCGCTGAAGATGCTGAGTTTGATGTCCAGACCATGAAGGCATGGCGTGACGAGGGCTTTGTTGTCGAATACATTCCCATGGGCAATGGCGGGAAGCAATATGTGCAGACGCTCCATAAGTTGGGCGAGAACATGAGTATTGGAGAGCGTTACGCTATCGTAGGTATACGACCCTTTATTAGTCTTGCGCATTGGAAACGACCACTGCCTGCTAGTCGCAGCCTGAGAAAACATTCGCTGACAGTAAATCCTCAGCTTTTGGAGATGCAGCTGCTGTGTGCTTAGACATCTTTTCGGAGCCCAGAGCCGCGACCTCGAAACTCTGTTCCCTCATCGCTTACTACCCGACTTCAATTCCCGACACACGACATCGCTTCACCTCCTCTTTTCGCGTCCTCGTACACCTCGCAGAGGGTGCATCCGGAAATGAGTGCACGGTGGGCGTGGTGCGCCGTCCAGAAGTCCTCGGCATTCAGGGCAAGCGGAAAACGGTGCAGAAGCGCGTCACACCTGGCATTGGCGTTGGAGGCTTGCAGGACAAGATTTTGTATCCTTGCTTCACGTACGAAGGTGTAGACGCTGGATTTGCCGAACATGATTTGCCCGAATACGACGCCGTCGCCGATGCGCTTGCATGGAGCCGGAGTTTGAGCACAGTAAGAAAAGGCTTCAGCGCTGAAGTTGACTTGGAACGAGTACTGGAACAGAACGAAGAGCGTGGGTCCTTCCTTCAGCAAATTTCCCGTAACAACAGTCTAACAAACAAACAGAAAAATTTCATGGCAAGGCAGTCGACAAGCTTTTAGAAACCTATACCCGAAGCCCAAGGCCCTCTATAAACTTTACACCAACGATGACGGGCGGCATCGGTATGTCCGACCTTAAACGCTTTTATCGTGACTACTTCCTGAGAAGCTGTCCGCCATCCCTCCATATGCGCCTCATCTCGCGCACTATAGGCGTGGACCGTATTGTTGATGAAATTTACTTTAACTTCAAACACACCTGCCAGATGCCCTGGATCCTACCAGGCGTCCCTCCTACAAACGAAAAAGTCGAAATCGTTGTCATAAGCATTGTTGGCTTCCGTGCTGGCAAGATATGGAGCGAGAGACTGTATTGGGATCAGGCTAGTGTGCTCTTCCAAGTTGGATTGCTGGATCCAGAAGAGGTCCCGAAGGATTTCAAGGGCAAGGCTAAGAGTGACGATGATGACGAAGGTGACAAGGGAGGGCTTGAGATGCTGCCTGTTAGTGGAAGTGAGGCCGCGAGAAAGGTTATGGACGTTGAGAGTGAGGAGTTTAATGATATGATTGATGATTGGTAGGTGTTCTAGAGCATCATGGGAAGAGGAAGCGTGGAGATGTATTAAATTTTCTGTTCATATGTTCGTTTCTTTTGCTTTGCTATTATCCTTATTCATCTTTTAAACAACCTTGAAATGCATGTAATACTCCCTAGTATCTTCTCCGATTTTAAATACATTGTTCAAGGACCTAAGGAAGTGTCGGGACTATCAGAAAACTTATTACGAAATGTGAGGTCATACTTTTCGGATAACGCGGCTGGCCACCAAACCCGCTCTACTGGGAGTTCCACATCAGATATCGGACCTCTTCTCTCATTTACACTTGCTACATGAATCTTGACTCTTGAAAATTATTCCACATACGACCATCGGCGAAATACTGCACCGGATCCCGTTCGTTCTCCACACGTTAAGTCTTCGACCGGCGGACTAGTAGTTAGGTGGGTGACCACTAGCGAATCCCCGCTGTTGTATGTTTTTTGTTGTCATTGCACATTTTTTTTCTTTCAAGAGACGACTCAAAGGGGAAGGTGTTGAATTCGGAGGCGTAGGGCTCGGTTCGAGACGGTGTTCGTGCGTGGCTTCAAGAGCACCCGCGAGAACTTTACTATTGGATACGAATCAAACATTCATGCCTAGTCTAGAAAATCAATGATATTAACGTCCTAGCTACAAAAGCCCCAATTTCCCAAATGAATGTGATCTAAGTGCGTCGTCTAAGTACAAAGGAAAACTCTAAACAAACTCAATGGTGTGATGGTATAGATACAAGCGCACACCAAGCCGTGCCGAAGCCGCCAAATTTGGCATTGTCAAATCCAACCATCACATTCAGTTCCATGCGATGACTTCAGTAAAGTTCTTCTGCTCAACCCTTCCATCCGGCTTCTGCAGCTGCTTGGCCTCGGCGTTAAAGCAAAGCCCCGTAGCACCCGTGTCGCAAACGGGCACCGTCTCACGAGTCTCCATGTTGCAATAGATGCCTTCGAACAGAGAGACAAAGTCTGGGCCGCGCGAAGTGTTGCTGGCACAGAGCTCAGTCGCATTGTGGCCAGGCTCGGAGCTAATGACGAGTCTGTGGTCCACGATTGTAGGCTCATCGCGTTTGAAGATGGATCCGCCTTCGGGAGTGTAGGCGCGGAAGGCTGGGTAGCGGCAGTAGTCGGCTGGGCGGGAGCCTTGGGTTTTCTTGTTGGTGAAGTCGATCCAGTGGATCATTAGCATGCCGGCTTTGAAGTTGTTGGTGTGGTCGTTGTCGATCCAGGTGCATTTGGGTTTGCTGTGTTGTTCAAATGTTAGTTTGATGGTTTCGTTATTGTATTTGAGTGGTGGGTGCTTACTAGCTGCCATCGACCTAAGTTGCTTGTTAGCATGCGGAAAGAAAGGTAGAGTTGGAGATGTGGTGGGAGAAAAGACTTACTGCGACGTTACCGTAGTACCAGTTCAAACCGCAGAAGGCGCCCCAGTCGCCGATCCAACCGTACTTTGCACCATCCACGAAGGTAGTTGTGGCATATGGGATGCAGATTGCGTCGTTAGTGGCTTGGATCTGGACAAACATGGCTTGCTGGTTGTTAGATTGTTGAACGCCAAAGTCAGCGAAGCCGCCACTGCCAATGTAGCCGCCGCTTCGAGAACCGATAAGTTGCTGGTTCTCGTTGTAAATACGAACTGCTTGGATGCTTCCGTCGGCACCGCTGAGATCGGGACCGTTCAGGGCTGCTGCAACGCGGACGTTGCAGACATTTGGGTTGGGGTTTTGAAAAGAGGAAGCAAAGAAGCCGAAAACGCCGAGGACGTTGGCTACTACACCGAGGACTTGGGCCATTGTTAATGAAGAGGGTTGAGTTAAGGAGTTGTTGACAAGTAGATGGTGTTTGATGGTTGATGCTGTGGAATGAAGTGGCACTGTTGACCTTATATAGACATTGGACAAGAGCAATCGAGCTATCTGCATGCATCGGATTCTGAAGCCCTTGGAATCTGTCAATCTCACTTCTCGATACATTCTACATTAAGGTCTTGTTGACAAAGTTCTGTTCTATGTTTACACTTTCATGGGTCGTCATGACAAACATGCGTGCCTGTCAATCTAACAGTCAGACTCTCCATGTCCATAAAACACCCAAGTCATCATGAAAGCTATAATCCGGCAGTTCAAGAAGCCACCAATATACAATGCCCACCTCGCTAGCCGATGTTGTCGCAAAAAGACCCTTCGAAGTCCTTCAGCCTCGCAGTATGACACCGCCTTTACAGGTCACAAGTACCAAGTCAAAGTAAGGTTTGCTCTTGGCTACATGTTTAATAAGCATTCAGCTCTTGGTAGTGGTAGAGAAAATCATATCGATGTAAGACACCAGATCATGTAATCCAAGTCTTGGCCTTGGCTCTCGTAATACCCCTGTCTCTTCAACTTTGTCAGCGTCAGGACAAGCTGATGCCATTTTAAGCCGTTATTTGATCTGATCAAGATATATCTTGGCAAAAGCCAAAGAACAGTATACAAAAGATGGTTGATGCGACTGCGAAAAAAAACAGTTATAGTTTTGCGCAGAATCGTCGACACTCGCGATATGTTTGACCCTACCTCGTTGTGCACTATTCAACCCTACTTTGCTCACAGAAGACCACCGATATGAAGTCCCTCATTGCAATCATTGCGATCATCGTGTTGGGTTCCCTACCAGCACCAGTCGTGGCGGGACTTGGCGTGAGTCTCTTCCTCATTCTACACAGCAACTCAAAACGAGAACTGACAATAGATAGACAGATTTGCGGAACCTGATGTCAGCATTGCTACGTACATGATGGTCGTATTTGCACATGCTCTCTAAGAAAAGTACGCCGTTCCTGTACAACTCAATACAGGGCTTCGACTGAATGTGATACTCATCTTGCGACAGTGTACTCGAGACGCCAACCTCTGCGTTTTGGTGTATTCCAACTACTCGCCAATTTGTAGTTGTACATAAGACGTTGCTTTTAGAAATCGTTAAGTTTGTTGAGTATGCAGTCCGGGAGGAAAGTTTATGCGTGTTTGTTTTTTTGATCTGCGGATAAGTAGATCTTGAGATTGGCTATGCTATTATAATGAGTGCAAATGTTTGTGCGCTATTGTTTAAAGCTGAAATTTTAATTCGTGATGCAAGCATGCAAGATCGTGTTCAATACTTTACTAGCATATGCCATTCACTCATACCGCAAGCTATGCGGAAGAGAAACGAAACTATATCGTTATCAGCTGAGAGAAATGAACCACAAAGTTTCTGATTGAAGTCTATATTTCATTTGACCCAATAAACGACCGTGTTCCAAAACTTCATATGAAGACTGTTCCAGCAGCGTAGGGAGTAGGAAAGAAACTCAGTTTGGTCTATAACAGGTCTAGCTAATGAGCAAGCAGGAATCGCAAAATCCAACAGATTACCAGGATAACTTAAGGCTCATCCCAGAAGTTCCGAAATAAAACATCAGAAGATTTGAGACAAAATCAGTCGAGTTTATTCGTGTTGTGACGTTATGCCAGTTTCGAGTTTCGGTGATGATGGGGAAAGTGATCGTGGGCGCTGTGATGCACTAGTGCCAGCACCAGCATGCTCGGCTTCTTCACCGATTTGAAGTTGATCTCGTGAAGTAGTTGGCTCCGTACCGTAGAAAGAGGATGCACGGTTGATTGAATTGCGGGATAGGTGATTGTAAGCATGGCTTCGTGCAGCAATGCTTCGAACAGCACCTCCGGTTGCGGTCGAGTCAATGGATCTCCGGGCCTCGGCTCTGTTTCGCTGAATTTGTGACCAGTCATGAACAACGTTGTCAATGGAAAGAGGGCGGGGTGGCAATGACCTGCGATGATCCCGGTGTAGGGTCTCGGCGAGGATATGACGCGGTACAGAGGAGATGCTCGCACCGTCAACAAGGGTATCAGCTTCCGAAATATGCGTTTCACTCATGCTTAGCGGACGACCGTTGAGTGTATGATCACTTGCCCTATGAAAATCGTAATCCTCGTAGGGGTATAATTCGCCCCCTATATATGCCAGGATAGAATGGCGTCGAGGGGATGGGGCACCGTCGCTATCGGTCATTCCAGGAGGAGCTATATGAGCCGTAACACCAGAGAAGCGAGTTTTGAAATCGGTGAGTTGCTTACGGCCCCATGAAATTCGCTTCTGGGGATGCAAAGCCCGTAGGGCTTGAGGGTCCAAGGTTTTCAGTGAAGCCAGTGCATCCGCAGCAGTGACTGACGAGGTGCATACATCAAGCGTAGCTAAATCAAAGTTGGTGTCGATCTCCTCTGGTGATTCCGCATGTTCCTCACGAGAGGATGGTGCTATTTCAATTGTAGGAGAAGCGCTGATCGGCGCGCATGCCAGATCCTTATGATGACTTTCGTACTTTGAGCTCTCCTTCCTCGAAAACCATTTGCCCAGGTTGAAGGGGATATTTCGCGACTCGAAGAATCTCGTGCTGACTTTTTGCTTAATATCGGAAAGCATCTGCCGACCCTCGGCTAAAGGGTTCTTCTTGTGCTTGTATCGACCAATACTATGAACTGTTGTCTGCAAGGTATTGTCGTCAAAGGTCGTTGTAGGCATTCGGGAACTTCTGCCGGACCTGGAGCGGATAGAAGTCTCCCGTGATGGACCGGCCGATGTCACTTCTGGAATGACTGTGAGGACAGGAGAGAGCGTCGCGATTGGAGTAGAAGCTCGTATCATATGGATCAAAGTGGCACGGAACTCATTTTCGATGGGATCTGGCTCTAGACTCATGGTAGACAGAAGGGATAGTCGTGTGGCGTTGGCGTTTCCAGAAGACAACAACAAGCGGTTGCACCTTTTGCAGTAGACATCGCGAACATGGGTAAAATCATTCGAGATTCTGACGTGTACCCGGAGCGATTTGTGGTAATGATGGCAACTTGGGCATACTCCACTGATTTCGAATGCCCAATTTCCATTGGGTGGCCTGAGTGCACTTCCGGTAGAGGAGTTCGTGTCCTGCCTAGCGAGTTCAGGCATAGGGAGTATCGCGTCTGAAGAGCCAGTATCATGAGTGGTGCCGACACATGTGTTTGCAGGAGGCAGAGAGGTCATCGTTGGAGAGCCAAGACCAATGGACATGATGGCTAAGCGGTATGTCCACTTCCGTGATAGTATTCAGAAGAGACCTTCGATGGATGCATGAGTTGATCCAGTCAGAAAGAAAATAGTGGTAAAATCCTGGGTTGCCAACAACGAAGGGCCTTAGATTGAGTTGAATGTACGTCTAGAAACAAGGCCAGTAAAAACAAAATGGGTGATCCAAGGGTAGGGGGAGACTGGCAAATAGCTGTGGGAACCGGTTCGGTGGGTGTTCTGAAGAATTCAATAAGTAGTCTGGCATACCCTGCAACCACCACTATCGATGGTCTTGCCTACATTCAGGCCGGGACGCCTCGAGGGTGAATTGTTGGGGCTAGATGTGGCGCAGTCGCATGGGTAAGCTCCAACTCGCAGAGATTGGCAGGGGCCGAAGCCACACATGACACAATGAGGAAGTTCTGAACAAGAGCAACTGGATAATGCTCTTGGGTTCATGACCAGAAAAAACTCCCAAGATTGATGGTTGAGGTCAGAAGGACAGGTTTTTCAAGCCCGGCCGTGCAAGTGAAGTGCGATGGCAAGCCATAGCTTGCGGACAGAGAAGAGTGAGTTGGGGGCCACGAACTGGAGGTAGTACAAACTGCACCACCTCAGAGGCGCTTGTCGCGCGACAGCGGGATGTGGCTGGAGAATGTCAGCCTGGCTATGCAGGCAACAATATTGGCCATGACGTGAATTCGCTCACATGGCTAGTCTCGTGCCTTGATCTACTGTTTTGTGTTGTAAGTTGAGATGGATCAAATGCTGGGAGCGCATTGCTAGGCAGCACCATCAGGTCGTTTTGCACAGCCCACTACTGAACTGAACAAGCAACAGAGCGAGAAAGAGCGGTGAGGTGACATCCTGGACAGAAGGTCATAGAAAATAGTGTTCAATTCATACAACCCGTACGATTCGGGAGCAAATTTAAGTGGCCCCCAAAAGTGTAGTCCAACACAAGGGCTTACATGCAATAACTGGAGAGATGGTGTCGAATGGGCTAGTGTCGGAACGGGACTAGCTTAGCGCACGTGCCGTCGTCTTGGCTCCCACTCGCTTGCTGGTGAATTTGATGATTTTCGATAACCCACTCGACAGAGCATCGACAACACCACATCGACGTACGACAAGCCGCCATCATGTGTGAGTATGCCCTGCTTACTTGAAAGTCCCTTGATCATTGCGACTGTATCCGTGTGTCGAGCGAAAATCATTCCGCTCGCGCAGAGGGCAGGGTCGCAGTGCTGAAGGGCCCGACACGCATAGTACAGACATGCTGACAATCGCACAGCGCTCGTCTCCGGAGAGAAGTCTAAGTATGTCAAGACACCAACCCGAGAGTTCACGCATCGTTCGTCGCTTCCGTCTTGTCGCAATGCCCGCTCCGATCTCAGCTACCCGTTATATCAACCCGCCTCCCTAGTCCAAAGCCGTGCAAGAGCCAGTGAGAAGAGCAATGATAGAACCTGGTGTGCAGGATGTGTTCGATAGGATAGTAAGGATCTGGCTGGAAGAGATGGACTAAATTAGGCATGCTAGCTGGACTGGACAGGCGGATTGCGATAGCTGGTGGCTGTGAGAATGGAATCGCGCACACACATATGGGCGACGTTGACTTCGACTCGTTTTCGCACAGTTAGAGCAATGCTGACTTGGACAGCTTCCAATACATCATCCGTTTGTTGAACACGAACGTCGATGGCAAGCAGAAGGTCATGTACGCCTTGACCAAGATCACTGGTGTCGGTCGCCGTTACTCCAACTTGGTCTGCAAGAAGGCCGATGTCGATCTCAACAAGCGTGCCGGTGACCTCACCTCCGAAGAGCTTGAGCGCATCGTCACCATCATCCAGAACCCTCTCCAGTGTACGCAGTGGCCAATGTTATCTCCATTGCACTATCGCTGACACACATATAGACAAGATTCCTTCCTGGTTCCTCAACAGGCAGCGCGATATCGTCGATGGCAAGAACAGCCAGATCCTCGCCAACGGTGTTGCCTCCAAGCTCCGTGAAGATCTTGAGCGCCTGAAGAAGATCCGTGCTCACCGTGGTCTCCGTCACTACTGGGGCCTCCGTGTCCGTGGTCAGCACTCCAAGACCACCGGTCGCCGCGGCCGAACCGTCGGTGTCTCCAAGAAGAAGGGATAAATGTTTTCGCTTGCGCTGGGCAGCTGGGGCTGGGACATGCCTTTACGAAATGGGTGGTGCACTTACGGTGTTTATCAAACGGCTTTCATTGGCTTTCACGTTTACACTTCATGCGGCAATGCACGATATGGGGTGAAATGATGCGCCACGGTTAGGGTTGGCCGAATACAGCCTGTACCAAAATCACACATTCAAATTTCGACTTGTTCCAACGAATGACTTGACGTTTTTTACTACCGACAGATCCTATGCTTTTCTGCATCACGATGGTTGCTTTGCGGCGCTCGGCCCGCTCAGTTGTTGACAAATGAAGGCCATCGTCGGCAGTGTAGCCATACTATGTCCACCACGTCACACAACACTTATGCTTATCAAGTACATCGTGGTGCATCGTTGTCCTCCCAGAATGGGTCTTTTTTAAAAATCAAGGAAGGAGTCGCGACTATGTGTTGCTCGTATCCAGAAATGTTACTCCACTGTATGATGAAATGTGGTCGCAGGCTACTAATGAGATATCGACAGCATTGCGAACAGCATTACCGTAGCGGGTACACTTGAAACAAAGAAGCAGTAAGTCCTAGGCTCGTGATACCTTTCTCGATCCCTGTACCTTGGTGTTCATCGATTCATGGCGATTGGAGGACTAACCGCCAAGTGTGGAGTGCGCTGTCTCCCATGCATGGTGCACCAACCCGTCGCAGCTCTCGGCTTACGCAGTGTTATGATATTCCACCCACTAACTCCATCCCCTCCCCCGCCATGTGCGTCTCGTCCGAAAAACGGTCCTCTGAAGCACTGCAGCCTCGTCTGGTTACAAACGTCGTGGCGTGGTCACAGATTCGCGGTGCAGGGCCAGCGAGCCGGGTGGATGCATGTACGAGGGAACTATGATTGATATAAGCCTTAGTGAGGGATGAGTAGCCTACCTTGATAGTTTATATACCAGTGGTCCTTTCGATTCTTTGTTTTTTCTATGATTGCCACATAGACGGATTTTCGCGCCCTAGCCGCTACAATATGGCGACTGTTGCCGTTGCACCGCAGACCCCCTCCTCCCCGAAAGTACGGATACGATCTCAGTCATTCGACTCGCCATTTCTCCGCATCAGCGTCACGCCCGTCGAAGAATCATCATTTTCAAAGTCGACCGGGGCACTGGAGACACTGGCGGGCTACGATGACATGGAGGAGAGCGTTGCAGCGGGAGTGTTCAGGTCTGCGAGTACGCTGCCTCTACTGAAGACCAAGATGAGCGACGAATCGATGCTATCAGAAGCGTCGAGTGCCAGCTCTTCGTCCGTCACCACGTCTTCAACCAGCTCAGAGAGCAGCATGGAACTCGACGACGAAGACGACGAATCAATTGCGTCGGAAGACGACGACGAAGAAGAAGAAGAACAAGAACACGAACAACAGCATCATCATCATCATCATCATCATCATCATTATCATCACCAGCACCAGCACCAGCGACCCCATTCTTTGACATTTACTCAAAACACTACAAACACCACCTCCTCCTCGGAAAAGGACAAGGACACGGCGCTGAGCCCCCTGTCCCCCTTTCTGTACCAAGATACCAGCTGTCCCATGTACTCGCCGTGGCTCGTCTGCGCAGTCCTCGACATGCACGACGTGCACCGGTTGGACTGGACGTCAATTGCGGACCCGATTGAACGGGTGTGGGGCGTACGGACTAGCAGCGCCGATGTACTCGGTATCTTGAGTGACAACGGGCGGGTGATGCGGCGGCGCTGGTGGGACTGAGATTCGTTGTCCTTGGGTATACTTGTCCTCTTTTTTTTTAATCCTTCTTCCTTTTGTCTTTTACGTCATTGATTATCCACTTCGTGGTTCTCTTTCATTTGTTATGATTTATGAACTTGCATGGGTTGGGTTATGGACTTTTCCTTTGTCTCTTTTGTTTTTATGGGTTTGCTCTAGGAAGGGTAGTTACGACGTTACGACACATTGTGACACATATGCAGAATTGAAGTGAGAGAGATTAAAAAAAAGGTTATCAGGGGGGGGGGAGGGCGTTGCGTTAACATTGCAGATTGCGGAGTTGGATTTTGGGGTAGCATTTATAGGATTCTTTTGTAACAAGAATATTGAGTACTATGCAATTCTTCAATTTGGTGGTTCTCACCTGCCGACTTCACCTTGAGTACAGGAGATGGTTTTGGGAAAAAGGGATGGACAGAATATTCACTCTCAGCCCCCACACTGTCTGTCTGCGTGGGGGATGACGAGCTGAGAAGCATGCGGGATGGAGGGGGTGAGGAACAGTTGTCCCACGACGAGTGGTTTCTTGGCCCCATGCAATCAATCCTGGTTGCGGGTATTACTGCATTAGTTCGGGATGAGAGGGTGGTCAAACGGAGACCCGTCTGTTGTACAGAATGTACCAATCGTGGGGGCACATGGCGTTATGCGAGGATGTAACGAGACAGAAAACATGTGATAGAACAAATTTATGTATATTGAATTGCTCTATTATCGTGGATTTAACCAATGAATGAATTCCAGCCATCCAAGCCATCATTTTCTCATCATGCAAACTTTCGATACACGAGGGCTAGAACAGCATGTGAAAGAGTCACGTGCGCACTGTGCGGTGCTTACCGCTGTGCCGCAAAGGCCCGACTGCGGCAGAACCCGTGCACGGAAGCTGTGTATGGTTCGGGGTATGTGCTCGCATGACTATGTTGCAGAGTGAGGCAAGCAAAGGAGCGGTGGAGTATGTTTGCCATGTTGCCCTTGCAGACCGTATAAGTCCATGCATTTTACTCCAGAGGCACCACACGAAAGGGCCCACCGTCCCTTACGCAGGCTATTTCCTCTTCTGGCAGTGGAATACCAGCACGTGAGAGCGAGAGCAACACGCGACGCGTGCTGAAAAGACGTGTCTCCACTTACTCGATCAATCATCAGCGCCAACCGCCATTTCAAGCACTTCGACGTTGCCCCTTCCTTTTGTTTGGCCCTCGATCAGCTCGTTAAGACCCTTGAACGCACCGGGCTCGATGAGGCCCACTGCCTCCCACTCTGCGCCCACGGTGTCTTGGCTCTCGACCTTTTCCATGAGGCCGAGTATGGCATCCTTGACGGTGCCTACTGTGCCCTTGTCTTCGGCACCCGCTTGGGCCTTTGGCGCAGTCTTGATGCTCTGTTTGAGGACAGAAGTTGGACACGTAATGCGCAGCTTCATTTGCATGCGAGCGACGGGTATTGGCTGATGAGCAATGAGCGCCTTCATGGCAAACAGGGCTTGCGATTTGGCCGACTTGTTGGTGACGACGCCAGTCCACTTTGGTAGCTCCTTCGCCTTTGCCTTTTCGTCACCATCTTCCTTGGCCTCGCCCTTTTCCTTTTCACTCTGCTGCGACGCTGCAGCAGAACTCAGCTGATCCAGCGCCTTCTCAATCATGCCTGTCGTGTACACGCGCTTCGTCTTGGGATCCACCAGCTTTCCGGATACAATATCGATGACCTCATTCTTGGTCCTCTCGAGCTCGGCATTGCGCTCCTTCTCGCCTACTTGCAGCTCACCGTGGTCAAGTATATCTATGATGATTTCCTCGAGCGACTTCTTGGGAAAGGCTTTTTCGAGATCGGTCTTGGGGGCGACTTGACCCTTGGAGACGTTGAGGAAGACGTTTTCGATTTGCAGGACGTTGGAAAGATCCTTTTCGACCTTGTTGCGCCACTCGAGGACTTTGTTCTTGTAGCACGCGATTTCGAAGCGCTTCTTGCCTGCGGCGTGTAAGTGGAATGCAGAATCAGAATAGGCAGAGGGCTTGGCGGGGTCTTCGCACCCTTCTTCATGCGCACCAGCGACACGTTGGTCAGCTTGATCTGGTTCGACGGTTTGATGATCCCGACAGGCATGTTGGCGATCTATGGGGGCTCTGTGGGGGTAAGTTGTGGTCGAGGTGCTGGTGCCGGGCGCGCGATATAAAAGTTGGATGGCATTTTTGGTGGGGGCATTGCCCGCAGCGGATGACATAGCACCAGCCGGTTCACTCAGAATGATTCAAAGGGCGCTAGGCCAGATGGGGCACATGCAGGTCCCGCGGTACTCTGCTGCACTTGCACGCCTAGTCGAGCTCTCTAGCTGCTCCAGCTGTCGGGCGCAGGCGCTTCGCAGAGAACGCGCCCCCAACACCTGCAGCAGAACAGACGGTGACGGTCTTGTTCCTGACGTGTCGGCCAGGGCCGTCTGGAGTCCCGTCCTCACACATGGGCCGGTCAGTTATCGTGAAACGCTAAGCCCATGTGATGCTCGAGCTTGGACGCGCCAGCCTCTCTGATAAGCTTCGGGGGTGCGCGTCATGGTCCGTTGCCTGGACAAGCGGCTCCTCCGCACGAGCTATCCCACACCTCCATCTCACCTCCTCCTTCTTAACCTTCCCTCACCCTCTCTCACTCCACATTCCATCCCCCTCTCCCCCAATCCATCATCAGCTGCTTCTTCCATCACTGGTAGAAGCTCTTCTTATTCTGCAATCACATATAGCTACGGCTCTGGAAGCTTAGCATACCCGCCACCATGAAGGTAGCCACCTCGGCGCTGCTCGTTGGAGCGGCCGCTGCTGTTGCGCCACAGCAGCAGCAGGTCCTCAAGTTCCCCAGCTCCTTCAGCGAGCTCAAGGAATCTTCGTGGGCCAAGGGCATGCACAACCTCGAGGAAAGCCTCAAGTCGCTCACCGGCGAGGCGCGCGCCGTCTGGGACGAGGTCGCCATGATGTTCCCTGAGAGCTTCGAGAAGGCCGCCTTCTTCTCCCAGCCCAAGCCACACACTCGCAAGCCCGACAGCGAGTGGGACCACATCATCAAGGGCGCTGACATCCAGAGCGTCTGGGTTGAGAACAAGAACGGCGAGAAGGAGCGCGAGATCGACGGCAAGCTCGAGCAGTACAGCTTGAGGGCCAAGAAGGTCGACCCCAGCGTTCTTGGCGTCGACAAGGTCAAGCAGTACTCTGGTTACCTCGACGATGAGGAGGAGGACAAGCACCTGTTCTACTGTGAGTACCCCAATGAACACCCGCTATCGCCACTTCGTGTATCTAATGCATCGCAGGGTTCTTTGAGTCGCGCAATGACCCCAAGAACGACCCCGTTGTCCTCTGGCTCAATGGCGGACCCGGCTGCTCCTCGCTGACCGGTCTGTTCATGGAGCTCGGTCCCGCATCCATCACCAAGGACCAGAAGATCAAGAACAACCCATACTCGTGGAACAGCAATGCTTCCGTCATCTTCCTCGACCAGCCCGTCAACGTCGGATACTCATACTCGAGCGGCTCAGTTAGCAACACTGTTGCTGCTGGCAAGGACATCTACGCCCTGCTCACCCTCTTCTTCAAGCAGTTCCCTGAGTACTCCCACCAGAGCTTCCACATCTCTGGTGAGTCATATGCTGGTCACTACATCCCTGTCTTTGCCTCCGAGATTCTTTCCCACAAGAAGCGCAACATCAACCTTCAGTCCGTTCTCATCGGTAACGGTCTGACCGATGGTCTTACTCAGTACGAGTACTACCGTCCCATGGCCTGCGGTGAGGGTGGCTGGCCTGCCGTCCTTGACGAGTCTCAGTGCCAGGCTATGGACAACGCCTACCCCCGCTGCGCCAGCCTCATTGAGAACTGCTACAACTCTGAGTCTGTCTGGTCCTGTGTTCCCGCTTCCATCTACTGCAACAACGCCATGATTGGTCCCTACCAGCGCACTGGCCAGAACGTCTACGATGTTCGCAAGCCATGCGGCAGCAACTCGCTCTGCTACGATGAGCTTGACTGGATTCAGGGCTACCTCAACAAGAAGGAGGTCATGAAGGCCGTCGGTGCTGAGGTCTCTGGCTACGAATCTTGCAACTTCGACATCAACCGCAACTTCTTGCTCCAGGGTGACTGGATGAAGCCATTCCACCGCGTTGTTCCTGGTATCCTTGCCGAGATCCCTGTCCTCATCTATGCCGGTGATGCTGACTACATCTGCAACTGGCTTGGTAACAAGGCCTGGACTGAGGCTCTTGAGTGGCCCGGTGCTAAGGACTACAACAAGGCCGAGATGAAGGACTTCAAGATTGACGGTGATGGCAAGACTGTTGGCCAGGTCAAGTCCAGCGGTAACTTCACCTTCTTGAAGCTTCACGCTGGTGGTCACATGGTCCCCTACGACCAACCCGAGGCCTCTCTTGAGATGCTCAACAGGTGGTTGGGCGGTGAGTTCTGGAAGTCATCTTAGGTGCTTCCACATGAAATAGTATTAGGATGAAATTGTTATGATTGGATGTGGACATGTGGCGAGCGGAACAGTTCCCATTTTGTATTTTGTAGTCATGTCCTCAATAAATGAAAGAAATAATCCAATTATGTGCCACTTTGATCCCAAGCGTCCACCATACAGTGAAGTCTATGTAGTACCAGGCAATGGAAACGTGCTGCATTATGGTTCATCGCTACTGCCGGCATAACGTAGTGCACGGACCTTTGTCGCAAACAAGCTCAACTCTACTACCTACTTCGCATACCATCATCTCTACTTTATCTACGGCCTGTCCGTGCCTACAACACCCCTCAAACATTGCGCTTCTATGATTTTAATGCTGTATTTCTCTCATGAACAATTTCGATCCTTGTAGTCTAACTTCATTTGAGGCAATGTATCGAACTGCATTGTACCAACTTCCCATGGGATTTGCCGATACGATCTCATCCAATGCTGCCACACACGGCTTGTAGTTATTCGGCAGTTTTTTCTTTGTATACAGGTAGCCTAAGTCTAGAAATACAGGAGCTGTAGGAACTAACAAATTATTCCCCTGACCACGTGCAGTACCCCACCTCTTAGAAAGGGACGGCTCGGCTCAAGTCAAGAGGTCGCAGCGATTGAGCGCGTGGTGGCGTTTTCGGGCGCTTACCATCCATGGAAGGCTGCAAAAGAAAACCTCAGCTGGACAGATACTGACAAAAAATAGCTAGACCAACGGCTGCCTTGTTAATTCAAGTCCAGCCGCACCTTGGCGCCGACATTTGATGAATCAAGTAGCGGACTTTATCTCCCCTGCTTTACAACCACTGGATATTGAGAATTGACTTTTATTAACGAATAAAACGAGAAACATTCGTTCTGCTTTTCAAAGCCAGTCTTACAGGTAACTCCAATGGATGTTGAATCGCTTCCTGCTTCTAGCGACGACCAAGTCAGCTATCCTAGTCAAATTCGTCAGTGGATAGATGTATGCAACTCATCACATGGCGATATCTGCGTCCCCAAACCGATATCACAACAACCCCCAGACGACGTGCCTCAATGGCTCATCGATACCCATGACCAGTGCATTGTGCCCGGAGTCTCCGCGAATCATTACTTGGCCTTAAGCTATACCTGGCCAGAAACCCGCGATTCCTCTACACCAGCACCACGCAGTTTACTCCTTGACGCCGCGAGCGTAGCAGACCTCCAAACGCCTGGATGCTTTTCCAGCTCCGCTATCTCAGAGCTCCTACCGGGAGTGATCAGACACGCTATGAGCGTAACAGCTGCATTAGGCGAACGATATCTCTGGGTCGACCGACTTTGCATTGTGCAAAACGATGCAGGAACACTCGATCAAGTCACAAGGATGGATAAGATATATGCAGGAGCGTATCTCACCATCATTGCTGCAGCACCGGATGCCATGTACCAAAGCAATCAATTATCAGAATGGCCTCGCTTTAACATCTTGTTCAAACAATCAAATTCTTCTGGCCTCAGCGAAGATCAAGTCGTCCGTGCTATGGACTATCGGTATCAGACTTTGAGAGCATCTCGGTGGGCGACAAGAGGATGGACATTCCAGGAGCAGATACTTTGTAAAAGGGCCGTTATATTTACCGAGAAAGGAATCTTTTGGGATTGCCAGTGTTGCATGTGGGACGGCGCGGATCTCAAGCCAGGTCAGGACTACGAAACCATCTCAGTCTCCACGGACATGGGCAAGCGATTTACGACCCGATGGTGGCCCGATTTCAGCTTCTACGTCGATCTGATCTGTCCGTACAACGGCCGAGAGTTCTCTTATCCCCAAGATGCACTATTAGGCTTTTCGGGTATCTTGAGCGCCTTGTCGCGATCGTTTCCTGGAAAATTTATATCGGGTGTACCGAACATATTTCTTGACCATGTTCTGCTATGGCAGCCATTTGAGACTGCAGATCGGCGCGTAGATCGAGGCAATTCATCAAGCACATTCGGAGGCGTGTCCAGCCTTCCATCGTGGGCATGGTGCGGATGGCAGTGTTTCGTGGATCCAATGAGTCTTCGCTCTGGCCTAGCCTACATAAACGAAGACCAAATGCGAAATCGAGCCCGCAGCTGGCAAACACAAAACTTGATAGAGTGGCGTGCGTCTAACGATCTAGTACAGTCGGAACTGATGTCGGATCCGCCCATTTTTGATGGTCATGTCAAGCTCGCAGGTTCATCTGACGCACTTCCAGAAGAGTGGGAATCCCACTACGAACTCGGCACGGAAGCTCCGAGTTATAGCCATGCAACAGATCGAAAGCTACTCTTCAGACACCCCATACCACTATCACTCGATGCCTCACGGCAACCCGAACTCTGCACAACATCCTACCTAACCTTCGAAACCACCTCCGCCATGTTCCTCCCCGCCACCATCCTACGACCTCTCAAGTCCCAAGAGATGGTTAGCTGGTGAGTTCCATGTATTAACTGTATGTGAGACATACACTGACCTCGTACCTACGAATCCGCCAGGGGCGACGTCAAGGTCTCCGTCTTCGAAGACCGCATGTTCGCCCTCGGTCCCCGCGATAACAAAGTCCCTCCCGTCATCGTTCTCAAACAGCCAAACGGCATGTTCGCCGGCCTCATCCGCCACATGAACAATGATCGCATGAACCCCAATCTCCCCGTCGAACTCGTCGCCATATCAACCGGCAGCGCCAACGCGCTGGACCTCGAATTTTCATTTGAATGGAACGTCTTCGCCGACCTAGAAAGCTATTACACATATGGAAATGTCTGTAAAATCATACCCTTTGCCTCGCCGCCCCTCACCGCGCAGCAGAAACGTGCGCTGCTATTCGATACGTCAATGGCATTTGGTGAGGAAGCAGCAAAGGATGATAGTAACAGTGCTCTCGCCCTGGAACTCAGTGCTATAGAAAATGAAATCAACGACCAGGTATATTTGGAAATGGAAAGGCATGAGGAGAGGCTGGCAAAGCTTAATGCGACGCAAGAGTATCGGACGCGGTATGAGCAGAAGATTTGGTTCAATGTTCGGAAGAAGGTGCTTGGAGAGCGGAAGCAGAAGAAGAATATGGGAGAGGAGGGTCCCGGTGGTGCGGTGTGTCAGTTCTATAATGTTCTTTGGATTCAGCGCAAGGAGGGGGTCGCGTATAGAGTCGCGTGTGGTTGGGTGCCGAAGTATGTTTGGGAGGCGCATGCTAAGGGGCCTGTGAAGGTTGTGTTGGGTTGAGTGCTTGTTGTAAGTTGTAAGAGAGAACGAAACGCCACTAAATCCATAAAAATATGCTTATAGCAAAGACTCTCATGGTGATTTCTTGCATGTTACATTGTTTTGTACGACGGTGCCAAACCCATGACACACATGTCTTATTCCCCCCCCCCCTTTTTTTTAAATCCAAATCTGCCCCATCCGCTAGATATATACACTGCATAATCCAGCGCGAGAACACCCAAATGGCAGCAAGGTTTCCATCTCAATACAGACACACAAAGCAAGCGCATTTGCATCATGCAAAATTGCTGCAAAACACCCCATCCCCCCCAAAAAAGAGAATGTCAAAGCAGGTCATGGAGGCACCCATGAACCAATGTGAAGAAGATATAAAAAAAGAAGAAAGCCAGCGTTCAGAAAACGTGATGAACGAGTGAAGAAAGAAGAAAGAAAGGATATGTACGCAGAAGAAAAAAAAAAGAGTCCAACAGCAACCAACGAACCAATGTACACAGACTTAACCATACATATCACAAGTCATAGTCTTGATCTCATACTCACTCTCTCCCTCGACAACACCACAGGGGACATCCCAACCGAGCTCGAACTTGTCACTCTCGGGCATGCGGTCCTTGGCGCCAGCAGCACAGTTAGCATCGATAGTGTAGTACGAAGTCTCCATGGCGGGCGCAGAGTTCCAGTCGCAGGCGTCGGTGCGCTTGTAGAAGGTGCGGCGGTGCAGACGCAGGGCCTTGCGCTCGATTGATTTTTCGGGGGAGTCGCAGAAGCAGCGAGCGGCAAGGGTGAGGGCGTCGCGGGTGCAGTCGCAGCGGGAGCCGTCGACTTGGTAGCGGCGCGTGTTGGGCTTGACAGCTGGGTGGGCGCGGCCCCAGTTGCGCGAGGGGGAGTTGGGAGTAGCGGTTTCGGCGGCTTCGTACTTGTAGATGGTGGTTGCGACTACGGTGGTTACGGTGACGACATTGCCGTTGCCTTCGTTGTTGCTGTTGTCGCCAGCGGGTTCCTTCTCGTAGCTGGGTGGCTGGGTTGTCTCAGGCTGGGGCGTCTCAGGATGAGGTGTCTCCTTGGGTGAAGTGGCAGAGTATGCTGGCTCCTCAGGCTGAGATGCTGATGGGGAGGGCTTGGTAGGCTCAGTGCTGTCGCCTGATCCCCCACCGCCAATGTGAACCTTACTGCAAGACTCAAAGCTCTCGTGCTCACGGTTCAGCCAGATCCAGACAAACAAGGCGTCGCCTTCAGGCATGTTGGTAGGGACCTTGAAGTCAAAGGTCTGGGCCTCAGGTGAACCATCTTCGGTAGCATGCGGGCAAGCACCGTGATACGAAGCAGCCAATTTCCAGCTCTTGCCCTTGTCCGTGGAAAATCCAACCTGGCAGGATCCGCCATAGTGAGTTCCGCCGGGAGCGGCCTTGTCGTAGTCGAAACTGGTGAGCTGGAAGTAGGCGTCTTGACCAGACTGCCATGTGACCGATGCCTTCTCGGTATCGAACTTGTCAAGGTGACCGCGGCAGGGGCCTGGAGAAGGCCTGCTATCACCTCCATCAGGACCGCAGCATCCAAGCGGGAAGTTGAACTCGGGATCGATTTCGGTTGACTGGGGGTTGATGGATGGAGCTCCGCCTAGCGGGGGTGGGTAGAACAAGCTCATGTGAGCCTGGGCAGCGCCAACTAGGGCGAGCACAGATAGAGTCTTCATATACATGGTGTGTGTAGTGTTTTTTCTTTTCGTAAAGACTGTGGTCGTTATGAATGCAAGGAAGGACTGGAAGTTGCAAAGTAGAGTCAGAGCTGAAAGGACTGTGTAGTGATGTTGCTGTTTCTGTGAAGAGGGTGTTTCTTGACAGCAACAAAGAAGCTCAAAGAAGAAAGACGGTCCGGCGCTTTCGAACAGAAAAGTGAGTGAATGTAGAATGAATGTAGACAAAGACTAGCTTGTCACGAGTGAGTGTGTATCTATCACTGGGATTGATGCCCTCCTTCACAAGGGCAGGCAGGCAGCTTTTAAATCACCTCCTGACGACTGGACCATAGTTGTTGATGGGTCCCGTATAACACGCATTAGCACGCCCAGTCTCGGCGGCTGAAGAGGGTTGTGCTCTCAGCATGCTAGTAGCCTCTGCCCAAGAGTGGAGCGTTGTAGTAGTATACGGGCCCCTGACTTTGCGACGAGCCAATGGTGTGAGCGAGACCAGGTGGCGCATCGGGGGAAGTGGACCTGTTTGGGAAAGGCAGCGAGACGCGAGAGCCTGTGGGTCTCGAGTGAAGGACTCACTGCCCGGGTTCCGCGATGGAGGTTCTGCTGTTCGTGGCTGACGGAGTCTGCGTCTTGTTTCACGCTCTCCCATTTTTGGCGTAGCAGGGGCGCTTGTCCCTGGCGAAGGATCACTTCGTCAAATCCCACGCCCAACGTTTTGCGCAATGATTAGCACGCGACCAGGAAGACTGACAGCGGATTCGTTTCATAGACAGACCGTTTACGTTTCTTCGGCTATAATACCAATGGTGTTTAGTGTAGGCATGTGAGTGATATGGCGCCAATGGCTGCCAGGCCCCTATCGATAACGCTCTTGTCGCTTACTCTCGCCACGTGCTTGTGATCGACCTGGCCTGTCCTTTGACCTTCGATTTGGCTTTTGCGCTATTCATACTCCACTTCCTTTGAACAGGTAGCAATTACCGTCTGGTTAACCGCCCTCTCGTATCCCCTCTGCAGCAAAATGCGTCTGTGAACAATCTAGTTGATGGCGTCAGCTGCGCTACCTTCTGCAGGTGCTCCGTCCGGGTGTAACTTATTGCCACTGCCAACAGCCTGGTGTCGTCGTTTGTGCAAGTTGCAGGCTGCAGGGAGTGCTTGATGATCTCTTTCAAGACACCCGTCCGAGACTAACAGCTAGTCATGGCCTCGTTACGCGGGGCTCGGATTTCGGCAATGTAGCGACAGCTGGAGGCGATGCCCCGATTTGATACACGTCCAAGAACGACCAAGAACACCCAAATGATCCTTTACCAAGCAGTGTGGGTGTTGCACAGTAGTACTTGTGATACTACTTACTCGGCTTCTGTAGCTGTAACCCTCTGATGCCACATACTCTTTTAGAAAAAGCTGATACAGGAAGCTGAAGTATGCAGACATGCATCACAAGTCCAGCAAAAGTTGTTTTGCAGCGCACATCCCAGTGCCCCCTAGAATCACCATTCCATCATCTGCAAAGCAATCTCTCTTGTCTCATGGGAATTGCAGAGAACCAAAAATCCTACATTACGGATGCCCCCGCCTACTCTAGATTAGCCAATCAGAAGCACAGATAGGGCACATACGTATTCACAATGAAGCACGCGTGCGCATACTTACATACATCAAAACCAGTCCGGTCGATCATTTTAACCGCCTCATGTTTCAGCCCAACCTAACGTCCTCTACCTATTGGAGGAAATGCTATCGATAGGAAAACGTATCGCGGCCCGTCCAGTCAGAGTGACAAGCAAAAACTACCTAAGATCACGCATCTTTTTTTTTCCGCGGGCGATCATGTCACAGTGGTCATTTAAGACCGGCTGTTTCGGAGAGCAGTCACTGTCGTTTTTGTAATGCCCTTTAATCTGAATAATCACCAGTAACATGTCACCAAATGGCACCACTTAGCATGCCGCTCACTGCTCTAGTCAAACATTGTCTTCACATTCCGGTTGCTTATGCTGAGATGTAATAGTAGTATTAACTTCTCTCAGCTTCCCCCTCTCTCTCTCTCTCTCTCTCTCTCTCTCTCTCTCTCTCTCTCTCTCTCACACACACACACACACACACACACAACCCCAAGAATCTCTTTTCCCCCTTTAAAAAACCCCCACAATCTTTTGATATAGAATGCCAAACACATGATGCCCAAAATCCCAAACTTCTCTTTTCTCCATCCAATCCATAGCATCATCTACCCCCAAACCCCTTTCCTGCTCTTTTCTCCTTGACTCATAGAGAGCGCTCTACACCAATCCCTCGTCTCCGTAGCATTCCTCCTCTTCCTATAAACCATCGAAAGCCCCAACGGCGCACAAAACTGCGTAAAACTGCCCGCGCACGGGATTCTGCACTGCACGGCATCGACCTTGGTCGCCCATTTGTGCAAGTAATCGCCACACTGACAAATCTCGTCGGATATGGCAAAGTACTCCCACCGATAACACGTCTGCGCACAGCTCTCCTGCCTGTTTTCTTCGTCGAAGCGGCGACCAGACATCCGTTCGGTGAGGAGGATTCCGCCGTGGGGGTCGTTGTAGCAGCCGTTGTACTCGAAGGGGCCGCACGCACAGTGGTGTGCTGTGACGTTTTGACAGCCAAGCGGGGGTTCATTGCCTGTAAGGTGGGGGATTTTTTTGTCCCCTAGGTTAGCCGGTTGTATTATACAAGTTATGGGTATTGGGTGTTTGGGCTTACCGCTGCATACATAATCGCACGCAGGATGTTTGTAGTGGAGAGGAAAATGCTTTCGGTCGCCGCCGGTGGCGTAGACTGCAGTGAGCAGCCCGGGAGCAAGAATAATTACGGAGGTTCTCATGGTGGTTGCAAAGGTTGGTGATTATAGTAGTTAGAAGAGTGCGAATATGTGTGATATTCAAACACGTCTTCAAAAGCATGTAATCTTATGATACTATGTTGCTATCTAGCTCTTCCTCTAATGGTGAAGAGATGCAAATGAATTTCAAGCAATTTGTCAGTGAAGATTTGCGAGTACGTTTTCCACTTGCTACGCTGCGTTGCTTGTCCGCAATCGTAATTGATTGACTTCTCTTATCTAATTGAGTTGTAATTGATTCTCGCAGGTTAGGATATATTCCGCTATCCTCTTTGTGAGAAATAATCCAATACGCTATAGGCTAAGCTAATCCAAGCAAGTAAAATTATATTTCCATGGGCATGGAAGGCATTCACCGAGAAAATGCAACTGTAAGAATTGCCAAAAAATTACTATGGCTCCACCCCCGCCTCTTCCAGAATTTGGCTTCTGGGTGGGTTTTCCCTTCGAAAATCTTTCCAACTAGAGCACTCGCCTTCCGTTTGGAACAGTTTGGTTCTGATCGGAGTCGGGAAAAAATTTAATTCCGCTCGGTACAACGGTGAAACCCAGTACCGGCCAAGAAAGACTACCAATCGACTTTCCCGTTGCTTTTTCTTTTTTTTTCTGGGAGGGCTGTGTAGGCTGTGGAGTCGATCTGTTTCCGATCCATCTTCGCCGTTGGTGGATTACGTCTATGCTCACACCTCATCCCATGTTCCATCGTGGTAAAAAAGATTCTTATCTTCAAGCAATGGCCTTTACAAAGACTTTTCTTCAAGATCAAGGACCAGACATTACTACTATTGTATGCATGAGCTGTATCTCTCGACAAGACATATTGTGTGGTGCCATGTCCACATACTACCAAGATCTTAGTCTCCGGGTACCCAACCCCGTTCTTTCTTCCCAGTTCACCGCAACACGAGCCCTTACATACTACACAGCTAAGACGAGTATTCGAACGCGTCATCGAGCCCAGAATTTACGTAGAGGGGACCCGATTTTGTATCAAAAAGAAATATGTGTGACTTCTACCAAGCAGCATAGTCTACACTACATCATTCTTACCTTCACTATTCCCTTCAAACCGGTTGTAGACTACAACAGCAAGTACCACGGGTGCAGTAAATCTTGGCTACATTTATCTTGTTTTTGTTGCATTGCCAAGGCATACTCTCTACCAGACATGATTCTACAGAGTTTTGCTTATGTGGCAGGACGCGCGTTGCGGTTTCTAAGAGCAGTCATGATATACTCTGCCAGGCTACTCTACGCAACGGTACACAAACTCATTCGTTCGGTTCCCATTCCGTCTCCATGACATGATGTATGATCGACACGAACAATGAGTAGGCATACACGTATACTAGACATGTCACTTCTGAATTTAGTATTCACTTCCATGTAGAGTATTACTAAGAAAGCGTTCCGTATTAAACACATATACATGGATAAGGCTAGCCCAAGATGCGCGGATGAGAGATGTAAAATTGAACTTTTCTTGGAAAGGGCTACGAGTAAAGCATCGCTATTCGGCCAGAACCATGACTAAATACTAAGCACATCATTCTCACAGTCGAAAAATTACTTCTTCAGCAGCTTCTCCAGTTCCGCAGCTATCGCGTCGCCAACTTCGCTTGTACTTGACTTGCCGCCGATATCGGCGGTTCGGACACCATTGTCAATAGTGATTTTTGTTGCCTCGTCAATCTTTTGCGCAAGCTCCGGCAGGCACAGAGAGTATTTGAACATCATGCTTACGGAAAGGACAGTCGCAATGGGATTGACGATGCCCTGTCCAGCGATATCTGGTGCAGAACCTATATTTGTGTGAGCAAGCGAAATGGTTGCGGATATCGTCGGGACTTACCGTGGATAGGCTCGTAGATGCCATTGAGCTTTGTCTTGCCATCAGGAATGCCGCCTAAGCTGGCACTTGGCAGAAGACCCAAACTGCCTGGGATAACGCTCGCCTCGTCGCTAATAATGTCACCAAACAGATTGCTTGTGACAACAACACCGTTCAGCGCGCGGGGGTTCTTGATCATGAGCATGGCAGCGGAGTCGATGAGGTGGGTACCCGACTTGAGGTGCGGGTACTCGTCCTTCATGATGCGCTCAAATGTTTTCCTCCATAACCTCGATGTCGCGAGCACGTTGGCCTTGTCCAAACTCCACACAGGTACTGGCGGGTCCTCGACCGAGGCAAGGTTGCCAGCCAAACGTACAACGCGCTCAATTTCCTCGACACTGTATGGCTCAGTATCCATTGCCTTGCCATCGCCCTCGTCTTCTTTCCTGTCACCAAAGTATATGCCACCAGTCAATTCACGGATGATGTTGAAGTTGACGCCCCGCACATTTTCGGCTTTGAGGGGCGAGGAGTCGACTAGTGAGTCGGAGGCAAAGAAGCAGGGTCGCAGATTTCCAAAGGTCCCGAGTTCTTTGCGGAGCTTGAGAATACCTTGTTCTGGGCGCACCTTGCCCGTGCCCCATTTCTACACCATCTATTAGATTGGGTCGCCCTTTTGATAGTACACAATTACGTACCGGTCCTCCGACGGCACCGAGGATGATGGCATCGGCATTCTTTGCGGCTGTGAGGGTCTCGTCGGTAAGAGGGTTGTTGTGCGCGTCTATCGAGCACTGTAGAATGTTATGATCGGTTCCGACTCCTACGTCATAGCTCCCAACTTACACCTCCAAACAGATGCTCCTGGAAGTTGAAGGTATTATCGGTATGCTTCTCAATGACCTTAAGGACTTTGATCGCCTCAGCGACAACCTGGAAATATCGGTGAGTAAACGCGGTGGGCACACGCGGATGCTGCTGTTACCTCAGGGCCGACACCATCACCTGGACGCGAATTAGTACTGTGGTGCCCGACTTCCGACTCTGTAACTTACCAGCGAGAACGACAATATTGTGCGCAGGCATTTTCTTCTATGAGCAATTGGTACGTGTTTTTGAAAATGAGAAAATATGGCGCGCACAGGTTTCATGGCAGCGTCCGGAAGCTACCCCACGTATGAAGGTGAGCCCCGCCAGAAGCCGCAGCAACCCTCCGACGTCGGCCGCTACCCGCCGGATATCAGCTTACAGCCAGTAATTGCCCATGCCGAACTCTGTCCCCTCTTCCTGACACTTGAACACATGGAATAATACTCCTGAGTGACTCGGCTTACGTACCCGTGCTGACGTTGTCATGATATTACTTATTGCTGTCACAGTTGCTGCGGGGGTAGATTTGGATAATCAGTGATCTTACGCACGAGGTCCCAAGGTCCATCGTGACTTGGAAGACAGCCCAGTCTGTCACAAGAGATGAAACAAACGCTGCATGTAACTACGAGCACAGACTTACACGGAAAGAGCCAATTGCACTCCTTGTTCAGCAGAATTCAACATTGACGAATCGTAATTGCGGCGTACATGCTCGATCAATGCTCATCACTGAAGACACTTGAGTAAGGGGTTTCTCATATTGTAATACTTTCCTAGGTAGCCGAAACCATTAGCAATGCGCACCAAGATTTCCTATTTTGGGTGGGTATTTTGCCGTTCAAGGCAGGGTTTTGCTTATTCATGACCAGCAGAGGGTCTTATGCCAAGTGCTACTGAGCGGGAATTGGTAAGGGGTTCATTCGTCTTCTACAGTAGTTCCAGATGTTGGGCACGGTTGAACAGAATTTGCCAAGGTAGAAGCAAAAGGGAGGATACGAGGAAGGATGGTTACATGGAAAGCAACCATAGGAGCCCGCAGTCAGGGCTTGGCTGACCCCTTTGGCTGGTTGCGGAGCGAAATCATGACGGAAGGACCCGGAAGCCTCCCTTTGCTTTGTTACTACAAAACAAGACTAGATGTAATTGTCTGCTTGGCTATTTGCCCAGTTGTGCTTGTCCACAAGCGGAACTGTGGAACTGTCATGGTCCGAAGGCTGGTGAACCCTTGTGACCCCAGCCGTTCAAGTTCAACCCATCTCGTCTTTAGTGTTCAACGGCCTGGGGCTAACGTTGAATATGCGCTGGTTGTTTGGTGCATAATTATGTTTCTGCCGCCAGACTTCTAGCGGCGTATGCTGTTGACCAAAAGCAATAATCGTGGCGCGGCCCGAGTAGTTGTGCCCATAGTGTGGATTGACTAGAGCACACCCGGACCAGCAAACACATGAAACAGCCTGTGAATGGTTGCGTATGGTGGTGCTGTACAAGTGAGCAGGCTGGGCAAAGGGTCTCGAGAAACCAGCCCCTGAGAGACGGTGATGTGTTGTCGTCTACGGACAGAAGGTCGCGGACGTCAAGGAAGCTGGCTTATAATCAAAGTTTGAGGTGCCGCCCCAGGCAGTCCAAGAGGGGATATTACATGTGATGAACACGTCAAACACTGGGCGTATGGTGGGCTGTGGTATAGCAAGGCGTAGTGATGTGCATGCGGGATGGCGCCTCAGCTAGCCAGTCGTGCGCAGCCTTTCTGGCGATCTCTCTCACCCGCACGCTACAAGTCCCGAGATGCTTCATTTCAAGCCGCACACTGTCCTGTCGATCCCCCGCCAAGTCTCTTGGACTTGCAGATCTGGAGATTGCGCCTCACATGCAATGCGTGTTGGTTTACCCAACATGGACGGTCCTCATTCATTCTTGTCCCGACAAGCCTCCGCTCCGCTGGGCGCCGCGCAACATGGTTGCGTTGCTTGGGTAGCCAAGCCTGGCGTAGCATGGTGATGCAATGTTTTCGAGCACCATTGTGCATCGTGTACTTTTGATCTGCAGCGTGGTGGTTGGGTCTGGACAGAGGTGCTCCCTTGTGTCTGGGCTGGTCTTTCTCGGCATGTCTTGGAAGGCTTCAACCATCCGCGTAGTGCGGAAGGCGCAATTACTTTTGAGTTCCCCGTGGGCGGCCCATGATGCCCCGGATTGCTCCTGGATTGTACCCTTTGCAGCCCTGTCATTTATATTTTAACTGTACATTCCCTCGCTCTGCCTATCGCCAGAAGTTGACTGCCGACCACGGTTCCTACACAGTGCCGGTTTCGCCCTCCGGCTTGCGCGATTAAAACCTTTGCCGTTTCCAACCTATCGTGGGGCGAACTACGGGTCACGCCTCAACATTGTGCATTTGCATTGTTGCATTATTCCCCAGCCTATTTTATTCCTTCCTTACTTCATGAATCAACATCCGTCTGTTACTTCACGTCGCTACTTGAACAACAACACGATCGACACGCTCGTCCGGTAACGCGCATCCAACGCCCTCTGCGGCGAGCGTTCCTACGACCAACCCCCACGCCGACAAAGACCCGCACCACCGCACCACCGCACCACCCTCACACCTTTCACCATGGTTCTCTCCATCCGCTCCAGCGTGGACAGCATATCCAGTCGACTGAGCGGCGAGAAACCTCTGCCTCGACCAACCTACTACTGCCAGATGAATCCCCAGGAGCAGGCCATATGGGCTATTATCGTAAGTAACACTTCTTGTCCTCTTCAAGATCACTGTGCTAACTGTTCCCAGGGCGAGGAAAAGTACGAATACATACGCGACACCAAAGGCCGTGTACATAGGCATCGCCTCACCTACGTTGAGCGCGCTCAGCGCCAGCGTGCATTCTACGACTCGCGTGTCGGCCATGCGATTGTCGGCGACGAGTGGATGCGAATGAAGCTTCCAACTCGCCGTGTCCGCTAGCATCCAGTCACACACGACGGACTGTCATGCTAAACTAGCGCGTCGCACCCATCATGTACCGGCACATGTCCGGCACATGTACACCTGTCTGCGACATCGATCGCCATGGCAGTCTTTTGACGATTTTCTTTTTGTTTTGAGCGAGTGGCCATAATTTAGGATGACGCCAAGGTCTTCAGGTCACCGTCTCTATCGTGCTAGATTTACGACCTTGGCGCGTGGGAAGATACCCGGCATTCAGAACGGAGTTTATATTTCCTTTGTTTGATTTTTCTTATCTTCATTCTGAAGCAGCCTCTCTTCACTTGCCCTTGGCTTGGAAGACATACGTATTAATACAAAGGCGCATATTTCTCAATCAACGATCCGCGTGATGTCCAGCTGGTAAAACGCCTGCCTCAAAAACGGCAGTGCAACAGGCAGACACAATCTAGTGGCCAACCCGTCTGGTAAAACCCAGAAACAATATAAGGGGTTAGTTAGAAGGTGAATGCAAGGCCAAATGGTAGTGTAGAGGGATGTGTAGACTGCCTGAACAAGGGGCCAGCGCCACCATCCGTAGTTCGCCTCCCCTTATTGGCTAGCTCGCCGACAAGGCATCGCTCCGCCCGCGGGCTGTGACCTCAGTCTCTGACCTTGTCACCCAAGCACCAAAGCGAATCGCCATCGAATTAAGTCATCATGTTCTGGCCATACCCATGAGGAAGTACGCCTTGCACAGTCACACCACCAAGCCTGAACCATGTCGGACGAAGAGGGATTGCTGGTTGTTGCAGCCGGGGGCGATCTCATCCTTGACGTTGCTCAGGAAGAGGGAGGACAGCGTTTCTCGTACCGCGTCGACTCCAAGACCCTCCAGCAAAACTCGCGATACTTTGAAAACCTTCTCAGCCACCGGTTTCATGAAGGCCAGCAACTGGCAAAGTCGCTTGAGGCCCTTAGATTGAGCGGGCACGAGAATATTGGCGATGCACCTGACAACGTGCTTCCTCACATCTCCATTATCAATGTCGGCCGAGTAGCAGTGGCCAAAGTCTCGTCCATCCGCAATTTGCTCGCAGATTTTCTCCGTGCCATCCATGGCCTAGACCTTGCCGTATCGAACCCTCCCGTCGCCAACCTGGCGAACCTTGCCGTCGTGGCCGATCGATTCGATGCCGTCGCGTGCCTTTCGAAGTATATACAGAAGAGAAAGTACATGCAACTCCTCGATGCCAAGTCAAGAGGCAAACCAAATACATCGCAGACAGAAGAGAGGATACGACAGAAGTTGTTAGTTGGTCTCCTCTTCGACCACCCGTCGTGGGTAACGCGATACTCGAAGCATTTGATCATACGGGATTCCATACAATGGCAACCGGGCACAGAGGAGGATCATACAAAGGCGCTGTGGTGGGACATACCAAATGGCGTCGAGGACGAGCTCATTCAGCGGCGAGAGTATATTTTGGAAACGATCAACTCTCTGCAGTCGCACTTCCTCAAGTTGTATACTTCTGGAGAGAGACAATGCAAGCTTGGCTACGATACGTCGTTGCAGTGTGATTCTTTTCAACTTGGGGAAATGGTTCGCTTCTTTTTCAAGATTGATACCGTGCGTCTGCAAGGCAAGATTTACGATAACACGGAGCCAACATATTATCTCGGAGACATTGATCGTCTTCTGTCGTCGCTTCGCCAATGCTCCAACTATCAAGTCGACACCAATCATGCACATTGCGGGCTACGATCACGATTGCTTCCGCTTCTAGATCTCGTACAGAGCCATCTTAGTCTGGATACTGGAAGTCCGGACGTTGGTATCTGCGCTGAGTGTTGGACCTCCCGTCGAACCGAGTACGCCTGGCAATTAGCCAAGAGACCGGTGTTGTGGGCTCACCCAAGATCTTTGACGGGTAACCGATTGCTTGCTAACGGAGGCGCACGAAAAGGACCCCAAATAGCATCGAGTAGCTGCCTTAGCAGGCACGTGGCGGTAAGGGATATGTTTATGGCTAGTGAGAGAGATTGGACTCCTAGAGACGCACGTACATTAAAGGATTAGTGCATATTCGATGCCTGACTACGGGCCTGTTGAACCCCATGCATTTTGAGGCCTGAATCATATACATGCACATGGCGTTCGTGAGCTGGGTAGCCCTCGTTCACCGTTGGTGAGATTCAGCCTTAGCTGTAGTACATTTGTTGCGAAATTCGCCCGCACCATCAGGGTGCCTTCGGCCTTATGCTCGCTCTCACCCCACCCTTTCCCTTATTATGGAGGGACGCGGACTTGGGATTAAAATCTGAGAAGAAGTATCCTGCCTTAAGGGACGCCTCGATCCTTGGGGTACCAGAAACGGAAGGTCGCTGTTATCTCAACATTTCGTAGACGGAGACTATCTACTCGGTACTACTAGTCTAGTTTAAAGGGTTTCCCATATCACTTTTCCATGGAACGAAGTATGCATGTGCGCAAATATGCAAGGCTGTACAGTACCTCTGAATGATTAATCGTCGTGTGATGCGGAATCGAAAAATGTCGAGTTAATTGTTCTCGGCTGTGCAACAGGTGATGTGATTGGTCAAGCGCTAAGAGTGCGGCTGTGCGCGTTTGCGCCACTGCTAGAGTAGTAAGTAGGCTGAGCAAATCCTGGGGCTATCTCTCTGTAAGAAGAAAATTCCAAGTACGCATGACAGGCTTTGCTGAGGAAACGTGTGTTTCATTTGTTGAAACCGGCTATTGCGTGACACAAAGAGACATGCAGGCTTCCGCCGAGGCAGAGTAGCATTCTATTGAAGTAATATAAAGAGTTTACAACAAACCATGGGAACAAACATAAGCTCTTTGTTCACCCAAGCACAAGGGTCTTGTTTCGGCAACTGCAAACAGTCTTACCTAACTGCTGCTCTTGCCACGTTGTTTACCTAAGCGCAATGGCGTTTTCACTACCTTCCCACTACTGCAGAACTCCTACCAACTCTTCGGATCACCCTTCACTCCACTTGCAACCCCAATCACTCTTACAGCGAGGAAGTATGCTCGGCAAGGTCAAAAGGGCTTTTTCGACGCGCAAGTCGTCGACTTCGAGTAATGACCACTCAGCGCGGGAGGTAGCGGTCACGGGTCAGACACAGAACAACACACTTACAGCTGCGCCGGTCAGCCCCAAGAGTGCTGGATCCCGTAACAGCGGCCTCGCACCACCACCTTCATCTGCTAGCCCATTTACTTCTCCATCACCAGCTACAAGGAGGCCAGGTAAGATAACCAAATACACCGAACTGGACATGTTCCCGCCATTTACCCTCTAGATACTGACAGATCACTAGGTAGCACAGGTATGAACGCCTTCGGATCTAACAACGAAGCTCCGCCGGCCTATACACCAGGTCCAGCTCAAAATGCAGGCGCATTCCAGTCACCATCTACAACAACAACTTCAGACTCTGACCCTTACGCTTTCCTCAAGAGTTTTGATACTATTTTCTTGATTGACGATTCAGGATCCATGGCTGGCCGTTCATGGAGAGAGACGCAGGAAGCCCTTGCAACCATCACACCAATTTGTACAGGACACGACGAAGACGGTATCGACATTTACTTCTTGAATCATCCTGATTCGAGTCTCTACAAGAAGGTTACCACTCCCAGCACTATTATCGAAATCTTCCAGACTGTTCGACCTCGCGGCGCCACACCAACTGGCCAGCGCCTTCACAAGATCCTAAAACCTTATCTCCAGCGCTATGAACAGGACGACAAAACTAAGCCCATTAACATCATTATCATCACCGATGGCGAGCCCTCTGACGATGTTGAGTCTACCATTATTCAGGCTGCCAAGAAGCTTGATAAGCTCGATGCGCCTGCGTGGCAAGTCGGTATCCAGTTCTTCCAGGTGGGTCGGGAGCCCGGTGCGCGTGAACATCTCAAGCAGCTTGATGACGGGCTCGCCGAATTGGCCGAGGACGACAATCTCAGAGATATTGTGGATACTGTTCCTTTTAGTGGCGCAGAAGGCGAGTCACTGACTGCAGCGGGGATTCTCAAGGTGGTCATGGGTGCAGTTCACCGTAGACTGGACAGAAACTCCAAGGATCTGCACAGGAAGTAGGGATTGGTCTAACTTCCCTTCTAAGCAGCTGCATGACTGGTGCTGCAGGTGATTGTGTGGGCTTTGCTAGAAGCATATGTGGGGATTGTCGTGTCTGCCTTGCAATAGTCAACACTGCGGGGTACCACTACCAGAATACCTTGACAAATACGTTGTCCAGATATAAATCCTGGCGCTTATTGGGCGGGTCATTACTGTCTATATGGCGTTTGTGGAGAAATACATGGGATTGTAAGTGTCTCCTTTTTGGGTTTCAAGTGCATACATATGATACCCCCCTTTTTCTCTGCTGCATGGAACTGCAAGCGATACAGCTTGGGAGGCGGTCTGTTTTTTTCAATTGTCATTGTTAGATTAAGTATTTAGAATTCACGGGTTGGGAAAAGTTTCTCTACTCCATCAGTAGTTTGGTCAATTCATCAACTCAAGTGTTTATATTGCTGCCTTGAACACAACTACGAATTCTACCCACACATACAGCTAACAAAAAATCATACTGATAATGGTATACCCTACTAGATAGCAGCCCCTCTTGTTCATGTCCCTTCGCTTCGATGCCAGCCTGGACGCCTAAAACAGTCAAACTAATTAGCTGCCAGTCAGCCTTACGATAAGCACCCCACCGCAAGGCAGACTTCGGGAGATGCTCTCCGGGTAAAGCAATTAAGCCCACCGCATAAATCTTCTATCTTGAGACAAGTACCATGGGTTTATGCATACTCGGGTCCCCAACATGCAAATTACACCATAGTAAGGTGCGTATTCATTACAACCAGACCACTCAACCCTGACCGTTCAAGGCAGTTGGAAATCACATCACATCACATCACAATGGACCACTTTTCCAGCATGCACTCTGCACACTCGCCGTAATCCAAGAACTAGGCTTCACATGCGCATTCACACACACACACACACACCCATCCTCTTCACTTTCTTACACAAGCAAAATCTATAGTGAAAAAAAAAGAATTTAGAATCATAAAACATCAATCAATTGATTTAAATAAAACATTTATAAATATCATAACCATCATACACATACACACGCAGCAGTTACTAATAAAAATCTTCCCAACGCGTACACCTCTTACTCCCCTCAGACTCCGTATCCGAATCCCTTTCCCTCTCCATCTCGCGCCCTTCCCTCTCCCACATCTCGCGCTCCTCACGCCTCGGCTCCACATCAACGCCATCGAAGCGTTCCCCATTGAACTTCTTGTCCCAATATGCAAAATACATGGATGCTTTCTTGGGGCGCGGGGGCGCGGCGTCGCGCGACTGCTCGTCAGCGTCGGTGGTAAAGTTTGAAGTAGAGTATGCAAAAGGGTTGTCGGTGGCTAAGAGCTTTCGGTACTTTTCTTGGTGCGACTCTGCTTGGTGCGGTTTTGCTGGTTCGACGATGTTGTAGATGGGGTTGTTGAAGGGGTCGCGGTGGTGGGGGTGTTGTGAGGGACCACCCGTGTAGGAGAGGATGGTGCTGGGTGTGCTTGTGGAGGAGGAGTTGCAGTGGTGGCTTGGGTTTTGTTTTTGGATGCCGAGGGGCGCGGGTTGGAGGGGTTTTATGCTGATGCTGTCACTGGGGCTCAGTGAGTGGCTTGAGTGGTGGTGGTAGGATGAGTAGAATGAGGACTTACTGGGTGAGGGCTGGTAGGTATCTTGGTGGTATACTGAGTGCGTGTGTTGTCGGTTGTAAGATTTGGTAGAGGTGTAGTCCTGCTTCTCGCGCATGTCGAAACCTAGGGTTTCTGCTGGGGAGAACTGATCTACGCTGAAAGGGCGAGGTTTCGGACCTAGTTTTGTGTCGTCCTGCATATGGGCCGAGTGCTCACCTTTTTGGTGATTGGAGGATGTATCTGAAGAGGAGTTGACTGTTGTGCCCGAGAGCGTCTGATACAGAGTCTCCTTTTGGTGCCTTCGCTCGAGCACTAAACACTTTAGTCTCATACCAAGGTTACCGGCTTCGTAAAGGGTCCTCTCACCGCCACGAGTCTTCCTGATCCAGTATTTTACGAACCGTACACGCTTCGAGCTCATCTCTGCCCAGTAAGGGGTGTCAGGAGCGGCGTTGGGATTTGTCAGACTTTTGGTGCTCATGCGGCCGGTCATGCCCGCAAAGAGAGCGGAGAGAACGTCCTCGTCGGAGGCCATACGCGCCATGATACAAGCTGGACACTGATCGCGCTGATAGTGCCACTTGTCTCCACAGTAGATGGGCTCACGGCCAGGCGGCGCAGAAGCATCAATATCGAAATCCTGTCGCCACATTTGCAGCACGGGTTCCATTTGACGCGCCCTCCACTCTTGGTCTGGGGTCAGAAGATCACACATGATCAGGGGGTAAAGGAACTGGCCGATTGCGCCTTCAAACTCATGCTTCACCCATGCCCAAATGTCGTTGATCAGATGAGCATCCAGGCCTTTGTGGATGCAGCAGAGGTTCCCAGAAGACCCGAAGAATAGAGGAGAGGAGCGTAAGCGATGAGGGAGATCTTGGATATCCAGCTTGGTGAACTTTCGGTAGTGTGCCACTTTGCGCCCATAACGCTCCTCGCCGGGTACCGGGACATCTCGCAGGATGCACACCAAGCGTTTCATGTCAGTGCTGTGAAGACGGCGAGTCTCCATTCGACCCAAAAAGGAAACCATTTTGATCTTGTCTGGCACAGTGTCTTTGTAGAGATCTTACTTTGTAGGATGTGAGAAACAATAGGGGTTGGAAAGGAGTGAACGGGTATATAACCCTTTCAAAATGACATGGTAAATGAACAACGTGGTGAAGAGCGAGATGCATTGTGGGAAATGTCAAGTTTGGTTTTAGTGTTCACGGCTCTTGGAACAGCGAGAGAGTGATACAATGTTGGGACATGGAAAAATCCACAATGTGCTAATATAGTAGTGAATCTCAGAATTGGATCAGAAGTATGAGACTGAAAGCAGCTCTAGAGACATTAGCTGACAAGCCGGTAAGGTCATCAGGAAAGGATACTGAATGAAACATGAGCATCACAAAGTCACGCGCAGGGCCTACTCGTCAAGAAGACGGGTCAAGAAAAGTCAATGACCAGAACACAGGCGGAAAGATTTCATACAGTCAATAATAGGGCTTCAATTCAATAGTGATCCAGCCATACAGTGAACGCCATTCCAGAATCGTATAATGCATCATTCAAGGATGAAAAAGATAAAACCATATCCCAAACGGTACGCGAAGCAGCGCAAGGCCGCAGCTACCAGATAGTACAAGAAAAAAATCAAAAGAAGCGAAAGTTTGTAGTACTAGGACTAAACATTACCTATAGCAACCAGATGGTTCTTGTCCATAAATGAAACAAGTGGGTGCAATCAATGCGAGCTCTCCAACCCTAAAACATTGGCTCTCCTGCCGTGCAGGTTTTGATTGACCTTGTTTGTCAAATCTTTGAAGTTTGTTCCCGCCGATGATGAAATGCTAGTCGCCTTTTTTCTTGAAATGCGGGGGGTTGAAGCACCTTGTGGGAGCGAAGAGTCCTCCTGAGATGGGCTGGAGACCGATGCAGCAGTCGCCGGGACAGCGGTCGCCTCATTCTCCTTCTCTTGTTCGAGCTTGTGCTGTGCCGTAATACGAGCGCGCTCGTACTTCGCAGCAACGTCGCCCTTGTACATGGTGCCTCCGATGCGGTCCAAGTAGACAAAGAATGGCTGTGAGAAGTTGGTTTTGATGCCCCAGCTCTGGTGGTGGATATCATGGTAGGCGGCATTGTTGGGAAAGATCCAGTGGATAGGGTCGTAGGGGAATGCATAGCCGCCATGGTCGAGGACAGTCTTAATGGTTGAGCCGGTGAAGAACCACATGGATTGCCGCATAGTCAGGCCGGTGAGAAGGTAGCTGAGACCAGCGCCAAGGGTGTCTAGCGCGAAACCTTCAATTGGGTGGTTGTACAGCGCGCCGTAAGCATATGGGACGTAGAGTCGATGGTGACGTGAGTGGAAGGTCACTATGTATGTTAGCTAAGCACTGGGGGGGGGGGGGGGGGTTCCAAGAGCGGAGCGTACCGTATAACCACTTGTTCAGGTGCATCGCGCGATGCAGCATGTATTCCCATGCATCCATGATGACGATGGCAGCGCTAAACTGGAACGCAGGGATGGCGTACCAGTAGGCGAAGCTAGCGACAGCCAGTTCCCAGGAAGCAAAGGCTGGGACCAGCGTCTGCTCACCAGCAACTATTGCTGACTGTAGTAGCGCTGGGTATCTTCCTCCAGTAATGACCGAAGAGAGAACCGGCTGAGAAGAAGCAAGCTTTGAGGCCAGGGCGGCTGGATTAACGCCAACTGCGGACAAGACGTATGGAACTGCGCGCTGTGCGAGGCGGATCTTTTGGGCATACCAAGCGACGTCATAATCGGCTTTTCCAGTAGTCGGGGCATCGTCGAACATGGAGAGGCTGAAGGATGCTATGATCTGAATGACCTGCTGGAGTATGACGTCGCGCAGGACTTCGTATCGCGAGACGTGATTGCGCTTCAGGACCTCTGCGGGCGTGTGCAGTCGGTATTGGGGAAACAGGTCGTATACGTCAATGGCGTGGAATATCAGAGACACGAACCAGTAGCCGACAACGGGGAGGGCGGCTTGTATGAAGGCGTCGGATGCCCATGATGTGAGAGGCTGTAGAGGCTGAAGGGTGTATTCAGGCAGCGGCGGTAGGTCGTAGGATGCAGTTGAGTTTGCGCTCGCCATGGTGCAGCAATGGTGCTCCAGGGCAGCGAATTATGGATTGCAAGTGTAGCTATGCAACGGCGACTGGGGGAGTGCAGAGTGCTCGTCGAGGGGCGCAGGGCAGGCTTGGGCGATGATGGGCGACAGCAAGAGCCCGGGAGCGGCGGAGCAAGGAAATTAGGGAGAAGGAGCGATGCAGCAGACGGATAAACGGCAGGTGCAGGTGGGAAGCAGATGAGAATGAGCCCGTGGTTGAAATGGTCGGCGGCGGAGGGCTCGGAAAGGAGAGGCTGAGGTGGGCAGAGCGAGGCGAGGGAGAAAGTCGTGTGAGGGTGGTGCTGCTTGGTACTTGCCTGTGACAGGGAGAAGCACTGGCGCGACGTACGGGCGCATCATGACATTTCGCCTGCCCGGCCGGACCAAAAGTGCCTGGAAAACCAGGCCACCTCCACCGCCGCAAGACGCACCGTGCACGCATACTCAGGGCCGCCACCCACTAGCCACGGTTTAGCCACCCACCAGCCACAGGCCACTTCCGGCTAGACCACCCTCAAACCCAATTTTTGACCCCACCAAATTCTCTCTCACGCCCTTATAGTCCCGCGCTTCCTTTCCGCCCCGAGTGAAAGAAAGAATCCTCCAGCCCCCCGACCAGCCGACACTCTTTCTCCCACCCACAACCACATCTTCACATACACAAAACCGCCAATATGATCATTTACAAGGTGCGTTGCCCCTCCTGCCCGCACGCAGTTGACCCTGCCCGCGCAACTACCCCGCCTTCCCTGTTGCGCTTCACTACAGCCTGCGCCGGCGGAACAGCACCTGGCCCCTGATCCAGACATGCAGTATTGACACGCTTCTAGGACATCATCACCGGTGACGAGATCATCTCCGACTCGTACAACCTCAAGGAGATTGACGGCGTCGCCTACGAGGCCGACTGCTCCAAGATCACTGTCGGAGGCGAGACTTTCGGTGCGTGCTAGTGACACAACGATACACTTACCTGGCCTAACAGTCCCGCAGACACTGGTGCCAATGCCTCCGCCGAGGAGCAGGAGGAGGGTGCCGATGACACGGCCGAGACCAAGATCGATGTCGTCTACTCTTTCCGTCTCAACGAGACGGGCTTCGACAAGAAGGGCTACCTCACATACCTCAAGGGTGCGCCACATGACCACAGTCCATCAGCATACCAATACTAACTATGATTAGGCTACATGAAAGCAGTCAAGGAGGCTCTCAAGGCCGATGGCGCTGACGATGCCGCCATCAAGGAGTTCGAGACTGGAGCCCAGTCTTTTGCCAAGAAGATCATTGCCAACTTCAAGGACTACGAGTTCTACACCGGCGAGTCCATGAACCCCGACGGCATGATCATCCTCCTCAACTACCGCGAGGATGGTGTCACCCCCTACGTTACTGTCTGGAAGCACGGTCTCAAGGAGATGAAGGTTTAAGCTTGGACGGCTCAAGGCGCGGGGTCGGTTCACGGTTCATTTTGAATTTCACGAATACCTATTGCATGGTTGGGATATCCGCCACAAGGCGAAAAAACGACACGGCACGAATCTAGACAACCGTTATCGAGTCATATGTGACACATGTTATTCTTTCTTCCCGATTCACCCCACCTTCTTGCCTTGTGCCGCTACTGTACCCTGTCAATGCAGCATTGGGTGGGCTTTTATGCACATCAAATACTAACCCCACTTATCTAGTCAATTCCAGATCCTTGCCTCTTGTTTGCATAAGCGAGATGGCCTCTGTTTGTTGCGGTGCGAAAACCCGGTTTTCTGTTTGCGTGAATGAGACTCCCGTGACACCGCGAGAACGCGCCGTGCACAGACCAGCACTCTCATCACCGAAACGATAGCCGCCAAGGCAAGGTATTCTCAGCCTTGGAGTGCTGCCTCGACCAACCTTACTATCCGGCGCACCCGAGGCTCCTTTTTCTTAAATTTTCTGTGTTTGTATGTGTTTTGGTTGTTCCTTGAATTAAGTATCAGGCAAGCAGGACAGCTGTTGCCCCGCATGACGGATCATGCTAGGGCGAAGGGTCCTCCCGCACCTCCCTCGCTTCCAGGCACGCCGCCCCGCAACCAAACAGGAGAACGTCTCAACGATATCGTAGAATCCATCAACAGAGACTTCGACCTTGGCATCCAGATTCGTGGCCACTATTCTCCGTTGAAATTAAACCAAAAGGACCCACGTAATAAAGTCTACGAGTACATCAAATTCCTGTTTTTCCAAAACCGGAAAGCCCTTAAGCAGGCAATTCAAGAGTTCAAGTCTAGCGCTCAGCAAGAACAACCCAAAGAGCGCCTGACTCTTTTTCACAAGTTGCTGTCAGATGTAGCAAAGACATGCAGACCGCTCCCAAAGACCCCCACGCAGAACATTAGCGAGCCCGGAAGTCCTGTTCCTTCTTCTCGCAGTCAGTACTCCTTTTCCTTGACAAGCTCTCCAGTTTCTGGTGTTTGCACGCCTCAGTCACGCCGACTGGATTGGCACTTTCTATAAAAGCTTGGGGTTTAGGCCTCCGTGTTTCGTGGGCTCCGCCCCATGTGATAGGAACCTTATACGTATAAATACTAATTTGCAGACAGAAGCGATCAAGACACTACAGCCACCCAGTCCGCTACTTTTTGACCGGCAAGATGAGCGAGAGTCACTTGAGTCATGTAAATCGTATAAGACCGCTCCAGATCCAGGCTCTCCTACAGATGAAGACACCGACGATGAAATGAACCCAAGGCTTAAGGTACGATTTCCATCGCCCTCTCCATTACCTAGGCCGGCATACCCATCCCAGGCAAGTAAACCTGTCTCATTGCATTCGGCAAGGAAACGGCCCTTGGAGAACTCCAATTATTATGGAACCTCGTCAAAATTGACAAAAACCTCGAGAGGAAAGCAGGCAGTCAGCACATCGCGCAATACAGAGAATTTGTTCAAAATACCGACCGTCGACATGGCCCCCTCGCGTCAGCCTAATGCTGATCCAGCATCCGCAAACGTGTCCTTCAACAATAGCATTTTCTCATCACAGGAGACCGTCAATACCGCGGCGACTTCTTTCGCATCGTCTAACGGCGACACCGATGCCTATGGACAATACAGCCCAAGATTAAAGACGACAAATAGAAGGAGCTCTACTACAATAGGCTCCTTCGATGATGATGCTTTGATCCAAGCGGAAATGCAATTTGCCATGTCGACCCAAAGTGACAGGGTATGTGAGCAAGACATCCAGACCGACCTTAATATAAGCTTTTCTCAAGACAGCAACGGACAAAGTAGACCTACCTTTGGCTCTGTAGATGACGAGGAATTTGTCAAGGTGGCAGCCAAAGTTGAAAATAAGCAAGATCGGTCAGATTCGGTTGCCTGCCTGGGGCCCTCTGGGGTCGCCAGCAACCAAAAGCAAAACGATCTGTCAACAAATAAGATGTCATACCACATACGCGACATACCCAAGCAAAGTCTATTCGTGGAAATGCTTCCAGAGGAATTGGAATATATTCCCTACTATGTATTGTTCATCTGCCAGCGCATTGCACTAGAATACTCTGTTCCACTACGATCGATTGCGGATGTTGTTGACGACTCAAATATCTTCACTGACCCACAAACCTTCTGGCACTCCATTGATTGCCACTTTAAGAGCCTGGGAAGACCTACAGTCAAGTCACGCGAATCCAATCGCCTCTGGCAAGTAGTAAACCGGGAAATGGATGGTTTTACCTTCAAGGGAAAACTCACTTTCAGTTCCAGACGAGCAGACCCAATCATGCGTCTCAGGCTACTACCGATACAAGAAGAAAAGTCGTGTCGGTTGCAGCGAATGTTTGGTTCAGATCGGTTCCTCTATCTGGATTTACCCGAGTTTAATTCTTCCAAGATAGATGACTTCACTTATGATGATATGGTGAAGATCAGAAAGAAGTGGCAAGAGTGGCTGCTGACAGAGCACTCTTTTTTGGGACGCAAATGGAGAGTGTTCCATGTTGACACCATAAAAAGGAAGCGCAAGTCTCACCGCGAGGATATGCTTCACGACAAAAGGATCATTCTGTTTGCTACAGAAGGCGCCGGCATTAAGCAACCATACACAATAGGGGAAATGTTGAACAAGTTCTTACCTATTGATCTCAACAAAGATAAAAGCTTCTGTAAGGCCTTTGCTCGCATTGATCTTGGTCTTTCCCGGACTATACCTACTTTGTGCTTCGACGCAAAGCAAATCAAGCGTGTGAGGGACAAATGGAGTACAAATGACCGAGAAGACACACAATTCAATGACACAGCACTAGACTGGCCGCCTTTCCCAAAGAAAACTGTGATGAATGATGGTTGTTGCGTCATGTCAGTGGGTGCGGCCAAAAAGATATGGGATCTGTACACCAAGGCTACAGGCGTCACCGATCCACTACCTAGTGCCTTTCAGGGGCGCATAGGGGGTGCGAAGGGAGTCTGGGTGATTAGCGCAGAGAAATTCACCAAGGAAGCGAAGGAATTGGAACCCTGGATCAAGATCAACGACAGTCAATGGAAATTCCAGCCCCCAAACGATCAGTCTCCTTATCATCGTACTTTCGAGGTGTCAAACTACAGCTCAACCCCATCTCCATCTGAGCTGCATTCATCGTTCATTCCGATCTTGGCTGATAGAGGTGTACCAAAGGAGGCGATATCTAATCTCATGTTTGACTCTCTTGAAAAAGAGCGCATAAATCTACTGGATGTTCTTCAAGACACCACAAAGGTACATGAGTGGGTATACCGAAACGGAACAAACACAAGACTTCGCGAAGAAGACCCTAGACGAGCTGGTCAACCAGCATCTCTTGAGGAAAAGGTTCTGAACCTACTGGAATCCGGCTTTGATCCTCTGAAGTTTCCGTATCTTGCTCAGAATCTCGAGTCCTTCATCCTGAGTAGACAAATACTTCAAGAAGCTAAACTACGTGTACTGCTTCCGAAATCAACATTCTTGTACGGAGTGGCAGATCCATTGGGAGTATTGAAACCTGGAGAGATTCAGATATTGTTCTCTTGGCCATTCGTCGACGAGATCACCAATGAGAGATACTTGGACCTCAGGGATACGGAAGTCTTGGTCGCCCGTCAGCCTGCTTGTCGCCGCTCTGATATCCAGAAGGTGAAGATAGTCATACATCCCAAGCTGTCTCATTTGGTAGATGTAGCTGTCTTTCCCTCCAAAGGCCCTTTTCCCTTGGCTGGAAAATTACAGGGAGGCGATTATGACGGCGACATATTCTGGATTTGCTGGGAGGATACACTTGTACAACCGTTCTCCAATGCTCCTGCGCCAGTTCAGTCTCCAAAACCTTCCGATTATGGCATCGAAACAAGAACTGAGAAGCTCGAGGATATCATGGACCCCGACAACCCCAAAGAAGTAGATGCATTCTTAGGAGAAGCTTTCAAGTTCCGTGATCACCCTTCGCTACTAGGCCAAGCAACAGTTTTGGCTGATAAACAGGCCTACAACGAAAACTGCGTTCATTCTAGAACCCTTGAGAAGCTCTACGACGTACACGATCTCCTCGTCGATGCAAGTAAGCAAGGATACATCCTCACTCAGAACAAGTACAACAGCTCTGTAAAGACACTATGTGAGAATCCAAAAGATCCGGCCTACAAAAGGGCAGCTAAAGACTGCAATAATGCGAGGATCTCGACAGATATTCCGAAACGTCGTGAGAGTAAATACGGCTACAAACCAGACAACGTACTGGACTATCTCTACTTCGATGTCGTGAGGGCACATAACGTTGAGACGATGAGAAAAGTCAAGGAGATACTTGGGAACGTTGCTGAACGGGACGAAGTCTTACTATATCCATGCCAATACCTTAATGACGAAGGAACATCCGTAGTCAGGAAAGAGCTCAGTTCTTTGAACGCGAAACTTGAACGCGTGTATGGTGCATGGAATGAAATATGGAAGAACACAAAACTTACGGGAGAGAGTCGGAATGCATTGGTCGAAGAATGCTACCAAAAGTACCTTGCTATACAGCCTGATAATATAGACGATCCTAATATCCGGCCCTGGATGGCACCTTATCGTCGGTATGGATCATGCCACTGGGACACAGTCAAAGCATCGGCACTGTATAGCAAATACCACTGGCCTGAGAAATTGAGCTTTGTCTTTAGAATGGCCGGATACACGCTTTCAAAGCTCAAGGCCGAAAGCTTCGAAGGGACCAGATCCGTGGTACTGCCCATCCGCGCGAACCTCAAACCACGACGTATCAAAACCCTGTCCTACAGCGATGAAATGGATTATGTCGATGAAGACGAATACGAATTTGTTACTGCTCTCGAAGATCAATTCACGGACCTTGGTGACGGGTATTGAGAACAGGGATACCGTTCTCAATTGTTCAACGGCACACGCGGTCGTATCGATGAGTTACTGGCACAAGCGATGATCACACATAATATCAATACTTGCGCTGCTAGCTAACGAGTCGGCCCTAACGCCTCACTATGCCATTGATTACTACATCTTGAATGATTGTAGTATCATATCTGTTGGAGAAGAAGAAGATACAGGAAGGGGAAGGGGAATGGGAAGAGGGAGGAAGGAAAGAGAAAGACAAGAGAAAATACCAAAAAGAGGAAGGGGGAAATGTAAGAGTTGACGATGGGTACATTGGGATTTCCATTGCTGTCATATCATACGCTGCAAGTTGTGCGTATCCATTGGCTCGGAACAGCAGATGTCTTGGGGTCGATCTTGATGTTTGAATACTTGGTTTGCGGGGTTTTTTCCTTTTTCCAGCATGTGCCCTAGTTCGAAAGTGTGCATGCATGTTTTCTTTTTTCGTACAAAAGCAATGTGCCAACCTACATCCACACTATCACGATACCTACTCTTGCAATGACCACGTGCACAAGGCACCCTAGCAGATCCGATTACACAATCATGTACGATGAGTAGATATATTCATATTTTCTTCTTCTTCTCAAATAATGTATGGGTATCATTAACAACAAACAAAAACTACACGCACACACATGAGTTCCCTTCCCCCACATCAACCAACCGTATGCTGCGCCGCCGCCACAGCCTTAATCTTCGCATTCCGCCTCTCCTCCTCCCTCCTCGCCTCAACACCAGCCAAGAACTCCATGCGACCCAGGTACGCCTCTTTCGTCTTACCATGGGTATCCAGTTCCTCTGCGATACCTTCTTTATCGACGAAGCCCGTCCAGTCCATGCGTGACTTGTCGACGACGTTGAGTTTCTGTGTTTTCTCTGCTTTCTTGGGGAGTGCGGCTGTGTCTACTTCTGCGGCGGTTCTGAGTTCGGGTCGGACGTTGGTGCGGGGCCAGGAGAGTTGGAATTCTGGGGCGAGGGCGCGGACGTAGCCGGTTGGGTTGGGATCGAAGCGGGAGGGGCGGCGGAGTGGGCGGCGGATTTTGGAGTCGGGCTGGCCGGAGGAGTGGGCGGGCGATTCTGCGGCGGGTGTGGCTTCGGTTTGTTTCCAGCCGTCTTTGAGGTACTTGTCGAGTTGGGAGCGGGGGATTTGCTTCTCTTCGGTTGTGTCTTGGCCGGCAAAGGTGAAGGTTTTTTTGACGGTGAGCTGTTCCTCTTCCTCGGCAGATGCTTGGATGTTGGTCACAGGTGTGTGCTGCGTTGGCGCATCGGCTTCTTGCATCTTGGACTCTTGTAGCGGTTTCAGAGGCGCTGCCATCATCTGAGCCCATAGCGCATCGACATCGACAGTCGCGCCCTCGGTTCTTGCAAGTGGCCTTGCCTCTTTGCCCTCTGTTCTTCTTTGTGCCCGCGTCTTGACCAGGCCGCCCTCCCCGCCTTCATCGTCGGATATGATCAGCTCGGCATCGTCGTCTTTGTTGCCCTTGTTCCCCTTCTTCTTTGACCGCTTCCGTCGCGCAGCTTGTATGGTGACTTCATCTCCAGAATCCAGCTCCACATCCTGAGGCACTTTTCGCTTGCCTTTGCGCTGTGCAGGTTCTATGGTGACATGGTCTTCGTCCTCAGAGCTCGATGCGTCTTCGGCCGGGGCGGCATTGGGGTCAAAGTCTTCGTCGGATGACTCGTGGTACTTGTCTGAGGCAACTTCAAGGTCCTCGTCACCGTATGTATGAGGCATGGTGGATGCTGAATTGGTGCCGTTGGAGTTGAGAGATCGCGTCGCGCATGTGCTATAACGAAGATGGCGGTCCGTGCCAGATCGACGGCTAGGGCTCGCTTGGGTCTAGCGTGAGACAGGGATTCCCAGATTGACGTGCAGTGACGTGAGCGGGGAATTGTGGTCGCGTCGCAGTTCAAAACAAGAGAGAGCTGCCTGAGGCTGGTTTAGCTTGCTTTGTTGTTTTCCATCCCTACTGTTGTCACGTTCGCATCATGCACCTTGATCTCAGTGTCTAATCTTCGCAAAACTTCGCACAGTAACCATGGCGCCAGTCGAGACTGACGCTGCCACAAGGAGCAACTCACTGCCCATTGCACTCTTTGGCGGGCAGGTCTTGCTCGTTACAGTCCTCACGGCTCGCGTTCTGCTCACTGCTCGACGCGCTGCCAGATCCCAACCACCATCAACCCACACGCGCTCCCAAGACCCCGCGCGCCGACGTCATGCCTTTGTCTTCTCCACCATTGCGCTCATTTCACTGCTCTCAGTGGGGAGCTTCGCCTTCCTTTGGCGCGCCATCTCCTACGTACGATGGGCTGAGCACAACAAGCAGGAGATCCCAGGGAGCTTATGGAGTGGTTGGTATGGCACTGGTGAGCAAGGGCAATGGCATCTGGGCGATTGGATTGCCGATATAGATCTTGTGCGCGAGTTTGATGCTGTAGGGATCATGAAGCCCGAGGGATTCCTCTACACCAGCCAGTACTTTGTGGGGTTGATAGCAAGCTCCATCTTTATGGGTGCTGAAGGTACGCAGAACACCACCAGCAACCCAGTGCGTGCGATTTCTTTCGAATGTTTCGCTGACTTGTTCGCTTCTAGGACGCAGGCGCAATCTCTCCAATACCACCATTGCGTCTTTCGTACTATTGAGCTCCATTGGAAGCCTAGGATATTCCTTGAGCTTGTTCTTCATCACCATCTTGTACACACCTCTAACTCTGCAGCACGGGGACTTGCCACGACATGATACGCTCTTCACACCGTACGCCTTCGTTTACGATATGGGTATTGTCGCGTCACTCGTCACACTCAACTTGTTCCCACAGCTGGTGTCGGAGTTTGGCGACAAGAGCATGATGCGAGTGGGCTATCTGGCCATGCCTCTTGCTTTCGCCTTTGCGCCACAGGTATGTAGCGCGCTTCTGATATAATATTCTCATCTGATCAGGGTCCAGATTATTCCTTACTCACTTGGTCATCAACATATATCCAAGGCAGCAGCTCATCGCTCTTATGCCAAGGTCTTTTACGCATTGTCGCTGGCTTCTATTCTGGTGTACTGGCGGGTCTGGGCGACTCTGCTCTACGTGAACCGGCCCTCTTCACGGTCTCATGTCTTGGACTTGTTCGCACATTCGTTTGGAAAGAGCGATTCGCCTCATACAAACAAGCTTCTGGCAACCATCAGCAACGCTGGTCAGAAACTCAAACATATCAGCACACATCCCGCTATCAGTGTCACGAGCCTTGATGTGTTCTTTACAACTGTCAGCCTACTCACCTGGACTTTTACTAGAGACTTGGATGTTCATTCAATACTAGAAAGCAGTGTGCTCTCTTTCCTGGTACCAAGCCATGAAAAACATGTTACTTTCAAAAAGGAATTGGCACGAGTCATGGAACACGTCAAAGAGCCATCGCCAGCTCTTGAGACGACTACGCCTAAGAAGCGTGGACGTCCTTCAAAGAAGGCGAATGGTTCATCTAGCGCAGCGCAGCCGGTTTCTCCAAGTGGACCTGTCAGGCGGAGCACTAGAGGAAAAGTATACAGCCCCGAATCTGACGCGGATGTGTTGGTAGACGAGGCGGACGCTACCTATCAGCCAAACGAAGAGACGAAACGGGAAGTCGAGGCCATGGAATCGGATGGGTCATTGTCCGATGGTGACGTGGTGTCTGCTGGAGAATCGACTGCGCTGGCTCTGTTCCTTGCTTTCTTTGGTGGACTTGGACAGGTGGCGGCTGGCACTTTAGGCGCTGAAGTGACTGGCCCGCGGGACTGAAGGGACCAGAAGGAGTTTGTACAGGATGAGTGACGGTGAGTATGATTCTATGTACTATGTGGCGTTTGTATGGAGTCTAAATTAGGGGTGCGTCTGGATGCGGGTGTATGGGTATTCGGTTCATGGAGATTGGAAGATGGCTGCTTTTGGTTTCCTGGCTTGATACCCCGGCGATTGGGACCGGAGCGTCGGATACATCTGATATTGCTTTCTTAGTCTTAGCAATTCGATACTAGGCAGATACGGATATATGTGCATTGAAAACCAGATTTGGGTGCGACTAGTATATGTTTGTATGGTCTGATTGGCGGGTCTTTTCCTTTTCTCTTATTTCTTTTCGACTTGGGCTCCAATGATTACATGTGTTACACAGGGCTATCCGCTACGAGCACTTACCATGAAAGAAGAGCGAAACCCCTGTCACGGCGCCCAAGAAGTGCTTGCGCAGCACAGTGACGTTGCTACGGGAGTGGATCTATAGTTATCCGCGACAAGAACATGAATCCTGGTCTGCCATGGGATACTCCCGTCAGCTCTGACTCATGCTGGGCTGCCCTGTCGATATGATTGCCTTCACCGCTCCAAGGGCCTGGACTGCGTTGCTTAGCCATGAATGCTCGAGGCGTCGGCTAGAGAGGCGAGTGTGGTTGATGTTGGAGGCGACAGAGCGCGGTGCCTGAAGATCTTGCTGCTTTGAGCCAAGATGGCAGAGCGCAACGACGTAAACGCGACCCAACCGTTGCGTCGCAGTGACACTTGACCTCATCCTGCGATAATTTTTTCTTCCTCGAGGGCGTTGAAGTCAGGCCACTACGGCTGCGTATCAGCAATCCTGAATTTATTTCCGATCCGTCATCAACTCGTGTGCCAGGAAGAGGTTCTAGGGCCGGCATCCGCTGCGAAAGCATCCCTGCGAGCCGGCGTTTTCGGCTTCGAGCCACCAACGAAGGGCGTTTCCGAGTCGAATTGCACCTGCATAAGGCCAGTTTGGGGAGTGGAGTGAAACAGGGTAGGGTTGGAAGAGAGGTCTTGGATGCTCTGCGCGCATCTGGTCCGAGGGTGGTAATCAGGTCGGGCTCCGAGCCAACAGGGCAGGGCAGGGTAAGTAGAGGAAGGGTATCGCGAGGCTAGGGCCTAACGACCACCTCCACCGTGCGCACCGCAGAGACGCTACACTACCACCGTATAAC